ATTGATTGATTTCTGTACATTGAAGAGTCCTTGAATCCCTGGGATAAATCCCACTTGATCATGGTGTATGATCCTTTTAATGTGTTGTTGGGTTCTGTTTGCTAGTATTTTGTTGAGGATTTTTGCATCTATATTCATCAGTGATATTGGTCTGTAATTTCCTTTTTTTTTTATAGTATCTTTGTCTGCTTTTGGTATCAGGGTGATGGTGGTCTCATAGAATGAGTTTGGGAGTGTTCCTTCCTCTGCAATTTTTTGGAAGAGTTTGAAAAGGATGAGTTTTAGCTCTTCTCTAAATGTTTGATAGAATACACCTGTGAAGCCATCTGGTCCTGGACTTTGTTGGAAGATTTTTAATCACAGTTTCCATTTCATTACTTGTGATTGGTCTGTTCATATTTTCTATTTCTTCCTGGTTCAGTCTTGGAAGGTTATAACTCTGTCAGAATTTGTCTGTTTATTCTAGGTTGTCCATTTTATTGGCATAGAGTTGCTTGTAGTAGTCTCTTAGGATGCTTTGTATCTCTGTGGTGTCTGTTGTAACTTCTCCTTTTTCATTTCTAATTTTAATGATTTGAGTCCTCTCCCTCTTTTTCTTGATGAGTCTGGCTAATGGTTTATCGATTTGGTTTATCTTCTCAAAGAACCAGTTTTTAGTTTTATTGATCTTTGCTATTTTCTTTGTTTCTATTTCATTTATTTCTGCTCTGATATTTATGATTTCTTTCCTTCTAATAACTTTGGGTTTTGTTTGTTCTTCTTTCTCTAGTTCCTTTAGGTGTAAGGTTAGATTGTTTATTTGAGATGTTTGTTGTTTCTTGAGGTAGGATTGTATTGCTATAAACTCCCCTCTTAGAACTGCTTTTGCTGCATTCCATAGGTTTTGGATCGTCATGTTTTCATTGTCATTTGTCTCTAGGTAGTTTTTGATTTCCTCTTTGATTTCTTCAGTGATCTCTTAGTTATTTAGTAAAGTATTGTTTAGCCTCCACGTGTTTGTGTTTTTGATGTTTTTTTCCCTGTAATTGATTTCTAATCTCATAGCGTTGTGGCCAGAAAAGATGCTTGATATGATTTCAGTTTTCTTAAATTTACTTAGGCTTGACTTGTGACCCAAGATGTGATCAATCCTGGAGAATATTCTGTGCACACTTGAGAAGAAAGTGTAATCTGCTGGTTTTGGATGGAATGTCCTATAAATATCAATTAAATCTATCTGGTCTATTGTGTCATTTAAAGCTTCTGTTTCCTTATTAATTTTTGGTCGGGATGATCTGTCCATTGGTGTAAGTGAGGTGTTAAAGTCCCCCACTGTTATTGTGTTACTGTCAATTTCCTCTTTTATAGCTGTTAGCAGTTGCCTTATGTATTGAGGTGCTCCTATGTTGGGTGCATATATATTTATAATTGTTATATCTTCTTCTTGGATTGATCCCTTGATCATTATGTAGTGTCCTTCCTTGTCTCTGGTAACATTCTTTATTTTAAAGTCTGTTTTATCTGATATAAGTATTGCTACTCCAGCTTTCTTTTGATTTCCGTTTGCATGGAATATCTTTTTCCATCCCCTAACTTTCAGTCTGTATGTGTCCCTAGGTCTGAAGTGGGTCTCTTGTAGACAGCATATATATGGGTCTTGTTTTTGTATTCATTCAGCAAGCCTCTGTCTTTTGGTTGGAGCATTTAATCCATTCACTTTTAAGGTAATTATCGACATGTATGTTCCTATTACCATTTTCTTAATTGTTTTGGGTTTGTTTTTGTAGGTCCTTTTCTTCTCTTGTGTTTCCCACTTAGAGAAGTTCCTTTAGCATTTGTTGTAGAGGTGGTTTCGTGGTTGCTGAATTCTCTTACCTTTTGTTTGTCTGTAAAGCTTTTGATTTCTCCATCGAATCTGAATGAGATCCTTGCCGGGTAGAGTCATCTTGGTTGTAGTTTCTTCCATTTCATCACTTTAAATATGTCATGCCACTCCCTTCTGGCTTGTAGAGTTTCTGCTGAGTTTCTGAACTCCTTATGGGAGTTCCCTTGTATGTTATTTGTTGTTTTTCCCTTGCTGCTTTCAATAATTTTTCTTTGTCTTTAATTTTTGCCAATTTGGTTACTATGTGTCTAGGCATGTTTCTCCTTGGGTTTATCCTGTATGGGACTGTCTGTGCTTCCTGGACTTGGGTGGCTATTTCCTTTCCCATGTTAGGGAAGTTTTCGACTATAATCTCTTCAAATATTTTCTCGGGTTCTTGCTCTCTCTCTTCCCCTTTTGGGACCCCTATAATGCGAATGTTGTTGCGTTTAATGTTGTCCCAGAGGTCTCTTAGGCTGTCTTTATTTCTTTTCATTCTTTTCTCTTGATTCTGTTCTGCAACAGTGAATTCCACCATTCTGTCTTCCAGGTCACTTATCTGTTCTTCTGCCTCAGTTATTCTGCTATTGATTCCTTCTAATGTAGTTTTCAATTCAGTTATTGTATTGTTCATCTCTGTTTATTTGTTCTTTAATTCTTCTAGGTCTTTGTTAACCACTTCTTGCATCTTCTCGATCTTTGCCTCCATTCTTTTTCCGAGGTCCTGGATCATCTTCACTATCATTATTTTTTTATATATTTTATAACATCTTTGTTAGAGTATAATTGCTTTACAATGGTGTGTCAGTTTCTGCTTTATAACAAAGCGAATCAGTTATACATATACATATGTCCCCATATCTCTTCCCTCTTGCATCTCCCTCCCTCCCACCCTCGCTATCCCACCCCTCTAGGTGGTCACAGAGCACCGAGATGATCTCCCTGTGCTATGCGGCTGCTTCCCACTAGCTATCTACCTTACGTTTGGTAGTGTATATATGTCCATGCCACTCTCTCACTTTGTCACAGCTTACCCTTCCCCCTCCCTGTATCCTGAAGTCCATTCTCTAGTAGCTCTGCATCTTTATTCCCGTCTTGCCCCTAGGTTCTTCTGACCATTTTCTTTTTTTTTTTTTTTTTAGATTCCATGTGTATGTGTTGGCATGCGGTATTTGTTTTTCTCTTTCTGACTGACTTCACTCTGTATGAGAGTCTCTAGGTCCATCCACCTCACTACAAATAACTCAGTTTCGTTCCTTTTTATGGCTGAGTAATATTCCATTTTGTATATATGCCACATCCCCACATAGCCCAGGGAGATCAGCTCGGTGCTTTGTGACCACCTAGGGGGGTGGAATAGGGAGAGTGGGAGGGAGGGAGACGCAAGAGGGAAGAGATTTGGGCACATATGTATATGTATAATTGATTCACTTTGTTATAAAGCAGAAACTGACACACCATTGTAAAGCAATTATACTCCAATAAAAATGTTAAAAAAAAAAAGACAAATCCATCATAGTGGGATATTACTGACCTCTCTAAATTACTGATAGGTAAAGAGGTCCAAAAATTAGTTAAGTTATAGAAAATTTGAACAAAACAGTTAACAACGTTGATCTAATAGAATGTTTAGAGAGTGCTGATCCGCTTCTAAATGGTGTCACACCATTCATGTATATGAATGAATGAAATAAGCTGCTTATTTAAGGGAGTTGATCCATGTTGTTGGTAATGGTGGTGATTTGTATCTGAAGTGATTACTTGGGAGGAGGGGAGATGAAAGAAGGAAGGGACTGCTTCAGTGGGAAGGGTCAGGGGATGAGGCTGTCAGGAGACCCAGGTTCTAATGGCAATTCTGACATAAACTTGTTGTGTGATTTTTTTTAAAAAATATTTATTTATTTATTTGGCTGTGCCGGGTCTTAGTTGTGGCATGCGGGATCTGTACTTGCGGCATGCGAACTCTTAGTTGCCGCATGTGGGGTCTAGTTCCCTGACAAAGGATCAAACCTGAGCCTCCTGCATTGGGAGCGTCGAGCCTTAGCCACTGGACCACCAGGGAAATCCGTGGTTGTGTGATTTTCAACAAACTATTCTCTTGGATCTTATTTCCTCATTTGTAAAGTAGAGATAAGAGTGTTCACCCTACCTGTTCCCCAGGAATGTTATCAGATGCAGTTGAAACGTGTGAGTGAAGATGTTGAAAAATATAATGCACGAACATGGGTTAAATTAAACAAGTATTTATTGAATGCCTACTCATGCAAAGCCTGTGGAAGACAGCTGTAGGCGATACAGGGATCCCTGTAGGTGATACAGGGATCCCTGTAGGTGATACAGGGGATGCTTAGATTAGAGATTCTAGCCTAAGAATTCACACAAATAACCATCAGGTTAACTGTTTATAACCCTTCAGTACCCCCCCCATGGGCCCCCATTGCTCTTAGCGGAAAGACCAGCCATAGTATAGCCTCTGGCTTCATCTCATACATTTTCTCCCTCACTCAGCTTCAATCCCTCACATCTCTGGTTTCCCTCCCACCACACGACTTCTCTACCAGATGTCCCCTCAGCTTGGAAGACCCTTTCACTGAGTTAACACCTTCTCATCCTTCAGATCTCAACTCCATTTCTCAAGGCCCTGTCTCCTGCCTCCCTCAATAGGGCATTCTCCTTTCACATGGCATCTTAGTATAGTGTCCTCCTTTGTAGTAATTTTAATTTTAGGGAGCAATCATTTAGTTAACACCTATTTCCCCTGGTGACTCTAAGTTCTAGGAGGACAGGGTACATGTCTGTTTTTGTTTGCTGGCATATAATAGATGCTCAGTAAACATTTGTAGACAAACTGACTCATTTTCTGACTGACTGACTGACTGATTGACTGAATGTGGCTGAAGAGAGATCCAAACAAGTACTCTCAGGAAACAAAGGAAGAGGTAATTTTAAAATGAGCCCTAGAAGAGATTACAAAATGCTGCCTAGATGCTGGTTTGATGGGTGATTGTGATTATCATTGATCAGCTTCAGGTGATCTTGGTGTTTGTTATAACAAAGAAATTGTGGGGTTTTAATTGTTCCCTCTTTGTTAGTATTTTTTAGTAAATTTTTGCTTAATTGATCTGGTCCTAGGAAATAACCCATTCTCTTTTGGCAGCCCAGGCATGAACCTCTCAGCATCTTCTGTGACCTCATGGCTGTGGACTTTGAGGAGATGTGTCACTGGCTCTGCCATCGGAAGCTGGCTACTGCCGCGGAGACATACATCAAGCCCATCTCCAAGCTGCAGGCCACGAATGCCCGCGATGCACTGGCCAAGCACATCTATGCCAAGCTCTTTAACTGGATTGTAGATCATGTCAATCAGGTTCTCCATTCTGCTGTCAAACAGCACTCTTTTATCGGCGTGCTGGACATTTATGGGTAAGTGTGTTTGGCTTAGTGGTCTGAGCGTTTCTTTCTAGAGACTATCTAGTAACTCTAAGTGGGTATTTGATTATGTTTCCTACTGGTGAAGAGAAGGGAAAATTAGAAGAGAATTTTTAAAAGTCTAATTTCATTTGCTAGTTTGCCTTCTCTGGGTACCTTTCTTTAATGTTAAAACCCTTCCTGTACATTTGCGCTGTACGATGCCTTTTTCATTATCTGGTTCAGTTTTTCAAAAGAGTGTATGAAATTTCTATTCCCCGTTCCTTTCTATGTGTATATAGACACTGTGCATCTGTGACCTGACAAGAGCAATGGCTTTATCGTAATTCTGATCGTTCCCTACTTGAGGATGAATATGCCGTCCAAAGCATATACTGTTAGACACGTCCATAGGCTGCAGCCTTTAAAAAAATCTCTCTGCCACCTGGCTGATGCTTATCTGCCGGGTACATATTTCATGTTACTGAGTTAAAAACCCTTATTTATCTTCACTGATGTGGAAAGAAAGTTTCACAATGTTGAGGAATTTCCTATTTCTTTCTTTCTGATTTGCACATTTTGAATATTTTTTAAAGTTATTTCTTCCTTTTTCTCCTCTTCCCATATTATTTTTGGTTTTACAGATTTGAAACATTTGAGATAAATAGTTTTGAACAGTTCTGCATAAATTATGCAAATGAAAAACTACAGCAGCAATTCAATATGGTAAGAATTTTCTTGCTTGAATAATATTCTACCAAAAATTATTCTCTCGAATTCCTAGTATGTGTTTAAAGTTTGGTTCCAGAAATGAAGTTGTGAATTACAATTATTATCTATGGTTTAAAACAGCTAAACTGCTGAGGAATTTAGGATTAGTAAATGCTGCAACCTTGGAAAGATGTTTATGGTCCAGATTGGATTCAAGGTCATCCTTGGATTGCTGTCTGAGAATAGTGAAAACTTGGTCCAAATAAATTGAGAGAGGGAAGCCGAAAGTGTGTTAAGTAGCAATATAGGGGGTGTAAAACTTTGATCCCAGGGATATCCTTCAGTTGGTCGTTCCTGAGGCTAACTATATGTGGAGTTATGACTGTCTTAACTCTTACTTGCTGTATTAGCAAGAGGTCAGAACAAGAAAGCCAGGACATATTCTCTTTTCTATATATATATATATATATATCAATAAATCAATAGATAATGTTTCAAATGAATAAATAAAAAAATAGCTGGTAAGCACATTCTTTAGAGGTAAATATCAGAAGAAATAGCTGAGGGAGTTAAAAATGGTCACTTCCAGGGAGTGAGACTGGGGTGGGGGAGGGATAGGACAAAGGATTGTTGCTCATCATCATAAAACCTTTAAACTATTTCATTTTCAAAAAATATTGCATGTACTTTGAAAAAAACTTGGACCACCTTTATTTAGCAAATTAAGCTACTTAGTACAGTGAAATAATGTAGAGGTGATCTTAAAATCTTAGGCTTATGACTGTTTCTACAAGAATATGACTGGTGTATTTTGCATCTCTGCATAAGGAACATTAATAAAAACCTATCAGAGACTAAATTGAGCTTTATTTTTTCTCAAGGTTTTCCTGAGTTTCTTAATATTTTAATCAGTGGCACAACCTTCTGTTCTTTCCCAGTATATTTTGGCACAAGGTGACTAGAAGAAAAGGAACCAGTGCCAGCCTTATTAAGGACTGGCTAATTTGTTTATTTCTCAAGGACCTCATATCTCTGCATGTGTGTTTCTGACTCTCTCCTTTCTCTTTCCCTCTTTCTGTCTCTATCCATCTATTTCTCCTCTCTCTCTCTCTCTCTCTCTCTCTCTCACACACACACACACACACACGCACACACACTTACACACACACACACACACACACACACACACACACACACACACAGTGCATCCTAGCCTCTCTCTGCACAACTGCTCCACTCCCTCTTATCAGATGGCATATATTTTTCTTCTGTTCTGTATATATTTTGTCAAGGTTTCTGCTTCCTCACTCACCTCACACTTCCTGTGAACCAAGCAGTGGTTGGAATGCTCCCATCCTCTTAACTTGTTTAACTCTCATTCATCTTGACTTCTTTCAGCATCAGCTTCCACTGTTAATTGCCTGTTTCCTAGTTTTTATACCCGAGAAACAGAATTTGATTAACCCAGTTCATTCGTTCATCAGAGATCTCTGGCACTTGACTAGCTGTGACTAGGAGCATGGGGTCTCACAGTAAAGAATTTGGTGCTTAGGGCTGCTCCCTCAGCAGGGGCTGTGGGTAGGGCAGTGGGCAGGAGAAACGTGGTGATTGGCAGGTTTAGTGCTTGGAGGCATTACCTTATCCACCAAGGATCTCTTGCCATATTGAACCTCATGCCCACCTGTCATTTTGGCAATTGAGAATCGAAAATTTTTGAGGCGCCATGGATTTTGCCAAACTAAACGTAGAGACTTGTATGAGAAACAGGCTCTAAAGTTTGGAGCAGTGTTTTTGTTGTCAATGTGGAAACTGCACTGCATGTAAATTAATGAATTTAAAAAAAGATAGGGCTCATTGTTTTGGAAATTATTGGTACCATCAGACAGGGCATCTTGCTGACACGTGGTGCCCTATTTGCCTTCTCATTAATCAACAGAAGAAATTTGCTTTCTAATTAATATGACATAAATATTCATATGGATGACAGGTTTGGTTGTCATTGTTTTTTTTAACTAAAGCTTTTGCAGCTGGTTAGACTATAAATGCTGTAAATGAGCCAAGAGCAGTATTATAATAAGTGTAGAATAAAGTGGAAAAGTTCCAGATGCGTGAGGAGAGTAAAGCATCAGAAATCTTGGTAACCCCTAAGTTTCATGGGGTTTTGGGTTCTAGGAAATATATGTTGTCTGGTAATAGCCACAGAGGGCTTATCTTCCCAGAAAAGTTGCAAGATGTGTGAGATGAACCAAGGTGACAAAGGAGACAAGAAAGAAAGCAGAACCCTCCAAGAACAAATGAGTAGAGGTCATTAGCATCTGTAGAGACTAGAATTTATGGGTTGGCTTCATTGGCTCTGCAGCTTGAAGCAGGAGCTGCAGCAGTGGTTGGATTGCCCTTCCCTCCTGGACCAACTTAACTACCTTTCACTGAAGAACTCAGATCACACAGCCCTTCCTCAAGGAAGCCTTCCCTCGCCACCCTGTATCCAAACTGGATAAGGACTCCTGCTCTCATAGCTCGCCATTATTTTCCTCTGGAACATTATTACAGTTTGTAATTATATTTCTTGTGAATACTTGATTTCTGTTTCTCCCACTAGTCTTCAAAGTCCATGAGGGCAGAGCCCATGTCTATTTTGCTAATGGTATGCAGTGACTGGCCTAGGATAGGCAGTCAATACATATTTCTGCTAAATGCTTCAGCCATTGCTTCTCAATGGAGATGAGAAGCATTTAGCAGAAATAGCAATGGATTCATAGTGGTTGCAGCTGCTTGCAGATTTGGGTGTAGAAGCCAGAAAAGTGAGCCGTAGATTCCCTGACTGTGGAGGATAATCAAGGCAGACACAAAAGACCAACTGTTAATCTAATTCTGAGACACATGAACTTCAACACCACGGTCCCTTAAGAGAATTACTTTGTTATGCTGTAAGCATCACCCAGAATGTTTCAGTAGTCTGGAGGGCATCCTCTCTGCATAGTTGTTCAAGGCCAGCTAAGGCATTTCTGTGCCCATGTGGTCAGCAACACTGTGCAATAATTTAAGGGACCAAAAAGTATATAGTGCAGTTTGGGATGTATATCAAAAAATCAAAAAGACTGCCATATTTATCAGCTATTTAAGTATTCACATACTTAGATTTTCTTGTTTGCCGAAAATCCTATATTGCGGAGGCTTTGCTGTCTGTGGTTTATATTTGCTTTCTCATTTTGTTCTCTGCATGTAAATCATGCTTCTCCAAGATGGTTGCTAGAAGCCATTGACTATCTCAAATTATGTTGGTGTCCTTTTATAAATGTTTCTTGACTAACATTATTTATGACAATGATGCAGTAATGCCAGCTTTTTCTTTTTCATTTCAGCATGTCTTCAAATTAGAACAAGAGGAATATATGAAAGAACAAATTCCATGGACACTCATAGATTTTTATGATAATCAGCCTTGCATTAATCTTATAGAATCTAAACTGGGCATTCTAGATTTGCTGGATGAGGAATGCAGGGTAAGTATGATCTTCTGATGTACTTAGTATATGAAAATTGATACATCAAGGTCAAATGGTAAATGGGTTTAAGCAGAGATTCACTAGTACACCATGAGGTGCCATGGTGGCAACAAGTGGAGGTCACCCTAACTTGCATTCTGAAGGGTCACTAGACCCAAAGAGTTCAAAATACGTTTGAAACCAGGAGAATCTCCCTTCTCATTGGCATTAGATACAACTACTACCAATTTTAGCCACTTTTGTTATTGATATGCTTATATTTGGTACTTTCTGTTCAGTGGTATGGTATAGTTAAAGAAATGCAAGAAATTGTACAAAAGGCATTTTGAATAACAGTTCTAAATATCCATAATTTTAAAATTGACTAGTTGTTCTTTAGTACTGATATATATGGTGGAGAGGGAGTTTTAGCTTTAATATTTGAAGATGCAGCATGTGGAAAGTATATCAGATCCCCAGCTTTACTGCTAACTGAGTTATCCTAGACAAATAACCTATCCTCTCTCTTAGTTGCTCTTTAATTTATATGCCATAAATTACCACTTAACGTAGGTTGATCCTCCTAAGCATCCAGATTTCCTGCAACATTAAGAATGCACAGACAAATACTGTATCTTTTCACGTATATGTAGAATCTAAAAAATAAAACAAACAAGTGAATGTAACAAAACAAAAAGAGCCTCACAGATACTAGAGAACAAACTAGTGGTTACCATTGTGAAGATGGTTAGGAGGAAGGGCAAGATAGGTGAAGGCGGGATTAAGAGGAACAAACTACTAGCTATAAGATAAATAAGAGATACAAGGATGTTATGTACAGCACAGGGAATATAGCCAATATTTTATAATAACTTCACATGGAGTATAATCTATAAAAATATTGAATCACTATATTGTACTGAAACTAATATAATATTATATGTCAACTGTGCTTCAGTAAACAAAAAGAATGCATGTAAAGGTGCTCAACCTTGCTTGAAATTAAATAAAGTGTAAATCAAAACAAAAATGGGATACTGCTTTTTACCTATCAAATGAGTTTAAATTTGATAATACCAAATTGATATTTTTTTAACGACTTTTTTTTTTTTGCGGTATGCGGGCCTCTCACTGTTGTGGCCTCTCCCGTTGCGGAGCACAGGCTCCGGAAGCGCAGGCTCAGCGGCCATGGCTCATGGGCCCAGCTGCTCCGTGGCATGTGGGATCCTCCCGGACCGGGGCACAAACCCGTGTTCCCTGCATCGGCAGGTGGACTCTCAAGCACTGTGCCACCAGGGAAGCCCCTTAACGATGTTTTTGATGTGGACCATTTTTAAAGTCTTTATTGAATTTGTTACAGTATTGCTTCTGTTTTATGTTTTGATTTTTTGGCCACAAGGCATGTGGGATCTTAGCTCCCCAGCCAGGGATCAAACCCGCACCCCCTACGTTAGAAGGCAAAGTCTCAACCACTGGACCCCCAGGGAAGTGCACCAGATTGACATTTATTGCATATATACTCTTGATGAAGGGCATGAGTTAGTACAGCATATTTTTGAGGAAATTTGACAATATTTGTGAAGATTTTAAATACACATACCTTTTGACCCAGCCGTGGAACTGCTGAGAATTTACCGTATGAATATGCTTACAAAAGTATTCAAGCTTTTTGTGTAAAAGGAGCCATTGTGGCAGTTTTCATAATAACAAAAAATCAGTATCAACCTAGTGGCCGTAAATACAAGAATGCTATTGTTAAGAAGAAAAAAAAATGCAAGGAGTTTATAGAATAATCCTATTTGTGTCCATGCCTTTAAAGACAGAAAGATAAAGAAATTGGTGGAAATGGTGAGAGGAGACTATTCTCTATTTTATACCTTTCTGAATTATATAAATGGCCCACTGTGTGCAAATGTTATTTTTATTTAACAAATTTTTAAAAATACATGATAGTCATGATATTTCATCTTTCATCTGTGAGGCTTTTGTTGCTTTAAAAGCATATCGAATATTTATTTGATGACCTCTGGTATAGGCAGGTTGAGTTGCTGAAGGTCTCAGTCATAGCTTTTCATTAGTCATTGGTTTGGGGCCTCTAAGAGAGAAATGTGGAAGGAATGAGTTCCTAAACTGGATGTAAAAGTTGTTAGGAAAGCCAAAACATGGTCTCTTGGTTGATGCATCAGAAGCGTCTCATAACAATTTTCACCTTGTTTTCTCTCTTTTTTTTCCCCTGAATGTAGATGCCTAAAGGCACAGATGACACTTGGGCCCAAAAATTGTACAACACACATTTGAACAAATGTGCGCTCTTTGAGAAGCCCCGTCTATCAAACAAAGCTTTCATCATCCAGCATTTTGCTGACAAAGTAAGGAAGTTTTATTATCTCTTTTCTTTTTGAATACTTAAGCTCAAAGAGGAAAAAAAATCAATAGTCAATAGATAGCATTTTTTTCTTTGCTGAGCTTGCATTCGTTAGCTCCGTTTAGGAAAAGTAAGCTTAAGTGTTGGCTTATTGGTTTTCTCTTTCTTTAACCTAAATGGGATTATATTAAGAAATAAATACATGTTTACAGTCCTCTATCTATAATTCTGAAATCCAAGAAACTCTGAAATCCATGTCTTTTCATAATTCATTTAGTGGCTAAGCCTGATTTTTGACCTGAACTAACATGAGGTTATTTATAGTCTTTATTTATCCCAGTTAGGCTGGATATTTATATATTTCAATGTAGAAATGTTAATATGTTTGATTACAGATTGCTGCCTCAGATTCTGCTAAAAGATTCTGGGTTCTGAAACCCAACGGTTTCAGAATAGAAACTGTGGGCGTGTGTCACCCTCTGTGATTGATTCAGTGGGTCCCTACTAATGAGGCATGCAGACTTGCTGCTTCACAGGTTCTGTAGTCTACTCAGAAAATCTGGAGCTATGACACTAGTTTATATTTCCAGGAGGTTGTGGGGTGGCCTTCTGGTAAGCTCCCCATGGTCCCCTTTAGGAACCCTTTAGGAGGGTTTTCCGAGTCTGTCCTGCTCCTAGCTGGAGACCTTGGAATGGCTTCAGGGCCGCCTAACGGTTTTGTGGTACAGGCTGGGGACTCTGAGTGGTAGATGGCTGACGTCTTCTAGAAGCAGGGAGAGTCCATTCTCATGTAGTTCTACTTACCGGATCATATAGCGTTTACCCAGCCTCCATCTACATCCATCGTCGCCACTTCAACTTTCTGCCAGACAGCCATTTGTTCCTTCTGACCCTCTCTCCAGCTTTTATCTCTTCTCTCCCAGAGGAGACTTACCCCTGCGGGACGGTGAGCTAGGTTTGAAGGAAATACAGTGGGTCAGCCTTGGAGGAGCTCTCTTTGGCCTGCATGAGAGAAGAGAACAGCTTCTTATGAGTCTGCTTACCCATGAACTGGGATGATCTTAGATCACAGTTAATCAGCACTGCCACTCTTTCCTGGGAAAAACAATATTTGGGGAGTTTTACTCTAGAGTTAACATGCTTCTTACTAAGAATGGTACTAGTTTCTTAGAATAAAACTAATGATAACACTTCACTGAGAGCCCATCACATAGCCTGAGCCTAATAAATATTTTTGTTGTTGATGACAATCATATCTATTCAAAAGTTTATTAGCTAAGGAGATTTTCCCATGTGTTTTCAGGTGGAATACCAGTGTGAAGGCTTTCTGGAAAAGAATAAAGACACTGTTTTTGAAGAACAAATTAAAGTCCTTAAATCAAGCAAGGTAACCATGTATAGGCTTTCTCCAATCAGGATATATTCATTAAAATGTTTCTTATTTAAGCATTAGCTTTTTAACAGTAATAATAATTGTTCTAACAAAATCAGCTTTACTGTTAGTTTTCTATTTATCAATACATGTGTCAGGTCTTGTTTTTTAAATGCCTTACAAGTGTTAACCCACCTAATCCTATGATGAGGTGATATTATCATTACTCCCATTTTACAGATGAGGGAACTGAGGCAGGGAAACTTCATAGCTAGTAAGTTTTCAAGCCAAATTATTGATAAAACCCAGGCTGTTGAGCTCAGAGTCTGCACTCTTAACCACTATGCGGTGGTGTTTTATGTGAAATTTTTGCCTCCACGGCAGTTATAGGCTCTCTTGTGCCTTTGTGAGAGACCATGAGAGAAAACATTTTGTTGTTGTTGTTGTTTTTGGCTGTGTCATTTTGAAGGGATACGCTAGAGACATGGCCTTAAGCATTCCATCCAAATAAAAATTGACCTCTGGATCATTGAGTGCAATTTTCAGGTATGGTCCAAAGCACTTTGAAATTATTCTTCTTAGGTATAGATACCAGAAACACTGCTTTCTAGTGGGAGCAGAATATTCCAGATTGCAAAGAACTATGATGGCTCTCTGAGGTTGATCCCAACCTCCACCCTTTGACTCTCTTCAGGAAAGTATGGGGAGGGGAGCACGGCTCACTTTCATCCTGTAGGGAGCAAACCAGAAAGCTGGTTACTTACATTTAATAAAGTAAATATTCAAATATTCAGTGAAAGACTAAAAATATTCATGTGAATTCTTCTGGATTTCTGACCAGCACTTTTTGTTTTTCTGGTTTATTCTAACAAAATCGTTTTAACTTCAATGGAATGTTATATGAACCTTTTTTTTTTTTTTTTTTTTTTTTTGCTGTACACGGGCCTCTCACTGTCATGGCCTCTCCGGTGCGGAGCACAGGCTCCGGACGCACAGGCTCAGCGGCCATGGCTCACGGGCCCAGCCGCTCCACGGCATGTGGGATCTTCCCGGACCGGGGCACAAACCCGCGTCCCCTGCATTGGCAGGCGGACTCTCAACCACTGCGCCACCAGGGAAGCCCCTATATGAACATTTTGACTCTTGTTTTTGGAATAAAAACTTTTACTTTCAATTATTTTGATAATAGAAAGATGATGTAAGGACCAAATTCCAGTTTTAACCCTCAGAAAAGAATGAGTCTATAGTCTTAAATGTCTGTAGAAAAAATCATTTTTTCATTTATCCTTTTAAGCCCTGGACATTAACGCTTTATACCTTATAAGAATGATGTATAAGAGAAAATTCTCTCACAGTGCCAATCCCTGATTCAGTTAAAGATTATAAATCATTTTAGTTTATGAATACTGATGAAAACCCTGGAATTCTAGTGTTACTACTCTAAATAATTTAGCTGACACAGAACATTCACAGGTTCTCATTCCCCAGGCACCCATAACCTTTTGTGTCTTTTTTCTGACCTAACTTTTCTGACTGGCTCGTGGCTCCTTAATTTCCAGAAAGTAGCTGTGCATTCTGAGGAATCATTTGGAGTGACTGCCAGTCTATATAGCACTGTTGCAGTTGGGTGGAGGTGGTGTGAGGTTTACATAACTTAAAGGCCTACACTGCTCCCAGTCAGCAGAAACCCAAACCAAGGGTATGAACTTTATGTTTTAATTTTTCTGCACCTGATAGGAAGCAAGTGTAACCTAGTGTTGATTTGTCCTCTTGGAAGTACTAATTTTAGAAGATCAGTATTTGTGTTATGTGTTTTCAACAGAATTATTTTTGTGGTAATACAGTGTGGGGTTCTGTTTGTGTGTATGTGTTTTGTCTTTTTTTTTTTCTTTCTTTCATTTTGCAGCTTCTAGCCACTTTAAAAGGAATTAAGGTATAAAAAAACTTAACAGAAGGTGTCTTAATTTATGTTTTCCCACCATAAAGAAATCTGTTGCTACATCAAATAACAAGAAGCACATAAGTAAATTGCAGCTCGATGAAATACTACTAAATTGCAGCTCTACTAAATGTCATTAAAAAGAATTATGTCCCCTACTTTCCATGTTGCTAATTGATAAAGGGAAGCACAGTTCATCTACTGAGTTTATGCCTCAAATCTCTCATCTGTAAAATAGAATCATGATAGTATCTACTTTCAGAGGTTGTTATGAAGATTAAATAGGTTGCATTAAGCTCTTAGAGCAGTGCTTCATGTGTAAAAAGCTCTTAGTGAATAATGTCGTTGTTGTTGTTACTGAGATGATTTCCCACATCTTTATGAAGCAGTTACTTGGATTCTTCTGTCTTCTTTAACACTCTTTCCTAGACATATAAGTTCAGTCTGAAGCAATTCAGAGCCCTGTCTTAAGCATAGACAGATCAAAGAAACAAGATGGAATGTCCAGGCATATCTACCTACTTACATATTTGCCTTTCTGTTTATCTGCCTTTCTCTCTTCAAATGAAGTTGGCCTCCTCAGTCAGTGGGGAATGGCTAAATTTTTCAATGAATGATTTAAGAAAATTGGGGATTTAGCAAGGTAAACAGGTAAATGAGATAGGCAGAGGAGTTAGGTAATAACCACTTAACCAAATATTTAGATGATATCATATCATAAAGTGGTAAGTGCTATAAAGAAAGTAAAACAGGGCTTCCCTGGTGGCGCAGTGGTTGAGAGTCCGCCTGCCGATGCAGGGGACACGGGTTCGTGCCCCGGTCCGGGAAGATCCCACATGCCACGGAGCGGCTGGGCCTGTGAGCCATGGCCGCTGGGCCTGCGCGTCTGGAGCCCGTGCACCGCAACGGGAGAGGCCACAGTGGTGAGAGGCCTGTGTGCCGCAAAAAAAAAAAAAAAAAAGTAAAACAAGGTACCAAGCTAAAGAGTGACTAAGCTCGGGCAGAGGTGAGGTGCTCCACTAGCCACAGTGGTCAGGAAAGGCCTCTCTGAGGATGTGACATTTGAGCTGTACCCTGAATAATAGGAGACAACTGTGTCAGTGGAAGAGCAAGTGCTGAGAGGAGTGCTGAGACTGTATAAGATGGTTGTGTTTGAGGTCCATAAAGAAGGCCAGTATGACTGGAGCATGGTAGCTGAGTAGGATGGGTAGACAGGGGCCACTTTCTGGAGGGAAGTGTGGTAAAGAGTATAGATTTTATTCCTGTTTCTGTGGAAAGTCTGAACAGTTTTCATATGGGGAATGATATGCTACTGTGTGGAGATATGGTGGGAGGGCTGGGGATAGGGGGGTAGTAATCTAGGGGACAGATAGTGGACTGAGATACTGAAATTATAGCAGTGGAAATGGCTTATAATTTGTGGGTAGAGTTGACTGGTCTTGTTGACGGTTTGAGTATGGAGAGTGAGAGAAGGAGAGAAATTGAAGATGACTTCTATGTTTTGGGCCTGAGATGCTGGATGGATAATGGTGCCACTTACTGAGGTGAAGACTTGTAAAAGATCAGGCTTCAAGAGAAAGAATCAAGAGTTCTGTCTTGGACTCATGGATATGGAGAACAGACTTGTGGCTGCCAAGGGGGAGGGGGTGGGGGGAAGGATGGAGTGGGAGGTTGGGGTTAGCAGCTGTAAGCTACTATACATAGAATGGATAGACAGTGGGGTCTCGCTCTGTATAGCACAGGGAACTATATTCAGTATCCTTTGATAAACCATAATGGAAAAGAATATGGAAAAAAAGAATGTATATATATGTATAACTGAGTTGCTTTGCTGTTCAGTGGAAATTAGCATGACATTGCGGGTCAGCTATGCTTCAATTAAAAAAAAAAGAGTTTTATCTTGGACATGTTTTGCCTGAGATGGCAATTAGATAGTCAAGTGGACATGTCATATAGGAAGTTGTAAATGAAAGTCAGCAGGTCAAAGGCAAAGTCAGAGTCAGTGATATAAATTTGGTAGTCTTTAGAACTAGATGGGATTTAAAGCAATAGGACTGGATAAGATTGCTTAGGGAGAACAAGTAGGTGAAAAATAGTAGAGTAAGGCATTCCAACTCCTAGAGACTGGCCTGAGGAAGAACCAGGAAAGAAGTCTGAGAAAAATGGCCCACAAGGAAGCAGAAATACTGCCTAAAGAAGAAATTGTAGAGTAGTTTCTAATATGACAATGTGAAATGTTCTCTTTTTTTTTTTAATGAAAACTCAATGTAGAGAATTTTAAATTTATAACTTGTATGAAGAGGAAGACATATATATGCATCTATATGTGTGTATGTGTTCTGAACTCTCAACACTGAGTAGTTTTCTGGTAGATATTGTAGAACTTCAGTTAAATTCTAACACTAGTGGTGAATATGATATTTCAACCCAGCTCTATTAACTATTTCACACAGAAGAGAGAAAAACAAAGTTTAGGTAGGCAGCGCTAATGTAGAGCTAGCAATTTACTTGGAAATGACAGAAGTGTGTCAGATAAATCCTAGAGTCCTTGGCCTATTATCGAATAGCCTTACATCTTAACTCTGTGCTGAGTTTTCAAATCAAATCTATTAGGAGCTCTTATTTTTCCCCTTTGTGATACAAGATAATGGTAAAACGTTCCCCTACCCCCACCCCCTGCCCTGCTTTGTAGCTAACCAAGCTATATGTATTCCGTAAAGCAAGGGGTACATTCATTTGTGCAGCAAGCAACCATTATTGGTATGTCATATATAAGAATTTGTTATATACATCATGAATTATATCCTAAATTACCCTTATAATTGATAGATACATTATACCAAATGAAATTAATTTTGTTTTTAAATGAAAGAACTCTCTTAAGAAAATTATTTCTTCTGGAGATATTCTGAGTTTATTAGATAAATAATTGGCTATTGCAGTTACACTTTGACTTATAAGAAGGATTTATTTTATGTATGTGGACTGTTTCACTATTGTAAAGATATGTACATATATCAAAATGTTACTGTCGATTAGTTTGAAGTCTCTTTTGTTCCTTAAAATGTCTTCCAACCACATTAAATTATACTATCCACCCATTTATTAACGACCAGAGCTTTTAATAGACTTTCATTTCCTTAACCTGGTAGAACACAAAATTGATTGCAGGAATTATGCAGTCATGCAAAGCTTACAGGATACGGGCAGGGTTTCCTTTTACTTTTTTTTCCCAATAATGCACATTACTTTCTAAAAATTACTGTTAATTCATGATTTTTTAAAATCTTATTAAATTGTAGAACTAGTTCATGACACCCTTCCTGATGAGATTTTCAGTGATAGTTTTTAGTTGGTACCCACCATTTGAGTTATTGGGTAGACAGATGAAGCATGATGATAAAACATTTGGTGGAACTGATGTAATAAGACTTTCAATTAGTAGCTTGCTCATAAAATAATTATCGTTTAAAACCAGTAAAATGGTTAGAGCGGCCATTTCCTGTGGATTAAGATTTCAAGTCTCAGTGGAGTAGTTTTGATTTTGTTTTCCCCCAAATAAGGTTGTAGAATTACTGCATTTTTTCCATCTATATTTTTGTAGCATTGATGTCACCTCCCTCTCACATTTTTGGCTCCTAACACAGATACTGATTATTTCTGGAATGTGACTCTGAAAGGGGTTACTTAAGGAAGGGAATCACTATGGATTGCAAATCATCATAGTGTTTCTGTGAAGATTTCCAATTGAGTTTGGGTTTAGAGTGTGATTTCCTTTTACTGTTTTTGACTCAGTTTAAGATGCTACCAGAATTATTTCAAGATGACGAGAAGGCCATCAGTCCAAGCTCAGCCACCTCTTCAGGGCGCACGCTCCTTACCCGCACTCCTGCAAAGCCCACCAAAGGCAGACCAGGCCAGGCGGCCAAAGAGCACAAGAAAACGGTGGGGCACCAGGTGAGTTCAGGGAGCCGCTGCTGCAGTGCTACTTCCCCTCTGGCTCAGCTGGAGCCTCAGGTCTTCCTTTGTCAGCCTCCCAGGTGGGGTCCTCAGGTGAGGAGAGGCTGGAGCTTTCACTGTGAGAACACAGAACACTGTCCACTCATACTTCTCCCCTCCTAACATAGACCCGTAACTCTGCTTAAGCGTTTCCCAAAATAATTTTCTCTACATTTTAATTCTTCCAGTACATATCCTCCCTCACAAACCACTGCTGCCTTTGTTTTGTTCTCTGGCTGTTTCCTCTCTGGATTTGTACAGCTCCTTCAGCCCAGGAACCGTGCCTTCTGCTTTCTTTGATGTTTTATGCACCAGGGGACTGGGAAACACGACACACGTGCTTAGTGCCTGAACTAGGGCTGGGGGCTTTGGGCAGGAGGCTGAGTGCTAGTCAGCTTGTTTTCCTGAGCAGATAGGAAGCAGGGCCTGGCACAGGTCCACAGCCCCCAGTATGATCCCATGTCCCTAAAGGTAATCCCACCCTGGCTGTACTCTTCCATCCTCTGCCCCCCCCCATTTCCTATACTCTTTTAAGTCATCTGCTACTTTTTTCAGTATCATACAGCAAAATTCCTACTGTACATGATTAAATGACCTTAATATCTTTAAAGCAAGCTTATATTTTTAGTCAAAGTTTTAAGTGTACAACAGAAAGCTACAGAAATCTATATTAAAAGGGTGGGTGGAAGAATGAACTCTAATGTAATGATGATAATGATGTGTGATAATGATGTGTCTAAGTAGGTTCATCAACTGTAACACATGTACTGCTGTGGTGGAGAATGTAGATAATGGAGGAGGCCATGCCTGTGCCAGGGTAGGGGGTATGGGGGACATCTCTGTACCTTCTGTTTGATTTTGCTGTGAACCTCAAACTGCTCTAAGAAAATAAAGTCTGTTTTAAAGAGGCAGGGGCAGTGGTGGTGGTGGGAGGAGCGAGAATATCTGTTTAGCAGAGTGAGCATGTAAATGGTAGGGTTTAAGCAAATTTGAACCAAAAACCCTAGCAGCTCCACTGTTGAGGGCTGGTCAGGTTCACAGGTGGCAAAGTCATCTCCACTAGTGTCATTTGAAGAAAATTTTCAGTTGTTTTATGTCATCTTTGACAAAACCTTGATGCCCCTTTCTGCTCTTTTTCATGCAGTTCCGAAACTCCCTTCACCTGCTTATGGAGACCCTGAATGCCACTACCCCTCACTACGTGCGCTGTATTAAGCCTAACGACTTCAAGTTCCCATTCACGTAAGTATTTCTCAACTGCTGAATTTAAAGTATCCATATCTCATAAGGATTGCCAAACCAGCAGCAGAGAAAAAATACTTAGGTAAACCTTCATGTCTTGTAGAGGGAAAAAACTAGTTAATAGAACTTTTTCCGTTTTTGTTCCCTTTTAAGAACGTGAAAACAGGGAATTCCCTGGTGGTCCAGTGGTTAGGACTCCACACTTCCACTGCCAGGGACCCGGGTTCCATCCTTGGTCGGATCAGGGAACTAAGATCCCACAAAGCCTCACGACGTGGCCAAAAAAAAAAAAAATGTGAGAACAAATTAGTAGTTGGCCTTCTGATGAGTTTAAAAGTTGAGATCAACCACACATTTCTAATACTATTTTCTATTTGTAATTTACTTCATTTCAAGATCTTTTTGGTTAACTTGGACGTTAGTTAAAACCAGAGCTGGGTGAGATAAGGTTGCTTTGGCAAAGGCTCACAATCATCCCTGCTACTTTTCAACTGTTGAAACTATCAGAGAATGTCTACTTTTACCAAACATCTTGTCCTGTGTCAAATACCATTTGCGAGAGGAAGTTTTTTCCAAAACGGAAATATTTCTCTAATTTTGAAAGTAATGCGTGCACATTATAAAGACAATTTTCAGGAAATATAAAGTGGTGTAAAAATAAATGAAAGAGCATTTCATTATACCCAGAGAGATAAAAAGTATTAACTGGCATAGATCCTTCTTGATCATTCCTTTCCTGCTATATATGTGTGTGTGTGTGTGTGTGTGTGTGTGTGTGTGAGAGAGAGAGAGAGAGAGAGAGAGAGAGAAAGAGAGAGAGAGATTAATAAAATGGAAGGGATCATGCTGTAATTGTTGTTTTGTATCTGCTTTCAACTTATGAGTGTTTTCCGTGTTAGTAAATACAAATCCACATCATCATTTTAATGGCTACATCATATCCCATTATATACACATAACACCATTCTTTTAAATTATTCCCTATTGATGACCATTTGGGTTATTCCTATGGCTATGATAAACATCTTTTGCCAAACATTTTTATATATTTGCCTGATTATCTCCTTAGAATAATGTATTTCTAGAAGTGGAATTTGTGGGTCAGAGATTAGGCACACTTACCAAAGGCTGTAATAACTCCCACTCCGCAGTGTGTGCGTGCTCCTTTACCTACACCCATCCAGCCTTGCCCTTGGAGAGTCGGCCTTAGACTGCAGGGCACTTCTCAAAGACTGTTGTATTCTTCTCATTGCCAAGAAGCCCTTTCTGGAGGGCTGGAGAAGCTGGAAGAAGCTGCCACGCCCTGGGTGACTTTCCTGGACAGCCCTAGAGGCCATTACCTTCTGTCAGCCAACCGCATCTCCCATCACCAATAAAACACTTGAGAAGATAGCGCAGCAGAAGCCTCGGATAGGTCACTCAGGGCTTAACTGGGGAGTAAGAGGAATCATCATCCCGTAAGAAGCAGGCCTTGCTACTTCTTCTTTTAGTGTCAATTTAACATTAAGGTGCCGTTTATCTAGAGTGAAATACACACAAGATATAATATAAAATATTTTTCACTGACGTGGACACTATTAATGCTTAGTATGTATACACTGAGTTGAATAGCTTTTAGAACACCAATAATTTTTTAAAAATACCTGAATGGGGCATATTTAATTTGTTCTTCTTGTTAGAGAAATCTCCAGGGCTGGCCAGTCTTTATTCCAGGGGAGCTCTGCATGGTGAACTAAAGAGTTATGAGAACAGCTAGTCAGGCCAATGCATGTAATGAGCATGGCACAGTGCAGAGGAGTTTGGGCTTTTTAATATGTTTAATGGCATTTCTTATAAGTTTGTGGTATGTATTTTTACTGCTAATGGTCTCTTCCCCTCTCTTACATGGAGTTTTCCATTCTGATCACTGTTCCAACTTTTGAATTTTTTTTTTCTAATTTATCCATTTGGCTCTTTACAAAAGAATCCAGTCTCTGGACTGAGGAAAGTAGTTTGTGGCTAGAGCCACGCTTCTTTGTGTATTAATGATTTCCATTTTTACACATAGGTTTGATGAGAAGAGGGCAGTACAGCAGCTGAGAGCGTGCGGTGTCCTGGAAACCATCCGAATCAGCGCAGCAGGTTTCCCCTCTCGGTGGGCTTGACATTTTTCAAATATAAGGGATCCTAAAGGGGGAGGTTCCTGCTTCTTTAAATAAGCTGACATGAATTTCTTTTTATAGGTGGACTTACCAAGAATTTTTCAGCCGCTACCGTGTCCTAATGAAGCAAAAAGATGTGCTAAGTGAGAGAAAACAAACATGCAAGAATGTTTTAGAGAAACTGATAAAGGTAAGAAAGATTTTTCACTTACCTTTATCGGAACAGATGTTTGCCAAAGGCCTTGTGATTGTAACCTGTGAATGTCCTAGGAATATCCATATACTACTAATCCGGGTTATTCAGGGGTGGAAAGGTGGAGAGGCACACTGTCTTGGAGGTCAAGGCTCCCTATCTTTACGATGGAAGGACTAGTAAAGATGATGGTCCAGTATCAAGATACAGGATGGTGAGGCCTGGACCCAGACTTGAGACACATTCTTTTTATTTATTTATTTATTTATTTATTTTGCGGTACGCGGGCTTCTCACTGTTGTGGCCTCTCCCGTTGCGGAGCACAGGCTCTGGACGCGCGGGCTCAGTGACCATGGCTCACGGGCCCAGCCGCTCCGCGGCATGTGGGGTCTTCCCAGACCGGAACACAAACCTGTGTCCCCTGCATCGGCAGGCGGACTCTCAACCACTGCGCCACCAGGGAAGCCCCCAAGTACTAAATTTTTATTGAAAATTACTTATGACAGACACCAGGCCAGATGCTGTGTGATTAAGAAAAATAAGTCTTGTCCTCAGGTGACATAGTGTGTCTTGGAAATTAATGCATTTTAAAGATAAGTATAATATACCTTAGTGTCTGTCAAATGCTGAGTGAGTGAGACAAGAAATCAACGGAAGACAAAGCCACATCTGCTGTGGGAAGGAGGAACTATTTCATGGAAGACATGTATTTTGAGTCAGGCCCTGAAGAGTGGGTAAGATTGTATAAAGTGGAAGGAGACTATCCTAATAGGGAGCAAGGAGCAGAAAAGCATAGTTTTCTCAGAAAGCAGTTAGAGTCGGATTTTTGTTTTTGCTTTTGCAGTAAAAAAAAATGGTGCATGGGACAGTAGGGAATTGGTTAGGAAATGTGGGTTGGTGTTTGAAGAGACTTGCATACCAAGCTAAGGCGTTCACAGACTTTAGAATGCACCAGAGTCACCTTCAGGGCTTGTTAAACTTCAGAGTGCTGGGCCCCACCCCTAGAACATCTGATCTGGTAGGTCTGGGACGTGTCCAATAATGTGCATTTCTAACAAGTTCCCAGGTGATGCCGATGCTGGTTTGAGGACTACATTTTGATAACCACTGATGTAGGTTGTAGAGAATTTAAGACTCATGAGATGCTGTTTAAAGAATATTTTCACTTATTTGACACTAGGTTGGATGGATTACCTCACTTTGAAGTAATTAGTCATAATTATTAGCTATTAACTAGATGTAATATCTCTTCTTTGGTGATAATAACTTTATTTTTCTTGAAAGCACTTAGGCCACTTTCCTGGTAATGTGTAAAAGAATCTGATACATTTTGAATCTGGCCTAAGTCCTTTCTAGGGAATGGAGAGCAGAAAGTAGGGAAAGCCTCCTCCCCCAGACTGCTCCCCCCTGCGCTTGGGGCCACAAGGTAAAGGAGTGTAGGCTTGGGGGCGAGGGAGAGAGAGCTGAGATGAAATGGGGCAGGGAGAAGGAGACAGGGAGAGGGAACCACTTTCTAGCTCTTCCAGCTAGCCTCCTTTGCAAACTTTATTGATTTAAACTGAAACAGTTTTAGATATATGTGGAGATTTCTGGTTTTCTGTTTTCATGTACAAGATAGGAAATATTTGCTTACAGTGAAAAGTGATTTTTCTCTGTTTTCACTTAGAATTTCAGATCACAGTATTGATTATTATAAATAAATTCTACTCTTCTTTTGATATAAGATGGTTAATAACTTGCATGCTTCTAGATAAGCTGGATCAGAATATAATAGACCAAAACTAGCATGCATATATATCTGTGTTTACTGCTCAGCTTTGTTTATAATCAGAAGTCAATGAGCATCATAAATGATTACATTTTTGTAAAAGGAGTTTTGAAATTTGTAGGAAGATTTACTGTTGATAAAACCAAGGGATAACTGTTGAGAAACTTAGCTCTTAACATGAATATGCAAGATTTTTTATCTTTTAGTTTTTATTTTGTGTGCATTACTTCCTGCCTTTTTCTTCATATTGGTGTTTTTGTCCCTTCAGCTTTCTCATGGAACACACAGCCCGATGTAATTCTTACAGCCTGGGTCAGTCAGAGGGAGTGTCAGCATCTCCATTTCCTTGAGATATTTAAAATACAGACAAGCAAATAGTAGCTGCCTATAACCCACAACCAAGTTTTGGGCCTCAGATAATAATTCCAGGTAGAATAATTCTGGAAAATAACTCTTACCCTGCAGTTTTCCTTAAAGTCCCTTCTATTTGCTCCACTTGCATAGGATCAAAAAGCTGGCTCCATTAGTTAATTGTGATGTAGCCCAAGTTTTAGCTAATAGTTTTATCCCTTTACTGATTCTGCTTTTAGACATATATTTTCTCTTTAAAATTCATTTATCTAGTCATCATTTCTACTTCTGAGTATACAGTTTCTTCCAAAAATAGGACAAGGACAAATACCAGTTTGGGAAGACAAAGATCTTTTTCCGTGCCGGTCAAGTGGCCTATCTGGAAAAATTGAGGGCAGACAAATTGAGGGCTGCCTGCATCCGGATCCAGAAGACGATCCGAGGGTGGCTGCTGCGGAAGAAGTTCCTGCGCATGCGCAAGGCTGCCATCACTGTGCAGAGATACGTGCGAGGCCACCAGGCCCGATGGTAGGTCTCCTGGCAGCATGTCCACTCTGGCTCACGGGCAGCGAAGACTGGCGGGCTCATCTGATTGATTGTCCAAACTAGGACAGTTTTGAGTGGTCACCCTACCTGAGAAGGCAGCACCTTACCTCTTCTTAGGTCCAAGGGATTAACTCATAAGACAGTTAAATAGAATACAATTTCACTCACCTTTGTGAATGATTCAGATTGAACCTCAAAAAAATAATTACAAATTACTGCCTACTCATGTCCTCAGTATTTATTTTTTATACATTTATATGGGCTTGAAGAAATCATCTGTAAATTAGAACAGTCATGAATATAACTAGTTAATAATGACTCTGTTGAGGAGTTTGGGGGAGCAGTTAGCTGAGAAGGTATAGAAGAGAGTTAGTTACACTTACGTGTGATTACATATTAGGATAATTTTAATTTAGAGATATCAAAAGACATGAATTAATGGTAAAGAACTTGTGCCCAAATGGATAGATTAAGGAAAAAGATCGTGCATTAGCAATGGATAGAGCTAAGAAGGCTGGGTGATAAGTAAGTACAGGATTACTGTGTAAGCTCGTCTGCTATGTAAAGGGGACATAGCCTGGGGTAATGAGCACAGTCCTAGAAGGAATAAGCCTTTATGACCTTCACTTTCTGTATTGTAAAGTCAAGTAATATGGGACATCCCACTTTTCAGGGTTAGGTAAGGCTCAAATGAGATAATGGATGCACAGATATTTGGGGGATCATCAAATAACTATACAAATATAAGAAATATAAATGTTGATTTAACGTGTATGTTATTAGAATAATACAATGGAGGTGCTACTTATTCTGCCAAAGATACTGGTGCTTTCAGCCTCTACAAAATGTATTCATGGGTTTTTCTGATTACTGACTACGCACTACTCTTTCTCTGGCCAGTTATGCTAAGTTCCTGCGCAGAACCAAGGCAGCAACCATCATTCAGAAGTACTGGCGCATGTATGTAATCCGCCGGAGGTACAAGATCTGGCGGACTGCCACGATCCTCCTTCAGTCTTACCTTCGAGGCTACTTGGCCAGAAATAGGTATCGCAAGGTGAGGCCTTGTTTTCAACTTTGTTTATTCATTCCATTAACGTTAATCAAATTCCACGTCTGTACAAAGTGCCACAGGGGCTCCTATGGATGTAGGAGTCATATGGAGACAACCAACAATTGAAATACATTTTTAAATATTAAATAAGCCACATATATTTATTAACATGATGTTGAAAAAGAAAATTTACTTTTTTCTTCCCCTGTCTGTAATTTGAAAAAAAAGTGAGTATATTAGTTTCCTGTGGCTGCTGTCATAAATTACCACCAACTTGGTAGCTTAAAACAACAGAAGTTTATTTTCTCACAGTTCTGGAGGGAAGAACTGAAATTAAGGTGTCAGCAGGGCTGCTCTCCCTCCAGAAGCTATGGGGGAGAACTCATTCCCTGCCTCTTCTAGTGCTGGTGGCCACCAGTATTCCTAATAATTGTGGCCATATCACTCCAGTCTCTGATTCCATCTTCACATCATCTTCTCTCTGTGTCTAACTTCACTTCTTTTGTCTGTCTCTTATGAGAACACTTGTGATGGATTTAGGGCCCACCCAGATAATCCAGGATAATCTCTCCATCTAGAGATCCTTATCTTAATCATATCTGCAAAGGCCCTTTTCCCAAATAAGGTAATATTTACAGATTCTTAGTATTGGGGGCCTTTATTCAGCTGACTATGGTGAGCTTTGAATAGGTAAAAATATTGGATAGGCCAAAAAGTTCGTTCGGGTTTTTCTGTAACATCTTACAGAAAACCCAAACGAATTTTTTTTTTTTTTTTTTTTTTTTTTGCGGTACGTGGGCCTCTCACTGCTGTGGCCTCTCCCGTTGTGGAGCGCAGGCTCCGGATGCACAGGCTCAGCGGCCATGGCCCACGGGCCCAGCCGCTCCGCGGCATGTGGGATCCTCCCAGACTGGGGCACAAACCCGCGTCCCCCACATCGGCAGGCGGACTCCCAACCACTGCGCCACCAGGGAAGCCCCGAACGAACTTTTTGGCCGACCCAATATATGGCAGATGAACAGATTAAGAATGAAACAACCTTGGAACAATTTACCATGGTAAAAATGAAATCAAATATAACATCAATGTGGTCAAAATTGTATTGACTGGAGTATGATGCTCTAGAAATTTTTGACAAATAATCTTTATGTCTAGCAATAATCATCATGGCTATAGATGGTGGATCATCAGATTAGTCTTAGTCATCACCTCTAACAATATATGATCTAGTCGATGAAAGTTTTTCCTCTTTCATTTCGGCAAGGTTTTGAGTCTGTTCTTTAGAATATAGCCCTAATAAGCCAAAAATACAGTCTGGATCTTGGAGCTCTCTGGGCATCACTGTTAGGAGTGTCAGTAGAGTGATGTGAAGGACATTTCTCTAATCACAGGCAGTGATTATGTGGGCGTGCCCTAGGCCCTATTCATGTATTTATTTTATTTTCTTATTTTGAATTAATTTTATATAACAAAGAGAAATGGAACGCTAATGAGGCTTGAATGAGCATATTTAATAGCTGTGTTTTGAAGAAAATTTGAAGACTTAGCTACTCCAGGTCTTTCTGCCCACGCCTGCTTTATAGTCAGATGTTCTTTCTCTTCAAGCATGAGCTTTCAAGGGAGGGAAAAGCCTTATTAAACTTGACCTTTTAGATATACCAAACCAGTTACCCTCCTGTTTTCCTCACTACTCTCCTCAGGAACATCTGAACTGGCGTGTGAGGCCTTTGGTTTAGCAGTAGCAGTCTCTAGCTAGCTTAGCTCCCGGTGTGACTGGACATAGTAGGGGAGGCAGGTTAGAGACAGACTCGTGTGTAGGCCAGTAGTACCCCCTTAGTGATCCTTCTAGCTGTGATTCCAATCCAAGCTTCCCCCAAGCTTTGGGGGTCTTAAAGCGAGAGCAAGTGTTATTTAATGTCTCTGACTCACCGATGGAAATGAGATTGAGAATGGAAGCTCTAATTATATACTGTTTCCATTTGACTGAAATTAGAGAAATGGACCAGTATCTGAAGTTACATGGGGAGAAGGAAATGGAACAGGAATATTGGCATTAATACCTTTGCCACTGTGTGCTGCTTGAGTTTTAAAGTCTGAAAGCCTTCAATTTGCCATCACTGAGTCTTATCCAGTTTGTCACTAGTCATCCAGATAAGATAGGTAGCTCCCTTGGGATTGTGTTGTTGAGTGAGAGCTCAGGATGCCCTGCCTCACTGCGGCATGATGCATGGTGACTGCACTTAGTGGGAACTGAAGGCTGCCTTAGCATTAGGAAAACATCCCAAAGGGACAGCCTTGAGTTGGCTGAAGATACTATGAAGGTCTGCTAAACACCTATGTTTATTTTGTATTTGTTGGCTTTAAACACAACGACTTATTTCTTAATTGTATCCTCTAGGATGGCATATGTTTTTCATGGTTTTTCTCAGCTACATAACCTAAAAATAGGAACTGTTCTTTTAATGATCTTACTAAACTGCTACCTATCTGAATAGATGGTTTCAGAGATTTTTTACATTTAAAAAGTTTCATAAAAGATACATTGTATCCATTTATAATAATCACTAATAAGTACTTAATCAAGTGCATACATTTAAACATTTATATCACACAAGACTTATTTTGTAATATCGTAGACTTGAAAGGACATCAAAGTTTTGCTAGTTCAACCGTTCTTAAAATTTAAGAACTTCTTCCCCATCATTCCTGGAAACTGTTTACACAATCTCTGCTTGATGGTCATTAGTGACAGGAAATTCATCTCATAAGGCAATCTTATTTTTTAAATTTTATTTTTATTATTATTATTTTTTTGGCTACATTGGGTCTTCATTGCTGCCTGAGGGCTTTCTCTAGTTGCGGCGAGCGGGAGCTACTCTTCGTTGTGGTGCACGGGCTCTAGGCAAGTGGGCTGCAGTAGTTGTGGGACGCGGGCTCAGTACTTGCAGCGCGTGGGCTTCAGGGCACACAGGCTTCAGTAGTTGTGGCACACGGGCTTCAGTAGTTGTGGCATGCGGGCTCAGTAGTTGTGGCCTGAGGGCTCTAGAGCACAGGCTCAGTAGTTGTGGCACACAGGCTTAGATACTCCGTGGCGTGTGGGATCTTCCCAGAGCAGAAATCAAACCCGAGTCCCCCTCATTGGCAGGCGGATTCTTAGCCACTGTGCCACCAGGGAAATGCAAGGCAATCTTATTGTTATAAGTTGTTTATAAGTTTAGGGCAATATCTTTTTTTTTAAGAAAATACAATATAAAATTAAGATTTGTTTACTTCACTTTATCTTCTTTTTAGCTTTCCTTTTAAAGTTCTCTCCCTACTACCTTTGAATCCCATAAATGGATTTGTGCTGCATTTATAATAGCAATGGGAAATCCTCACTAGAATGGTATTCCTCAAATATGGCAAACAAGAGTGTCATTTTTTTGTTGCTGGGGAAAAAAATCAATAAATCAGTAATAAACTTTGCAGTACCCCAAGTGTCGTCTTCTACAGCCTGCTTACTGGCCATACCCCATGTCCTCAAGCAGAGACCTAATGCACAGTGACATGGTATCAGCAGTAAGGGTAGTGGGTAAATCTCTTATTTTACTAGCACGTAGTTCACAGGGTACCAAGTTCTGCTTATTTTCTAAGGGATCACCTGTTGCTTATAGAAATCATAGAGCAATAAGAAACCTAATGCATTTTTTCTTTCTTTGTAGACTAGTTTTCTATTTAGTAATCTGGTACCTTTTATTTAGACAGCTTCTATCTGTATACTCCATTTATCATCATACATATACATGTAATCATACATATGACATGTGGATATAATACATATTTTTATATATGACTCTCAAATTTCCTCTTTTTTTTATAAAATGAGTTGAGTTTTTAAAAAATTTATCTTTATTTTTGGCTGTGTTGGGTCTTCGTTGCTGCATGCAGGCTTTCTCTAGTTGCGGCGAGTGGGGGCTACTCTTTGTTGTGGTCCGCGGACTTCTCATTGCAGTGGCTTCTCTCTTTGCAGAGCACGGGCTCTAGGCGTGCGCGCTTCAGTATTTGTGGCTCGCAGGCTTAGTTGCTCTGCAGCATGTGGGATCTTCCCAGACCAGGGATCAAACCTGTGTCCCCCGCATTGGCAGGCAGATTCTTATCCACTGCGCCACCAGGGAAGCCCTCAAATTGCATTTTAAAGACTACATTTCAATCACCTTTTAAAATAATTTTGTGTTTCCATACATTTGTGATAAATACAATCCACATAATACATTGTTGCTTCAACTTTTATGTCTTTTCCTTTAAGTAATGTGTGGGTTCTCAGCCTGACATCCATAGGTTAATAGAGTTGAATATTGAGTCTAGTCCAGGGTCTGACGTTACTTGCACTTACCCTCTTCTGCAGATACTCCGTGAGCACAAAGCAGTCATCATTCAGAAGTGGGTCCGGGGCTGGCTGGCTCGCACCTACTACAAGAGGAGTATGCACGCCATCATCTACCTTCAGTGCTGCCTCCGGCGGATGATGGCCAAGCGCGAGCTGAAGAAGCTCAAGATCGAGGCCCGCTCCGTGGAGCGCTATAAGAAGCTCCACATTGGCATGGAGAACAAGATCATGCAGCTGCAGCGCAAAGTTGACGAACAGGTGTGTTTTAAACAGGAGTCCTGAAAGTGCAGCATGCCTAACAAAATCCACTGGGGTCATCTTCAGCATTGTCCCCTCTTGACTTTACCTTTCAGTCTTCGCAAAAAAAGTAAAATAATAATGGCATTAATGAATGTGGAAATAGTGACAAGCTCATAGGTAAGATGATAATTGCAAGGACCAAGGCAGGAAATTATTTTCGAGAACACAGACAGGTTTACTAGCACTCCAAACAGTTAGGACCGAGAGTCATATTGTACTTTATATTTTACAAAGCTCTTTCATCATCATCATTCATTTGTGTATAGTGTATTGTTCCTTTTACAGATGAGTTGTTTAGCGTTGAGATGGCAAAAGAAGCAGGAAAATGTCCATGCTTCTGAGAAATCTGCAGTCTATTTGCAGAGATAAAAGTTTGATTTCTTAGAGATAGTTACCAAGTAATATTTTAGCACATGCAAATGATATAAAGGTAGTTAGTAATACATAAATACTAAGGATGACAAAGAAAAACAGAAAAGAGAATGAAATAGGATTCATCAGAAAGGTTTTCTGAGTGGGAAGAGGAGTTTCCAGATGGTAAACAAAGGGATTTGTGAGAAACTTGTGATTTTTGAGGCCATTTTATCATTCTTATGCATCACTAGCCGGTACGTGGCTTTCAGTAGCACACTGATTTGTTTTCAAAAGCAAGTATAGATTTTCCTACTCCTGGATTAAGAATCAAGAAAGAGAATTTACTGTGGGAACTCACCTTGTGACTATGAGAAAATCACATCTATGTTGCTCATCATGTAAAACAGAAATATTTGTGCCCATTCTCTCTTTGTATCACTAAGAGGGTGCTGATGGTGTTATTTTAAATATTGTCATTAGTAATTTTGGTTAGATACTATATCAGCACTATGATGATATAGCATGAATACGATGAATAGGCATGGTTTTCTCACTAAATACATTTGTGGTGTGTATATTTACTTTTTGTCACTTATGTGTGTGTTTAAAGAACAAAGACTACAAATGCCTCATGGAGAAACTGACCAATCTGGAAGGAATATACAACTCTGAGACCGAGAAACTACGAAGTGACTTAGAACGTCTTCAACTAAGTGAGGAAGAAGCTAAGATTGCTACTGGACGTGTCCTCAGTCTGCAGGAAGAAATTGCCAAGCTCCGGAAAGACCTGGAACAAACTCAGTGTGAGAAAAAATCCATTGAAGAGTGTGCTGATAGATACAAACAAGAAACTGAGCAGGTAGGAGCTAATGTTCATATCCCCATCTACTCCTTCCACAAAGGAGTTGTGCTGTCATCTTGACCCGGCCCTTGTGGCTCAATATTGGTTTCAATCGAAGGTAAACACACATTTCAGATGGTTTACTGTTCATTATTAGTGTTTCCCCCAAGCAGCTGTTCCATATGCTGGATGAGTACCTATAGGTCTTTTAGTAAAACCTTTTACTCTCCTAAGAACAGAGGCAAAGCAGTGTTATAAGAAGAGAAGTGATGGCCGAGAACCTACTATACACCCTTTTTCTTTGAATGAATAGATCTGTGTGGAGTGTAGACTCTTTTTTCTTCAGCAGGTTAAAGGTGATTAAGAAGTAAATCACAATGAACTGTCAGTAGCTGATAGTAGGGATCTTTATGGAAACCTGCATTAAGACTGTTTTGAGAAGTCCAACAGGAAAAAATCCAAATGTCTGCACACTGATCGTAGCCAAGAGCTGCTATGCAGATAGAACAACAATGAAAATGCTTACGGATTGACCAGTGCTTCCACACTACAAATTTGTATTAACTTATATCAAAACTTTAATAAATAAGAAAACACTAAGGTTCTCAAGCAGTAATGAGATGTATTGGTTAAACAAAGTAAAGATACCTCAACATAAGGCTTACTGGAAAAAAGTAATAGGTTTTCAGAGATTCCACTAGTATTACCATCTTTAAATGAAAACAGAGTTGACTGATGGCTGTAACTATGGCAAGAATCCCAATATGCTTTTTCCTTACTGACTTCTGAACCTTAACAGCAGCTTATACAGTAAGAACCTCGAAGGAGCTTAGACACAATTCAGGTAGGATAGTGTAGCTAATAAAGTTGCAATCCTTCCATGGTATTCAGGGTCCTGATAAAATAATCCCTTCTATATCTATAGCAGATCTGGGCTCTGATCTGGAAACAGCAGTGCTATTAATATGTTACTTTGACATAGCAAGCTTGTTCTCTCAGAATTCAAATATGTATCCAATGGGATACTGTTGAGGTTTAAGATCTCTCTTTCTTGTGCTCTCTCTCTCTTTTTTTCCCCATTTCCTGAGTCCCTGGAAGCTTTCCAAATTCCTCCGAAACTATAGAGAATTAAGCTTGGTAGGAGTATTCTCGTTTCCTTTTCAAAGTCAAGTTCATACCTTTCTCGTCTGATAGAATAGTATACCTGAACATATTCAGATTTCTCCTTTCGTTTTATTATCTGCTGCCTTCACAAGGATAGCTGTAGGCACTACCATTAATTCTTTTAGATGGAGTGTGATAATGAGGAAGAATGAAAAAATTTCCCTGTGAGAGCTAGCTTTGTGGTCTGGAAAGCTACATTGCCAGTTAGCCTGACCAAGGAGCCTAGAAGGTCCAGCAGAACTGTGGTTCTTAACCAGGAGTGTATTTCAGAATATGCTGGAGAGTTTTTTAAAAAGATACCTGCCCAAGCCCTGGGAGTGTGGACCAGGCACATGTATTTTGAAAAAGCACCACAGGTGATTGGTTGCATACTCTGACAAAGAGCAGCCTCTCTCAAGAGCACATAGAGAACTCAACCTTTCTACTGAGAGCAGACGTTAAGACCTTATCGGCACAGAGGGAAGACACTGGACCATCAGAAGGAACACCTTCTGGCCTGACTTGTGCAGTGGCACAGTGCTGTAATCTCAGTTCCCTGTTCTTCAGGGATCCTTAGTCAGAGAGCCCGCTTTCTCTGTCTCTGAACTCCTAAACTTTCTCTTTATTAGTAAAGCTGTTGCTTTAAGAGTGCCTTGAACTTATGCTTAGAGAAAGGAATTCAGATTTCACTTATAACAAGCACACATTCTATTCCAAAGGTGAACTGTATAAATTATGAACTTAGCAAAGTTTCCTTTGGTTTTGATTTTTGCTTCCTGAGAATCCTTATCCAACCAGGAAATAGAAAGTTAAAGGTCAATATTTTTTTATTGTGATAAAATATACTTATATGTAACATAAAATTTACCATTTTAATCGTTTTAAGTGTACAGTTCTGTGGCATTAAGTGTATTCACAGTGTTGTAAGGTCAATGCTTAAATGTGGAATAAAAGTTTACAGCCTTGCAAAACTCTTGAAAGGAGATGAAAATGAAATTCTCTTTCTCAAGACAGAGAGCAGGGAGCTTTGGAAGGTCTTCAGTGAATTTCCAAAACCAAAATGACTTTCATATTTTTCTTAACCTCTGTAATCTCTCTGCTTGAATCATGGGTACACATAAACGTTGCATTAGGTTGTTGGTGTGAAAAGGCATTATCATTGCTTCAAGCGCAAATGCTTACTAGGTGCCAGGCAATTGCTAAATGCTCAAGGTACAAAGTAAAACAATAACAGCAAGTCATTTTTGTCCTCCAGGAATTTCTAGTCAATCAGGGAAGTAAAAGTAAATCATTTATAAGGGCTATAAAGAGGCATATTCAGGGTCCTGTAGTACCCCAAAGGAGAGACATATAATTGCAGGGAGTTTCTGGGAAAGCTTTCTGGAGGGTAATGCTAGAAACAAGTTTGAAGGATGACCAGATATAACTCGGCAAAGAAGTGAGGCAGTGAGATGTGGAAGTAAGGAGTGCCTGCCGGTGACTGCTGTATGTATGGTCTTTGTATTCAGTATCCGGCTGCCTCTGTCTGTGGCAGCCATCTCAGTTTATTGTTTCATTTTATAGTTGGTATCAAATCTGAAGGAAGAAAATACTCTGCTGAAGCAGGAAAAAGAGGCCCTCAATCACCTTATCGTGGAGCAGGCTAAGGAGATGACAGGTAAGCCTCATGTGGGCCCAGCCTACTGCACTCCAACCAACCTCAGACCAAAGGTTTATAAGTTACAACTTTGCTTAGACTGTCATCAGTAAATTTGCAGAGTTCTGGAGGCAGGCACTCTAAATATTTGGTTGAATTAGTTGGTGAACTTGTAAATCTGGTCTCCCTATGTACAAATATCAATTCGTATTAGTCAGTATCATGTGACTTTTAAAAAAATTGTTCTATATGTATGATTTATGGCTTATAGGAGTCCTGTTGTTTTAGGACCAATTCTTGAGCTAATATGTATATGTATATGAGTATATGCATCTGTATATATTATTTATTTTGCTAAACCAATGGATATTATTTTCCTAAGATCAACCACTTTTTGCCACCTTAAGAAAAAAAGACACTAGATATGGACATTTATTTCATTTGCTGTTTGTAAGATAAATTAAAATGGTGATAATTTACAAGGAATCCACATGTACATAAACATGAGCTAAGAAAATATATATCTAAACTACAATAATTGGTGATAGAAATAGAAAGGAAGAGATTTGATTAGAGTGAAAATATATTATATGAAAAGAATCGTATATCATATATCATCATTTTTGATGTGGTATTCAAAAAAGGAGTAAAAATTTTCTAAAGTTTCTGAAAATTTTCTAAAGTTTTGAGATGAGTTATCAAAACAATAATGTGTTATTAGTAATGAGGAAATTGAGGGGAACAATCTCTGTTTATGAGGCAAATTAACGAGGTCAGTTGTTTGAGTATTAAAATTTGGATGTCAGCTGGGGCCTCCAGATAGAGATGATGTGAAAGCAAATTGAGATGAAAGAGAGAGCCTTCTGTGGTTTTCCCCATACTGCCCCATTCCTCCCCATTAAAGGGAATACTATATAGAAAAGAGAAGAAAATCTGGAATTAAGCCTTATAGGATAACCATAAATAAGGGATAAGGTGAAGAAAAGGAGCCAGAAAAGAAAATTAAGAGGGAAGGAGAAAAGTCATTGAAAACATGGAAAAAAGGAGGCTAGGATGCAGAATGCAGTGGAAAAATCCAGAATGATGAGAATTCTTGAAGGAAAATAGAAAATGTTATTTGATACTGAAAGATAAGAACAAAGACAATAACAGTGGATTTGCCTAAGGAAAATTTGTTGATAGCCTTGGGCAGCTTCCACAAACTTGTGAGAATAAAAAGCAACTTACAGAACGTTATAGAGAGAAGAAGTTCTTTCATTCATTTATTTACAAATTATTAAAGCCCTAGGGTAGGGAAACACTGTATTGGACACCAGGGAGGCAGTTGTAACAAGACATTTGGCAGCCCTTGCCCTCATGGAGCTGACAGAGAAAGAAATGGTGATGCAATAGAAGCAGGCAGGGCAGATTAAGATATAGCCACAAAATATGAGGGTAAAGTGGGCCATAATGGTAGGAAGCTTAATGTTTATAAATGTGACTGGGTCAGCTCATTGAGATAAAACATGCAGCTGAGATTTAAGGCTTTTTTACTGCGCTTGATTTGCAATCAAGGGCTAATCTCCGACCTCCAGATGATGTCCTATCTAAGTGCCAGCTCCTGGCAACAGAGAGAGTAGAGTGAGGTGAGTAAATGGAAAGGTCAGGTCCCCCAGCAGCACATAGGAGTGGTAACAACAGAGGACCAGGTGTGGGGATCTTACCTGATTAGAATTGAGGGAGTAATAGGACAACAAGGGAGCTCACAGCATTGGGAAATTGTAAGACAGAACCTGGGGACTGAGATGAGTGGAGACACTCTGTAGAGCAGTACCCCTGGGTCCGCTGAGAAGTCGCCGTTCCCCCAGAGGCTTGAGGAATGTCTCTGACTTTTGGGACAAAAGAATTTTATGAATAGCCTGAAATAGAATAATAAAAAAATGTATACTCTAGCTACTAGATGATGGCTAGTGGAAGTTTATGAAGGATGTGCTGTAACCAATGAATGAACTAGTTCTGTTCATGGAACAATGCAATAGATGACGGTTGTTGTTATTAATAAATTATTCTTTGGTCATGGTATTTTCTCTTTCCCTACCTCCACTAAGATACTCTTCATAGATCATAGTGGTGCTAAAAGTAGAACCCCTCCCAAAGAAACTGGAAGTCAGTGTCCATCTTTGTATTCTTGCATTCTGTGGAGCCATCTTTGGTATGCTTTTCCCTCTCCTTTCTTTCAGAGATGATGGAAAAGAAGTTAATAGAAGAAACAAAACAACTGGAACTCGATCTTAATGATGAAAGGCTGAGATATCAGAACCTTCTGAATGAGTTCAGTCGCTTGGAAGAACGATATGATGACCTCAAGGAAGAGATGACTTTGATGATTGTGAGTCAAATACTTTTGATTTTTTTTATATATAAAAATTTGAGGGCTTCCCTGGTGGTGCAGTGGTTGAGAGTCCGCCTGCCGATGCAGGGGACACAGGTTCGTGCCCCGGTCCGGGAAGATCCCACATGCCACGGAGCAGCTGGGCCCGTGAGCCATGGCCGCTGAGCCTGTGCTCCGCAACAGGAGAGGCCACAACAGTGAGAGGGCCATGTACCGCCAAAAAAAAAAAAAAAAATTGAAACATATGCAAAACTAGATAGAAAAGTAGAATGAACCCCCCTGTACTCCATGTACCCATCACTCAATCCAAAATGGTCAACACGTTTCTATCCCCCATTCTACCCTCCATCCCACTCCATCCAGTGGATTGGATTGTTTTAAAGCACATCCCAGAAATCATATCACTTTTTTCATAAATATTTTGTAAAGTCAAACACTTTGAAGACTGGATTATAAGACAGTATAAAGTCAGTGTAGGTGGACTTTGTTTTATGTGTTGAATGACTTAAAATAAAATTTGCTTATAAAGCAAATATTTATATAATCAAGTATTATATAGTTTTTGTAGTTTCAAAGACATAGTCCTAGAAAAAGAAAATTCGGCCTCTATTTGTAATAAATTGTCTTATCTATTTCAAGGACTCTTCTGCATCTGCCAAAGTACATTTTGAACTTTTAATAGTTCTGCGCACCCTCCCTGTTCTACTTATCCTGCTATCAGGAAACAAAGAGTTCCCTAGCAATCTTGTTCCTACAGCTATCGGCCTTAAACGTAACCTAATGGCACAGATGGCCAGAAATGCTCTGAAATATCTGTTATAAAACACAAGGTAATTTGGAGGGGAGTGGCCAAGACGGCAGAGTAGGAAGACCCTGAGCTCACCTCCTCCCACAGGCACGCCAAGATTATAACTATTTACAGAGCAGCTGTATATAAGAATGACCTGAAGACTAGCAGAAACTATTTTATGAAACTAAAGATATAAAAGGGAACCTCAACAAGATGGGTAGGAGGTGTGGAGACTCGTATAGTCAAGACCCATACCCCATGTAAATGACCCACAAACAGGAAGATAAACACAATTGCAGAGGTTCTCCCCAAGGCACAAGGGGTCTGAGCCCCACATCGGGCTCCCCAGCCTGGGGTTCCTGCACCAGGAAGACAAGTCCCCAGGCATCTGGACTTGAAGGCAGTGGGGCTTGTGTACAAGAGAGCCACAGGGCTGTGGGAAACAGAGACTCCACTCTTAAAGGGCATATACAAAATCTCACATGTCCAAGACCCAGTGCAGAAGCAATAATTTGAAAGGAGCCTGGTTCAGATCCACTTGCTAACCTTGGAGAGCCTTCCAGAGGGCATGAGGCCACTGGAGCTCACCCTGGGGACATAGACATTGGCTGCAGGCATTTTGGGGAGCTCCAACCATGAGGACACTGCTGCAGACAAGTTTCATTTTGGAGTCCTCCCTCTAGCCTATTAGGGCCAGAGGTTTACCTGCTCACAAGTGAGCTGGCACCAGCCCCATGAGCCCCCCATCCAGCCACCCTGGTCACTGACCCATCCATCAGTAACCTGAGACCAGCCTTGAGACACCCCCCAGGCTATGCAGCCTCTGCCACACCAGCACCCAAAGCCACCACCAGCCGACTGGCAGTTTTTGCACTAGATAGGACCTGGAAGCCAAGCAGGCCGAGGGCCATCCCAATGTACCAGTGCATCCAAGCAGTGATCCCCACCACAGCAGAAGGGCCCATGCAGCCCACATAGGGGCACCCACAGAGCATATAGATCTTGTGACTAAAAGGATGGGCTGCTGGGGCCCATAGGATGTCTCCTTTATAAGGCCACGTCTCCAAGACTGGGAATCCTAAACAACCTACCTAATGCACAGAAATAAACACAAACAGTAAGCAACACGAGTAGGTAGAGGAATATATTCCAAACAAAGGAACAAGACAAAACCCCAGAAGAAGAACTAAACGAAGTGGCGATAAGCAATCTACCCAATAAAGAGTTCAAGGTAATGATCATAAAGGTGTTCAGTGCACTCGGGAAAAGAACGAATGAACATGGTGATAAGTTTAACAAAGAGAAAATATAAAGAAGAACCAAACAGAATTAAGGAATACAATAACTGAAATTTAAAAATACACTAGAAGGAATCAACAGTAGGTTAGATGATACAGAGGAATGGATTGGTGAACGGCAAGACAGAGTAGTAGAAATCAACAATTCAGAACAACTAAGAGAAAAAAGAATTTTAAAAAATGAGGATAGTTTGAGAGGGGCCTCTGGGACAACATCAAGCATAATAACATTCTCATAGGGGTCCCAGAAGGGGAAGAGAGAGAAAGGGGCAGAGAAGTTATTTGAAGAAATAATAGCTGAAAACTTCGCTAACCTGGGAAAGAAAACAGACATCCAGATTCAGGAAGCACAGAGAGTCCCAAACAAGGTCAACCCAAAGAGGTCAACACCAAGACACATTATAATTTAAATGGTAAAAATTAAAGATAAAGAGAGAATCTTAAAAGCAGCAAGAGAAAAGCAACTAATTACATAGAAAGAATTTCCTTGAGACCGTAAGCTGACTTTTCAGCAGAAACTTTGCAGAACAGAAGGGAGTGGCATGATATATTCAAAGTGATAAAAGGAAAAAACCTACAACCAAGAATACTCTACCCAGCAAAGCTATCATTCCAATGTGAAGGGAAGATAAAAAGATAAAACAAGCAAAAGCTAAAGAATTCAGGACCACTAAACCTTTTAACAAGAAATGTTAAAAGGACTTCTCTAGGCAGGAGAGAAAAGGCCACAACTAGAAAGGGAAACTCTCACTGATAAAGGTAAACATACAGTTTCGGTAGTAGATCAATCACATATAAATCTAGTAGGAAGGCTGAAAGACAAAAAAGTAGTAAAATAACCTATATCCACAGTGTGTAGTTAAGGGATACACAAAACAAAAAGATGTAAAATATGATGACAAAAACACTAGTCGTGGGGAGGGGACTGAGAATGCATGGTTGTTAAAATGCGTTTGAACTTGAGATCATCATATTTAAATAATTAAATATATTTGTATATGTATGTATATGTATATATATGTGATTGAACCTCATTTATTGTTGTTTTTATGAACTTCATTGTAACCACAAACATATTATAGATACACACACACACACACAAAAAGAAAGTAATCCAAATATAACACTAAAGAAAGTCATCAAATCACAAGGGAAGAAAGCAAAAGAAGAAAGGAACAAAAAAGAACTACAACAACCAGAAAACAACTAACAAAATGGCAGTAAGTACATACCTATCAATAATTACTTTCAATGTAAATGGACTAAGTGCTCTAATCAAAAGACATAGAGTGGCAGAATGGATAATAGAAACAAGACAAATACACACACACACACACACACACACACACACACACACACACACACACCTGTGAGAGACTTCAGTTCTAAAGACACACAGACTGAGAGTGAGGGGATGGAAAAATGTATTCCATGGAAATGGAAACACAGCTGGGGTAGCAATAGTCAGACAAAATAGACTTTAAGACAAACACTATAACAAGAGACAAAAAAGGACATTACATAATGACAAAGGGATCAATCCAACAAGAAAATATAACAGTTGTAAACATATGTTCACCCAACATAGGAGCACCTGAATACATACAGCAGATATTAACAAACATAAAGGAAGAGATTGACAGTGACACAATAATAGTAGGGGACTTTAACACCCCACTTATATCAAAGGACAGATCATCCAGAAGACTGAAATCATATCAAGCATCTTTTTCCACCACAATGCCGTGAGACTAGAAATCAACTACAAGAAAAAAAACTTGAAAAAGCAAACACATGGAGGCTAAGCAAACCACTACTAAACAGCAAATAGGTCACTGAAGAAACCAAAGAAGAAATTTTTAAAATAGCCAGAGACAAATGAAAGTGGAAACAAAATGATTAAAATCTATGGACTGCAGCAAAAACAGTTCTAGGAGGCAAGTTTAATGGCGATACATGCTACCTCAGGTAACAAGAAAAATCTCAAATAAACAATCTAACCTTACACCTAAAGGAACTAGAAAAAGTACAAACAAAGCTCAACATGAGTAGAAGGAGAAAAAAAAGATCAGAGTGGAAATGAAAGAGACTAAAAATCAGTTTAAAAGATGAACAAAACTAAGAGCTGGTCTTTTGAAAAAAATAAGAAAAATTGATAAACTTTTAGCCACACTCATCAAGACAAAAAGAGAGAACCCAAATAAATAAAATCAGAAATGAAAGAGGAGCGGTTACAGGCAACACCACAGAAATACATAGTATCATAAGAGATTACTACAAACAATTACATGGCAATAAAATGAACAACCTCGAAGAAATGGACAAATTCCTGGAAACATACAATATCCCAATACTGAATCAGGAAGAAATAGAAAATATGAACAGATCAAATATCAGAAATGAAATTGAATCAGCAGTCAAAAACTCCCAACAAAAAACATTTAAAGAAGAGTTAACACCTATGCTTCTCAAACTATTCCAAAAAATTGAAGAGGGGGCAGTTTCCCAACTCATTCTGTGAGGCCAGCATCACACTGATACCAAAACCAGACAAAGATATCACACACACAAAAGAAGAAAATTACACTAATGAACATAGAACATACAGGTTGGGCGGGGCTGAGGGGCTTTCAACTGCCCCTGGGGGCTGGCTTCCTTGTGGTTGCACAGATGGGTCTGCTCTCTATACGCCTGGATGTTGGAAGGAAAGAGGCAGAAAGCCCTTTGTGGCTTCTGGCTCTTTTCCTGCACCTGGGAAGGAGTAAAGGAAATTGGACGGATCCCAAAGCTCTTGGAGGCCTTTCTGAAGCTCTCAGGATTTGTAACCCTAGAAAATCCAGGCCACTGAACATTTCCATGTCTTCTGCTGGGGGCACCCTAGGAGTGAGGGGCCCAAACCCAGCCTTTTTATCTCTTCTTCCTTCAAGTCATTCTCTAACCCCTTTTCCTACAGAAAGGAAGGGACTACAATTGCTTTTCTGTTCCCCACAAGCTTTCTGAACACTAGTTCATAGGTACCACATGCCATAAAAGTGTCACCTGGACTCCCTGAATTAATACCCCAAGGATCTTCCCAGGATTCTTCGAGCAGCTTCCTTGCCTCTTCTGCACATTCATCCTTCCCACTGCTGACTCCAGAGATTCAGCTTCAGGCATAAAACTAACAGAAATTGTAGTCGCCTAAGTGGAAACCCCCCTCCCCTGACTTTTTTTTTTTTCTTTTTACCATTTATGCCCAAATACGGTGCAGTAAAATGATTATGCTATCATTAAATATATCCTATGAACTTTTTGGTAGGTTTTATTTGATTGCAACATGGAAGTCAGTTACAGTCCTTAGATGCTGAGGCATCATACCTATGCTTCACCCAGTGCGACTAGCCACTCACAACTTTAAAAAGCGGACTCTGCCAGTAATCACAGATGATTTTTGTTCGAGTATTTGGTTTTGTGACTGTGCTTGTCATGCCCTCCTGGTGCATCTTTCTCATTCTTTGAGGAGCTCCGAAGGTGACCCTTTTGTAAGAGTTTGTTAATACAACATGGAACAGATCGTTTGGGCATGAGAACATTAAGTCAGTGAGTGAGGATTAGAACTGAGTTAAGGTGGATGCTGTCTTAACTATGCCTAGTTCAATTATGTAATTATGTTGTGTTAACTATAACTGCTTATTTGTCTTGCAGAATGTGCCTAAGCCTGGACACAAGAGAACGGACTCCACCCACAGCAGCAATGAGTCCGAATACACCTTTAGCTCTGAAATTGCAGAAACTGAAGACATTCCATCAAGGACAGAGGTACATTTTAGACACCTATCAGTAAAAGTAAGATGTGCCCATGCTGTTACTAACAGAGAACATTTTCTTTGCAGGGAGGACCCCATTTGTCCATAAACGTAACATTTGTTTTATGCTGTTTATTCTTCATAAGTGACTGAAAGGTGCTTAATTAGCTGTGTACATACATACTTATTGCATATATTTTTTTGTCAATAAACATCTTAATTTTCATTTTTAATGTAATTTTGAGGATCAGATTTTCCCTTCTGTAATTCCCTTTTACACCTTAACATGTTCTATGTGCAAAAAACATAGCCTATCATGAATTTATTTCAGACTGAGGTAAATTATTTGAAAGGTAAGCCCTCTGTCCTAGAATATTATAAATACCAATGCCCAAGAGTTTAGCAAAATTGCTGCCTGTTGGATGATAGTTTGTACCAATGTAATTCTCTCCCACAAAAATGCATGAAAAACAGCTTATAAATCTGCCTTAGTGTTTTGTGTTACATGGTTTGAAATCAAAATGACATGTTACTGTAACTCCAAGAGTACAGTGACTTTAAGTTAGATTATTCCCAAACCAATTCTCAGATCTTCTTCAAATATGACATTAGTTTCTGTAATGGGTAATTCAGGCACAACTCTTCTATTTTTGTATCATATTCTGCGAGAATGGCCAAGTCAGAAATAGACTGCTTCTGGCAGAACAGCTGAAAAAAATTGAATAATTCTTTCCTTTCTTGTCTTAGTTCCACTTGGGATGAAAAGTTTCTCCATCTCATTCTGTTCCTTTTAAAGAAAAGTGTCATATAATTGGACTCATACATAGGAGAGGGCTAAGTTGCTGGCCCAAGGTCACAGCTTGTAAGTGGCAGAGCCAGTATTCTAACTGAGGCCTGTCTGTTCAGAGCTCCACACTCTACCTCCTTGCACTCAGGGGTTCTACACTGCGGTTCTCCAGTCCCATTTCTGTCTACAGATAACGGTAGGCTGGGGACATTGATACAGCAGTATGGCCTGTATATAGCAGGACAGAGGTCGTTCAAGTTATCTGTTGTGCAACAAACCATCCCTGACTTTAGTGGTTTCAAACTACAGCAATTCATTATTGCTCACAGTTCTTTGGGTTTTTTTTTGTTTTGTTTTGTTTTTCCTTGAATTTTATTTATTTTTTTATACAGCAGGTTCTTATTAGTTATCCATTTTATACATATTAGTGTATATATGTCAATCCCAATCTCCCAATTCATCCCCCGCTCCCCCGCACCGCGCTTTCCCGCCTTGGTCTTCGTGTCCATATGTTTGTTCTCTACATCTGTGTCTCTATTTCTGCCTTGCAAACTGGTTCATCTGTACCATTTTTCTAGATTCCACGTATATACATTAATATACAGTATTTGTTTTTCTCTTTCTGACTTACTTCACTCTGTATGACAGTCTCTAGGTCCATCCACATCTCTATAAATGACCCGATTGCATTCCTTTTTATGGCTGAGTAATATTCCATTGTGTATATGTACCATTCGTCTTCTTTATCCGTTTGTCTGTAGATGGGCATTTAGGTTGATTCCATGACCTGGCTATTGTAAATAGTGCTGCAATGAACATTGGGGTGCATGTGTCTTTTTGAATTATGGTTTTCTCTGGGTATATGCCCAGTAGTGGGCATTACATTTTTAAACTCAAAACTCTTATATGCTTTACCTAATTTTTACTAATAACAGTTTTTGTCAGGGTCTCTATTCTTTTCAAGTTTACTCCAGATTCTTACAGATTTGAGGGGAGGGGTAACCTTTTCATTTCTATTCTCACTTGTTTTCTGTCAAGTCTTTTCTCAAGTTAAGAGATAGATTAGAGTGGGATTTGGTACATTTTTCATCTTTTTTGAAAAATGAAGTGTGAATTGTGCTCCAGAAATCACCTACAGATCTTGGATTATTGTTACTGTCTGTCATGTGCACTGACCACCAGCAGTAGGTCATACACTGGAAGTCTTCTCTCAGTAATGAGGAAGGCTGTTGACAAGTAGTCATGCTTGTTTCTTGTGACTAAGTGCATGCATCTGAGATGTGGCTGGCTTTGGTTAGTGCTGTCTTTACCATGGGACAGACTACAGTAACTCTCCTCCTTGGGACTGAGTCCATAACCTTAGCCTCAATCTCTCTGTGTTTCAGTTTCCTCATCTGTGAAGTGGCAATGCTATTATTATCTTACTTTATAGTGATATTTTGAAGATTAAATGAGTTAATTTTTATAAAACACTTGTAGCAGTGTTGATACATAGTAAGTGTTCAATAAACAGAGGTTTTTGCTCTAATAAACAGGCTTCCAGTGACCACCCTACAATTCTGACTGTGTGTGGCCAGGATCAGAAAGATGGAAATCTACACTAGTAATAGAAAAAGAGAGATTGATTATCAGAAGGGAAATTGTGCAGGACATAACTTTGTACTTCGAATTACTTGTGCCTTGCAGGTTTGCATTTCTTCTGCAACTACCTCTGTAATGGCCAGGTTTACAAATTGCCCCTTTCAAACTAAAGGAAAACTTTCAACTCCTATGTGTAATATTCCCAAGTAGCTCTTTTAGAATCCAGTGCAAGGAAAATAATGGGATCACTCTTGTTTATGAATTGATTTTTAAAAAATTAAAACAAATAAATTGTTTTGAAACAGAATTCTGACCTTAGTCATGTAATAATAGCAAAATTTGATGTAAAAATAAAAGATTAATGTCTCTCTAGTCACAAATCGGAAACCTGTGATTGTTTGTTCACAAGACACAATGACACCTCCATTGCTGTTTCTCTGTGAAGAACTCACCTGCCAGCTCCACTTGCCTTGCAGCCCTCCCACACTTCCAGCATCTTCGTGGTTTGGGGTTATTTTTTTGGAACCATTGCTTCTCCACGCTCTGTAATGCCCCTTTCTTAGTAGCCATTAACTAATTATCTCAGTTCTGCTATTGCTGTCGAGCTTTCTCATACCTGTCAAATCCAGGGAAAGCGTCACCATAACTTTCTCAGCTATTGTCAGCAGTAATTCCAGAATGACTGCCAGGCCTGTCGTGGTAATTTTGTGAACAAATTCTGTTATCTTCCTGATTTTCCTCTAATGAGAGACTGTTGCTATTTTTTAGATTAGTTTTAAAGCTTCACTTTCTTGGAAAAGCCCTAGATGACAAAGTCCTAACAAAGGAAAGAAAGCAAAACAAAACCCCAGACACTTCCCTGAGCCATATGGCCCAAACTTCCTTCTTGCTTACGTGGTATATCTCTTTGATTATACGTGTCATTAGGGATAAGAATGGGCACCATTTGGAGCTCTCTTAATTACTTATCATTATGCCTCAATTTTTGCAGTTGTCAAATGTTCCTATCTATAGGTACAATGATGAAATATTATATTCATTCATAGAATGAAGGTTTCTATCATAGTGTGAAAAAAGGCTTAAATAGTTAAAAGTTTTCAGGGATACATACACCATTAATAGAGGAACAAACATTAAAATACATAAGATAGAATGTTTACATTATAAATAAGCTAAAATATAAATATTTGTGGGATGTATAGAAATGAATTTTTTTGTTGTTGTTCTTTGTTTTTTGTGGGGTTTTTTTGTGGTACGCGGGCCTCTCACTGTTGCGGCCTCTCCCGTTGCGGAGCACAGGCTCCGGACGCGCAGGCTCAGCGACCATGGCTCACAGGCCCAGCCGCTCCGCGGCATGTGGGATCCTCCCAGACCGGGGCATGAACTCACGTCCCCTGCATCGGCAGGTGGAGTCTCAACCACTGCGCCACCAGGGAAGCCCCAGAAATGAATTTTTGTATGAATGAAATTCTGTAGTAATTTCATGCTCAGGAAAGATGCTACCTCTGTTCTACTAAGTCGGGACAGACTTTATGGTGAAGGTCATATACCTAAACTTTTTGTTACGCTGAGCAGTGCAAAAGTGGATAGATGGACTTCCCTGGTGGCTCAGTGATTAAGAATACGCCTGCCAATGCAGGGGACACAGGTTTGAGCCCTGGTCTGGGAAGATCCCACATGCCACTGAGCCCGTATGCCACAGCTACTGAGCCTGCACTCTAGAGCCCGAGAGCCACAACTGCTGAGCCCGTGTGCCACAACTACTGAAGCCTGTGCACCTAGAGCCTGTGCTCCACAAGAAGAGAAGCCAGCACAATGAGAAGCCCGTGCACCACAACAAAGAGTAGCCCCTGCTTGCTGCAACTAGAGAAAGCCCTCACGCAGCAACGAAGACCCAACACAGTCAAAAATAAATAAATAAATAAAAATAAATAAATTTATTATTTTTTTAAAGTGGACAGAAAAAAAAAGACCAGGTCTAACTAGTTTGTAGATAAATGACCCTGACAGCCTATAAATGCCCCACTTCTTAGTTTAGTTGATTCTTCTTAGGTGTCTTTTTAGAACTGGAATAATACTGAACTTAGCACTACCAAGAATTCACAAAAAATCAAAGATTGCTCATGAATATAAAAATTATTCAACCTCATCAAAAAACAAAGAAATATAAATTAAAACAATAATGAAAAACCACTATTGGTCTACCAGCTGAGCCAATTTTTTTTAATAACAGTCATTGCTGTTCCAGGCAAGTTGGTGGCTGCTGATGGAAGTATAAACAGGCTCAACCAATTTAATAGACTTAAAAACATTAATGTTTAGATATTTGTATACTAGGTTGTTTATTTTAGTATATTTCAATAGCAAACAATTAGAAATAACCCCAGTGGTCACCAGTAAGGTAATAGCTAAGCAAATGATGGTACACATGTCAATACAGCCATTAAAAATTGTGCTTTCAAGTATCATGTTATAAATTTGGAAAACGATTATAATACAATGCTAAGTTTTAAAGACAGTACAAAATTATAATGAAAGTATTATTCCAGTTCTTTAAATTTATTTAAAAAAAAAGACTGGACAAAATTTGTGGGTTTTCTCTGGATATGAGATTATGCTTACAGTTCTCTTCTTTGTACTTTTCTTATTTCCTAAACTTATTTTGCTTTTATATGAGGAAAAAACATTTTTTTAAAAATTGACAATTGGAAATATAAGATTTGCTAATCAGTTAAGAATTATACTTCCATCATTTAATTAAATAAGTTGTTGTTACCATTCTCTTTCTCTCGAACAAAAAGAGGATCTTTATCCTCTCAAAATCTAATGATACAATTGTTTCTCTTCTTACCTCATTAAAAATTCAAACCGAAAGTAAAGAAAGTAAAACAATTATGGAGCCTCCAGAATTTCTATGATGGTGGATAGGGGTTAATTATTTCCTTTTGCTTAGCTTTAGTTAGTGTATCTTTATGTATCCTACTAGTTCTCCCTGTGACTCTGTTTTAGAACCAATTGACATGATTTTAAATGCTGCTAGGTTATCTTTCAGTTTATTAGGGGCTGTATATATTTTGGTTTTTTAGTTTTCTCTCTGACCTCAATAATTTATGCTAGCATCTCACCTTTTCAAAAATCATTTTTCCTAATTACAAAAGTAGTACATGCTCATTGTAAACAATTCAAATATAGAAATGTGTGAAGTAGAAAATGAAACTTTCCCACAGTACCTCCCATTCTCTAAGATAACCTCGATGGCCTTCTAGATATTTGTATGCCATGTGCTAGGTATACTTAAAAGTCACATGTATTGGGTTTTGGGTTTTTTTAAGAAAAATGAGATACTATCCTGCAACTTGTTCATTTCACTTAATACTTTTATCTAGAACATATTTATCTACTCATGTAGATCTACTTCATTATTTTTAACAGCTATAAAATACTTCATAGTTTGGCTATACCATAATTTATTTAAGCAACTCTCCTATTGACCAACATTTGAGTTCTTTTTAGTTTTTTGCAGTTAGAAAAAATATTACAGTGAACATCTTTCCCCATATATTTTTGTGTACTTGTGTATTTGTGCAGGATTAATTCTTAAACATATATTGCTATGTTTGTCCTATGTTAAAGAATATACAGACTTAAATTTTAATAAATACAGCTAACTTGCCCTTCCAAAGGGCCTACTTATAACTTCCACCAATATCTTATAAGACACTGTTACTAACACATGGCCTTATTAATCTTATTAGTCTTTGCCAGTATGATAGGGGGAAAGTGGTACCGTGCTGTTGTTTAATTCACATTTCTCCATTTATTAGCTGGTTGGATGTGTTAGTTGTATATTCTTTGGCCATTTATATTTCTCCTATAAGTTTGCCTGTTTCTCTGTTGAGCTGTTCAGCATTTTCTCATTGGCTTGTACATCTTCCGAACCATCTTGACCATCTTCTGATTTCTGGGGTTTAGGAGCCAAGCGAGAAGAAGGTGCCTCTGGACATGTCATTGTTCCTCAAGCTCCAGAAGCGGGTCACAGAGCTGGAGCAGGAGAAGCAGGTGATGCAGGATGAGCTGGACCGCAAGGAGGAGCAGGTGCTCCGAAGTAAGGCAAAGGTGCGCAGTGCTCTCCCACCCTAGGTCCATGGCAAACTGAGTTCTGCAGTCTCTTCTTTAATGGCAACTCAGCCCAGAAGTACTTTAACTTTAACCAAGTAGGTTTTGGTTCAAGTAGTGAGGGCTTAACTCTCCTCACTCTTTTCTGCTGAGCTAGGAAATATTCTAAGAGTAAGAATGTGACAATTAAAATATAACTACTTACTTATAAAGTTTTTAACTTTGTGTGTTTCCCTAGGAAGAAGAAAGACCACAAATTAGAGGTGCAGAACTGGAATATGAGTCACTCAAGGTAATGGGAAGTTTCAGCCCAAGACTTTGAATATCTTGTGGCGAGAGACCTGCTCGGAGCTTCTGTCTCTCAGAGAACATCCTTAAGGGTACCTGAGGCCCTAGCTTAAGGCTTATTCAGGCATTAGTTGTAGCCCTGTGTCATTCCCTTTTTAAAATTCTCTTTCATATAAGCTAGAGTTCAGTCTAAGCAGAAGCAGGAGCAGTAGCTGCCATTTGAGGCTGTAGAAGGTAGTAAAGGACATGGACCCAGGTGACAGACTGCCTGGGTTCAAATGCTAGATCTGCCACTGTATGACTGTGTGCAAATTCTCCTTTCTGTGCCTTGGTTTTCTCATCTATAAAGCGGGAATAATGATAATATGTATCTTATAGGACTGTCATGAGGATTATATGAAGTAATTCATGTAAACTGCTTAGAATAGTGCCTGGCACATCATAAGGACCCAACAAATGTTGGCTGCTGTCATTATCTTCATCATTTTAAAATACAAGCACTTTACACATCAGCCTTAATTTTTAACAACCATCCTGCAAGTAAGCATTTTAATTCCCATTTTATAGATGAAGCAATTGACACTAAGAAGTATAAGTAACTTCCCTAAGATGACCCCACTAGAAACCGACAGGAATGAAATTTGAACATTGGTATCTCTAGCTCCAAACCCCATGCTCTAACCATCAGACCCCACTGAAACTATGTGTTTGTAGAGAAAGACAGTTCCCAAGTATTAGCTCAGTGTTTCTCGAAATGTGGTCCCTGGGCCATCTGCATCAACATGACCTGGTAATTTGATGGAAATGCAAATTTACGGGCCTCACACCAAACCTATTGAATCAGAAACCGTGGGGGTGGCACCAAGCCATCCGTCCTCCGGGTGATTCTGATGCACATTAAAGTTTGGGAAACATGGCATCAGAGCTTAGGTGTCGAAGTAAAGACATTCATACGTTTTCAGAAATCTGATTACCAGTTGGTAGGGGACTGGGGATAGGAAGGAGCATTCATTTTCATGTTTGAATGGACTAATTCATGAAAGAAAGTGTTATACATTCTTAAACTAGGGGAAAAAAAGGACTTTAATTAGTCTTACTATAACATGTTGAAAGGTCTAATATGGTGCTATAAACCTAAGGTTGCTTCTCTGGAAGAAATGGTAAAATATTTTATCTTTGTGTGGAAGTGTCTCACTTCCACTATCATAAAGCCTTAATGTCATGTGCTAAATAAATCAGCATGGTGCTTTTAAATGCCCGTCTGCTTCACTATTTCCCAACCAGTATCCTGTGACATTTGTATTTTAGAGTCAGTAAATAGAGTTTAGCGGCAGATCTCTATTCTGGGTTCCACTGCCGTTGGTTGAGCAGAGCCTACAAAGGGCAGCACTAACTGGTGATGGGAGGATGGCTGGTAGTATGTGAAAGTATGGAGATGGTAAAGGATGTGTATGTCCATCTAGATGACTGAAGGAAGAGGTCGCCCATCCTCTCCTCCTGCTTCTCAAGGCTTCCGCCAGCAGCTTCACAAGCATGTCACACAGGAAAGAAGTTTCAAAAATATATTGTTTGTTGTTATTGAAACACTATAGAGAATTTTATTAGTTTAAATACTATGTAATTTTTAAATTAGAAGTTAAAAGCCTAAAATTTCAGTGGTCTTTCCCCTCTCCTTTACAAAAGAAATAAGAGGGTACTACTCAACACTTCAGGGATCTGCTCTCTGAACAATTCATTGGAAATAACCTGACCATTTGGACCTTCATATTTGTGCTTGTATTTACCCATAAAGAAAACCTGTGCTTCTTAGTACTGAGATAAACTCACCCCTTAGGACTCAGCCTTCTCTTCAGGCCTGTGACCACACCCTGGGCGGCCTGGAATAAATTTGATTCTGGAATTTAGGTTGATGAAGCAAACTACCATTCACCTTGCTCAATTCCACTTGACGCTGACTTTCTTAATTTTAAGAGCTGAGTTCCCAGTAGAACCAGGGGAGCCATTCACTATGGAGCTCTGGCGATCTTTTCCAGCAGAATTCTTCTACTATCTTAGAGAAGGATGAGTATTGCAATGTAAAGTTGAGGATGACAGTGATGAACTTCTTTGTCTATTCATACAGCGTCAAGAACTAGAATCAGAAAACAAAAAACTGAAAAATGAGCTGAATGAGTTACGCAAGGCCCTTAGTGAGAAAAGTGCCCCCGAGGTGACCGCTCCAGGTGCACCAGCCTACCGTGTCCTCATGGAGCAGCTGACCTCTGTGAGTGAGGAGCTCGATGTCCGCAAGGAGGAAGTCCTCATCTTGAGGTCTCAACTGGTGAGCCAGAAAGAGGCCATCCAACCCAAGGTAAGCATGAGCAAGTGGCTCAGGTGGGTGTTTGGGGACTGGCCTCTTTCTTCATACCCTTTCCCTCCAACTTATTTATTTATTTATTTATCTTTGCGGTACGCGGGCCTCTGACTGCTGTGGCCTCTCTCGTTGCGGATCACAGGCTCCGGATGCACGGGCTCAGCGGCCATGGCCCACAGGCCCAGCTGCCCCACGGCATGCGGGATCCTCCCGGACCAGGGCACGAACCCGTGTCCCCTGCATCAGCAGGCAGACTCTCAACCACTGTGCCACCAGGGAAGCCCTCTCTCCAATTTATAACAAAGCAAACATTTAAGAGCATTTTTAGTCTAATTGAGGATATCATCATTTTGGGGGGAAAATCTCAATGTTGTTTTAAAACTGTTGCAAATACCAGTTGGAGTGAACAAGAAGCAAATGATATCTCAAATGCTCTTCAAAGTTTCACCGCTCACTCATGAGCAAAGGGTTTTTAAAATTAATCGTTTTTTAGTAATCTGGTCATGATAAATTTTGATCAAAAATACAATTCTATTAAATACAAAAATCCATAAGTTGTCTTGCTGTGGGAAGGCATTAAGTACAATTTTAAATTATTTGTTGAAAATAGCCTGTTTAAAGATAGGAAAGATAACACATGAAAAGGTTAGAAATGAGATCAGTGAGTAGAAGTGACATGGAGATGATTTCTGCTCACTTCAAGAAGTTCTGTTTAATGGTGGGAGTTGTCCCAGCTAGGAGGGGCTGTGTTTAGTGATTCCACAGAAGGGACCCAGGCTGAAGCATATAGATGGCCCTTTGAACGCCTTCCCTGACCTCAGATAACTTGAGATCCAACTGCCATGTGTTGGTGAGAAATGGACCTTTTAGTCATTTGACATCGGGGGGAATCTGAATAATCATCTTAAAACCTGGTTTTTGTCCCTGCCCATGTTCATGAAGCAAAGTGTTACCAAGAATTAGGCAATCAAGTATCCCAGCTGCATGACCTGCCACATAAAAAATGACTATAAGACAGAGAATGAAAAAAAAAAAAAAGAGAATGACACATACCATATGATTTCACTTAGTATGTGTGAAATCTAAAAAACAAAACAGAAGCAGACTCATAGCTAGAAGAAACTAGTGTTTGCCAGAAGGGAGGGGGTTAGAGGGTTGGGTGACGTAGATAAAGGGGATTCAGAGTTACAAACTTCCAGTTATAAAATAAATAAGTCACAGGGATGTAATGTACATCATAGGGAATATAGTCAATGATATTGTAATAACTCGTATGGTGACAGATGGTAACTAGACTTATCCTGGTGATCATTTCATAATGTATAAAAATATCAAATCACTATGTTGTACAAATGAAACTGATATTGTATGTCAATATAATTCAATTTTTAAAAGACTATAACATATAGTGAATGGGATGCCTGAAAGATCTGAGAGCACTTCTCTTAGAAATGGTAGTTCTGGGGCTTCCCTGGTGGTGCTGTGGTTAAGAATCCTCCTGCCAATGCAGGGGACATGGGTTCGAGCCCTGGTCCAGGAAGACCCCTCATGCCGCAGAGCAACTAATCCCGTGTGCCACAACTACTGAGCCTGCGTACCTAGAGCCCGAGCTCCACAACAAGAGAAGCCACTGTAATGAGAAGCCCGTGCACTGCAACGAACAGTAGCCCCTACTCGCGGCAATTAGAGAAAGCCCGCGTGCAGCAACGAAGACCCAACACAGCCAAAAATAAATAAATAAAAATAAAAGAATATTGAAAGCCTCCAAATTCTAAAAAAAAAAGAAAAGAAAAGAATAAAAGAAATGGTAGTTCTGCATGTGGTTAAGATACCATACCTGGCACATAACATTTGTATTTGATAACGACAACTCACACCTGGGACTGGGCCTCAAGAAACAAGCCTCCCTCTGCATGCTAGCTGGAACAGAGTCCAAAATTAGAATTCCTTTCTCTGGTTCCCTGTGATGAACTAGTATTCTAACAAGAAACTTCAGTAAAAGTCAATAGAAAGAAAAAGAAAAATGAACCAAGGGGTATAAAAACAATCCAGCTCACAAGAGCACATAGCTCTGGTACCTCACACTGTTACCTACCCAGCTCACATACTCCATGTGACAACTTATCTCCAGCGCCTAATGGGCTGGCCCTGTCTAACCAAGGTCCCTGCTCTCCAGGCTCCAAGCCTACACATAGCATCAGCTTGTTTTTTCTTAGGAGAAATGCCCAGGACACTGACTAAGCCCTTTCAAACCCAGGACTGTTTATCCCACTCCGTTTCTAGTCAAGGGACACATCATTTCACAACTCCTTTGCAAGCAAGTGGTAAGTGATATCCCGTGGGCCAGGTGATGATCCAGCCCAGCCAGCCACATCTAGTTTACGTGCTCCACCTCCACAAGTGTTCCGGGAGGCTTCACTTGGACAAATGACCTCCTACCAAGGCGTTACTGTTAACTTTCACAGACCTGGGATAAGAATTTTACCATAATACATTAACAGGAGGTTCATTTTCCTCATACCGTCACAAATACTTTATAATTAGAAAAATCAAACCAACTCAAAAGAATTTCAAGAGTCTGTTCCTGAGAATTAAGAGTTGCCATTACATAAATATATATTAATGTCCACTTCATGCCAGTTCCATGGATAGTAATTTACATACAGAGTTAGTTTTAGGAGAAACAAACTTGGTTGTTTTCACAGTTAGCTTTTATCTGTTTTGATGAGGACTCAAGATGGAATTTATTTATGGAACTAAGGGTTTGTTGTTTTCTCCATTTGTTTTTTGTGCTTGCTGACTTGTGAGTTTCAGGATGACAAGGTAATTATATATTTTTTTAAATTTTTAATAAACACTTCTATTTAATCCTGATTTTTACAAGTATCCCGCAGTTTTGCAGTTGATATTTTCTGGCCAACAAGTCTATTTTGATATTTACAAATTAATTTCCTATTTGACCCCCTGCTATTTGAGAAGTCAGTGGGAAAATAATGGATGTCATAGGCTCCAGTCTGGATCGCAGAGAGGCCTCCATGACTTTTGAATTCGTAGTCAGGTCTGTGACTCATAGTGGTAGTTATGGCAGGCCATCCACAAGCGGGGGAGGGAAGCCCTTAACTCGGAGCACACTCCAAAGTGCAAGCGTTCCCATACTCTCATTTCTACCAGCTGTGGGTTTGTTGGCCAAGGGTGAGGAGGGGCCTGAGGAGCTGAGCATGCCCTTGGGAAGAGTGGGATTTTCCTACATGGCGCAACCCTTTCAGAACTTCTGGTCCTGTCTTGGCAGGGACTCTTTGAGCAGTGAGTCAGGAACTTCCTAGCGCTGGCAGTCCAAGTCTGACCCCATGCCCAGCCCCTGCTTCTTAGCTATGATAGGCCGGATAAGGGAAGGACTGGCTACTTTCTACTATCTTTCCTTTGGATGAGTTCATTAGATCTACTTACCTAATTTACTAAAAGTTAAAAACCAGATCATGCAGGTCCTCAGATGTCAAAGAATACATGTAGCGTTATTTAACATAGAAACTGGTTCTTTGAGTTACAGTCTAAAACTTAAAAATCTGAGTATGGCCCTTTATAGAGTAGAAAGATTTTCTGCCTTTCAATAAAAGAGAAAAAGAAATTTTCTATGAAATATGTAGTAAAATATTTATAAAACATACCTAGAATATTTATAAAAATGCTATATGTGGTGCTTATGGGAAAGATTTTTAAAATCAGTAAAGCGTAAGCTCTTGTTATAGCTCTTATCAGGTTATATTTGGTCTTCTCTAAGTGTGCATTTATAGACTCACAAAAGGACAGCATTAGGATAAAAGTGGGATTTTTTTTTAAAAAAAGGATTTTTTTTATTATAAACACTGGAATTCAAAAGCGAGTATTTGTAGGCCTCTAGTTGACATTAAAGTTATCTTGGTCTCTAAGATCATGATATTTGAAGTGTATTCTGTAATCTCTACTTCACTGTGAGATCTGGCTTTAGAGCAAATGTTGACTAAACCATCAGACATATACTATTTAGACAAATAGAATGGGCTCTTGGGTTCTAAAGAGTATTATTCTTTAGAGGCTATAGAGCAGTTGTTCTTATTGTCTATTCTTGCCCTGGTTTAGGAGAGAGAGAGAGTGGCTGAGTAGAAGCAAGATTTTGAAATTACATTGGTTGTCAGACAGATTACACCAAAAAAAGAAAAATAAAAAAGGAAGTAAAAATGTTAGCAGAAAAGTCCTTTCTATGCAAAATCGTTAGTAATTCTGACCTGCCAGATGTTTATTTCAAAAGCTTATGAACCATGCTATACTGTAACAGAGGAAAAAAGAATTGAATAACAGCAGATGGTAGATATTTCCAAGGAGCTAAATCCTTCCCATTTATATATATCTAAAGATGTGAGGAAAAAAACATTTAATTTTGCTGAAACACATGATCTGAACACCACTTGTTTTGTACTGAGTTGTTAATGGGAAAATGAGCTTTATGTCAAACTTTTCGTGTTTATTAGGGTATTTGTTTTGTTATAACTGGTCCAGAAGTAGAAGAAAGAACAGCTTTGTACATTGCATTGAATACTTGGTGTTCTTGCCTGGTTATTGTTTTAATGCTGTATATAGTTTATATCTATATGTATATTTTTTAAAGTATATATACAACATTAGAATAATAACCAGGCAAGGGCACTGAATATATATATATATTTACACTGTGTGTGTGTGTGTGTATATATACACACACACACACACGCACACAGTGTAAAACACACGTGGCCCATCAGTGATTTTATTTACTCTAGAATCACACCACCTTTGTAGTAGAGTGTTAGGGATTCTCAAGAGAGGGACTGGAGGTGCCTCTTCCTCTTAACTGCCTGTGCCCCACTCTCTGTAGTTGTACCGGGGCTAGGGCAGACGCTCTGGTGGGGCAGAGGTGTTGTAGAACACCCCCTCCTCTGGAGGAAAGAAAATGTTGTATGAGGTCCAAAGCTTGAGAGTTAACACTTAATGTGGAAATGTGTCTTTTCCCCCTTCAGAATACAATGACAGATTCCACAATACTTTTAGAAGATGTACAAAAAATGAAAGATAAAGGTGAAATAGCACAAGCATATATCGGTTTGAAAGAAACAAACAGGTAAGTTGATGTTTCTTTTATTCATTTTGGTTTAATCATATTGATCTTTAATCTTCAAGCCAGCCTCTTATACAGTAAGTCCAAGTATTTATGCATTGTTTTGTTAGACATCAGCTGACCTTCAAAGGGGATCCAAGGTTTCCAATATATTCCCAGTTAAAATCTCATTTATAATAATATAAGGTAGCATTACCTTACATTATTATAAGAGGTGAGAGATGGAAAGGAAAATATTCTTTACATTAAGGGAATATATTTCTGTATATTTAGGGTCTTAGCCTTGAGAAGAAAACCAGTTGCTTACTATACAGCTTGGACTATCTTGGGTAGTCACTTCCATTTGTTATTCAGGATGGTTATTGTGAAAGTTTGTAGGGACAGCTGCAGCTTTCAATAATTGAAATTTAGTGTGAAGAGAAGTGATGAAGTAGCGGAATCACATCTGTGTTGGCCATGTAATTCTAGAAGGGTACCATGACTTCTAGGATGGGACCCTGATATATGAGACCAAGTTTTTGTCACGTTTCCTAAGGTGTTCTGAGAAAATTCTAACCTTGGTTTCATCTCATTTCCTCGTGAGTGAAGTTGTAGATGGCATTTAGCTCAGTCTTAAGAGCCTTGGGTGGGCTGAGAGTATAGATTTGCAGTCACTAAATGACCAAACTTTCCCAAAAGTTTTCCCTATAGCTTAGAGTATCACAGCTCATTTCTGGAATTCGTCAGCCTTCCTATGATTCCTGCTTCCCAAAGAGCCTTCATGCTATTGAACTCTGAACTTAAAAGACTACATGCTTAAAAGAACACAGCCAGTGATGATAACAGAGATTTATCAGTGTACATCTAGGTCTCCTGATGCGTAATGTCAGGATTGGTATACAGAAATACTTCACAAATTAAGAATATTACCATGCAAAATGTAAGGTACTTATTACCTTCTTTTATGGGCAAGAGTGGAGAATGCTTATAAAAGTATTTGGTTAAACTTAAATTTTAATTTATGTATGTAGGTTGTAAGCATATCTTATAGCTAAGGATGTGTTAGTATAAAAAGAGCTATATTACATTGTTCATCCATCCACTCAGCTATTCAGTCACCAGATATGTATTGCATGCCTGCTTCATCCCAGGCCCTGTGCCACACACTGGGAATATAGCAGTAAGCAAGATAAATACAGTCCTTCCTTTCACAGAGTTTATAGGCTGTTGGGGAGACAGCCAAGATAATTTGGACTTCCCTCCAGTGACAGGAAGGAAGTCATTTTTTTAAAAAAATAAATTTATTTATTTTTATTTTTGTCTGCGTTGGGTCTTTGTTGCTGCCCGCTGGCTTTTCTCTAGTTATGGCGAGCAGGGGCTACTCTTCGTTGCCGTGCATGGGCTTCTCATTGCGGTGGCTTCTCTTGTTGCGGAGCACGGGCTCTAGGCGCGCAGGCTTCAGTAGTTGTGGCTCGCGGGCTTAGTTGCTCTGTGGCATGTGGGATCTTCCTGGACCAGGGCTCGAACCCGTGTCCCCTGCATTGGCAGGCGGATTCTTAACCACTGCACCACCAGGGAAGCTGCTGAAAGATTTTAAGTAGGAGAATGATATGATGAGATTGGAATTTTAGAAAGCTAGCCCTGGCTTTTATGTTAGAGAATAGATTGTAGTGGAAGAAGATTGAGAGCATAAAGACCAGTTAAGAGGTTATCACCATCATTGAATGACTGATTATAGTGACTTTGACTTGGTTGGTAACAGTTGGGATTGAAGAAAATGGGACACTTTGAAAGATACATAAGAAGATGGGGTGTGTAGCCTTGCAGTTTGTTGGCTGTGTGGGATGGGGACCATGAAGGGTAACTTTGCAGTGTCTGCTATGGATACTTGGTTGGATATAGTGATGCCAGTTTGTGATCCTGGGTCTGGGATGTGGGGAAGTACAGGAAATGATCAGTAGATTTACAAATATTTAAGGAGGTAGGAAGACATCCAAGGAGAGAAATTCATTAGGCAGTTGAAAATATAGATCTGGAACAGGAGAGATATGTAGGCTGAGATGTAAATATTGAAGTCATCAGCATGTAATAATACAGTTGAGACCATGCAAATAAATCAACTCTCTAGGGATAGATGGTAGATGGAAAATAGAAGAGCAATGTCTGAAATTTGTTTTATGTAAACATCGTATCAACAAGAGAAGTCTAGGGACTTCCCTGGTGGCACAGTGGTTAAGAATCTGCCTGCCAATGGAGGGGACATGGGTTCCAGCCCTGGTCTGGGAAGACCCCACATGCCGCGCAGCAACTAACCCCGTGTGCCACAACTACGGAGCCTGTGCTCTAGAGCCTGTGAGCCACAACAGCTGAAGCCCACGCGCCTAGAGCCCGTGCTCTGAAATGGGAGAGGCCACCACAATGAGAAGCCCGCGCACCGCAACGAAGGGTAGCCCCTGCTCGCCGCAACTAGGGAAAGCCCGTGCGCAGCAACAAAGACCCAACACAGCCATAAATAAACAAACAAACAAACAAAACAGAAGTCTAGTAGGAGAAGTAAGAACCTGCGCTCTGGAGTCACATAGCCCTGGCCTTCACCACTTGCCAACTGTGCAACCCCTGCAGGTATCTTACATCTAAGCCTCAGTGTCTTCTTCTGCAGTGTGGCAAATGATATATATTGGGTTCCTGGGAGAACTAAATGAAATGATACATGTGGAAGGTTGTAGAATGGTGTCTGACACTTGACAAACAGTCAAAAATATTATTTTTATACCCTCAGTAGAAAAAAAACTATAACCAACTTTGTCAGTTTTGTTAATTCTACATACTTTTAATAAAATGTGTCACACTTCTAGTAAAAAAGAAGTTTCCCCAGGTCTTAAAATTAATTTTTGACACAACAAACCTTTTAAAAGTTGTGTCATAAAAGCTGGGAACTTTGGACATATACTGGCTTATAAGTTACTCCTATAAGAATTTTAAAAAATAATTTTAAAAATACAAAATCAGATTTTATTGCGCTAAAACAAATTCCTACCCAGAAGACTTAAAACTTCATTTTGAAATGAATTATGAAAATTGCCACATGAAGACAGTAGCTGAAATTTTCATTCTATATGTATATGACTATTTTGGTTAGTCTCTAACATAATATGTGACATATAAGATCACTCCGCTAGCTGAAGTGGGAAGCAGCCACATAGCACAGGGAGATCAGCTCGGTGCTTTGTGACCACCTAGAGAGGTGAGATGGGGGAGGGTGGGAGGGAGCCGCAAGAGGGAGGAGATAATGGGGATATATGTATATGTATAGCTGATTCACTTTGTTATAAAGCAGAAAATAACACACTATTGTAAAGCAATTATACCCCAATAAAGATGTTAAAAAAAAAAAGATCACTCTGTTAGCTGAATAAAATGTTAAAAATAGAACCTCCTTCTTACCTCTTCAGTCATTTATTATTTTGCAGGAAAAGTAGCTCTAGATGTTGATTATTTTAATTTCTACACATTTATGTGTGATGTTACACGTTACCCATTTTTTTAAAAAAATTAACCAAAAATGATTTTTGTGGTAACATCTTAAAGTCATCTGTAATTAATAAAAACAGTCCTGTTGACTTAACAAAATATTGAAATATCACATGCTGCTCTTGACCATCATCATCTCATTACCATCGCTTTGTGTTTTGCATTATTGTTCCTTTTGCATGGAAGATCATCTGCTATGGATGGCCATGAGTTGAATGAGGATGGAGAGCTGCTGCTGGTTTATGAAGGGTTGAAACAAGCCAACAGGTTATATTTGTCTCCTCAAAATGGAATGTTATTAATTTGTTGTTTTTCTTACTAACAGTGGCCTCCGGACTTTAACTTCTGTATTTCTTATATTCAGTGTCTTCCTGGGTAAATTTCAGACACTAAAATTTGTGAATATCTCACTAAAAGTGGAAGAAATTCCAAACCTCTCAACTGGAGCCCAAGCTACTACTGCAGGAGAGATTAATACCTATTACTTAGTGGTTTCTTGTTTGGAATAATGATCAATTTAAAGGATATATGTGCCTGGGCAATGTGTCTACATTCTCATATATTATGATCATGCTGCCTAACAGCAGTGTTAAGCAGTGTTAAGTGCACGATTTGGCATTCTGTGTGGTTATTGTGAAATTCCGATTTGTGAAACCGCAAACAAAGAGGGTTTCCTGCATTGCTACAGTTCAAAATAATCACCCTAACTCAACATGTTAAATATGTTTAGGGGAAAGCAAATGAAATTGAAACAGCAGCACCTTTCTGACACAGACACTCATCTCCTCTAGTGAGACTTGTGTCTTAAAATCTCTTAAAAATGCCATTTTAGTGATGAATTTTTAAAAATATTTAAATTTTAATATTTATATTAAATATTAATATATAAATATTTAATTTTAAAATATTTAAACTCTTTGTTCGAGGGGCTTCTACTTATTCTGCTTTGTTCTAATCACAAACCATTGTCATTAACTTTGTGGTGTTACTGGTTCAAATCCTTTTGAAATTTTATAATCATTAAAATATTTTTAGTCTGCTGTTAACTGTTTGCTTGCAATGGCATCAGTGTTTCCCAGCATTTGATAACTAAGGGGGTTCGAATAAAAGAACATCTTTTCTTTCTTCATGTTAGTTAATTCCTATCCATAACTTTGTCTTGGCTTTGGAAAAGGGGGTGAATGTAGAAATGGGGGTGCCTGGTGAAGGGAGGATGCCAGTTCGCTCTAGTATCCTCCTGCCCTAGACTACTCACGGCGCAGCTGACTTGTATGTTTGCTCAGAGAAGCAGTAGCTGCTTTGTTGGTCCCACTAATATTGATGTTCTAAAACCATATCTTGTTAGGATTCTGTTACTGATAAGGAAGTTTATGGGGAAAGAGAAAATGACAAATTTTATATATATATATATATATATATATATATACACGAAATTTCAGAGCTATCTGTCTGGATTTGGGTAAATCTGTATGTATTTCAGAGTAGCACTCCAGCCTTTCTGCCCTTCAGAGATAAAAGTAGAAAGTAAAAATGGGACCCTGGTCACACCCTCTGCCTGGAATTAGTAATGCTGAAAGTCTTCAAGGCATATTTAATTAGACGGGGCATTTGTAATCTTGCCCTCCATAGTGCGGTGATTTTGCGACGAAGGTACTAGCTTTGCCAACTTTAATGCTAGTTTGTGAATGTAGTAAGCCAGGTTCTTTAACCTATGTCTTTTAATTGATTGATCAATTTTTAATTGATGATTGATCATCATTTCCTATGAACCTTTTAAAAGAGCTAAAATTTTCCTGTTTCTAGGGGCCTTTGAGAACTTCATAGCAGGGTCCACAGTTCAGAAAGACACAAATGTGAGCACATTTGTTTCCATTTCTGGCCCTTGGTTGACTTCCTGGACTCTAATCAAGTCAGAAGCTACACAGTCACTACAGAATCCCTGCTTTTCTGCCCTTGCAAGTGAGCGCGGAGTCTTGTACCCTTCAAGCAGGGACTCTGGTGTCATCTCCCTTTCCTACTCTTGTGGCTTCTCCGCAGGCTCCTGGAATCCCAGCTGCAGTCGCAGAAGAGGAGCCATGAGAATGAGGCCGAAGCCCTCCGCGGGGAGATCCAGAGCCTGAAGGAGGAGAACAACCGGCAGCAGCAGCTGCTGGCCCAGAACCTGCAGCTGCCCCCAGAGGCCCGCATCGAGGCCAGCCTGCAGCACGAGATCACCCGGCTCACCAACGAGAACCTGGTAAGGGAGGTGCCAGGCCACACTCCTCAGCACGCAGGCCCTAGCCCTGCAGGGAGGCCTTCCTTGTTTTTTGAGCAAAACGTCTTTCCTGACTGGGAAACACTCACTGCTCCACACTTGTTACCCTCTTTCCCTATCAGGGACAGAGTAAGGAAAATAGGACTATGTTGGTAGAAGTGAAAAAGGCGTGTACTCGGGTTGTTTCTCACAGAAGGCTCTGGTGCATCTCAGCATCCTCAGCCCTCACTTGGAGGGTCTGGAAGATATCAGCTGACTGTGTGCTGGGCTTTTGATATCCTCAGGAACTCAGCTTCCTCCACGTCAGCTGCAGCTTCTCTGCCATCGAGGAGGTTATATAGTTGTCACAACCTTTGCTCCCCAAGCACCACTGTGGCCATCCCAGCCCCTGTCTCTAGCAGACAGCGGGGTTAGAGTTAGGGTCAGGGAAGGCAGTTGGCAGAGCCAACGTGGGGCTGTAGGTTGACCTTGGTTGGAGCTCCAAGGTCAGGGAGGAGGAACATAAGGATTCAAGTTTATACATTCGTGATTCTTTTTTAGCAGAACTTGGGCAGTGAATGAGGAGATTTTTTTCCCCTTGCCAGATTCTGAGTGCTGGCACAGAGTCCAAGTTTGTTCTTTTTCTCTTTTTTTCTTTCTGTCCTTCTTTCTTTTATAGAAAATATTTTCTAAAATGTTTCTCAGTCACAAAATAACTTTTATTACAGATTTATACTTAAGTTTGATAAACATATTTATTAAAGTAAAAGTCATTGAAAAAGTATAATTCCACTTTTTTTTAATTTTATTTTTGGCTGTACCACATGGTTTGTGGGATCTCAGTTCCTCAGTTACCCGACCAGGGAACTCCCAATGCCATACTTCTATATAAAATCTATATTGTAGTGTCAGTCTGGTTTTGAGAAAAGCTGTTTAGGGCTAGTGGTAATTTGTTTCTGTTTTGGGCTATTTTTAATTAATTAATTAGTTTGTTTGTTTATTTATTTATTTTTGGCTGTGTTGGGTCTTCGTTGCGATGTGCAGGCTTCTCATTGTGGTGGTAGCTTCTCCCGTTATGGAGCATGGGCTCTAGGCGTGAGGGTTTCAGTAGTTGTGGCATGTGGGCTCAGTAGTTGTGGTTCACGGGCTCTAGAGCACAGGCTTAGTGGTTGTGGCACATGGGCTTAGTTGCTTTGTGGCATGTGGGATCTTCCCGGACCAGGGCTCGAACCTGTGTCCCCTGCATTGGCAGGCAGATTCCCAACCACTTCGCCACCAGGGAAGCGCTGTTTCTGTTTCTTCAATTCAGGGTTTTAATGAGCTGTACTAAAATAGTTTGGATTTTCTCTGAAGATTTAACAATCTGAATTATCCCTCCATTATTTCATTAGTGATCATTTACATTACAAATAGTTTTCTGGTGTCATCTATTCAACCATCTTTTATATTAATTTGAAGCAAAACTCAAAGGTATGGGACTTCCCTGGTGGCGCAGTGGTTAAGAATCCACCTGCCAATGCAGGGGACACGGGCTCAAGCCCTGGTCCGGGAAAATCCCACATGCCGCAGAGCAACTAAGCCCGTGTGCCACAACTACTGAGCCTGTGCTCTAGAACCCAAGAGCCACAACTCCTGAGCCTGCGTGCCACAGGTACTGAAGCCCACGCACCTAGAGCCTGTGCTTCGCAACAAGAGAAGCCACGACAATGAGAAGCCAGCACACCGCAGTGAAGAGTAGCCCCCCTCACTGCAACTAGAGAAAGCCCGCGCACAGCAAGGAAGACCCACTGCAGCCTAATTAATTAATCTAAAAAAAAAAAAAAAAAGCTCAAAGGTATTCTTTTTCCAGTCTGTCCTTCCCTCTGAGAACAGCTTGCTGGTGAGGCTACATTGTAGGAATGGGAAAGGTGGGTGAGGGCAGAGTTTGGACTCTTTTCAAAGGGCCTGAAATATCACTAATTTGTGGGGGAAGGTCTTCTGAATCATGGAATATTTCTGAGATGTCATTTTATTACTCACAAGTATATTGTTGCTTAAATTAAACTAACAATGCTTTATTGCCTAAGAATTGATATACTAAATAATATAATAATAATTGATCAGCATATAAATTCTGTGCTTTTTAAATGATTATCTTAAAATACAAGGTGAAACCATGAAATAAAGATGATTCTGGGTGGTAGATTCTCAGAGTTTTTTCACTAAGCTGGTTAACCATTTCCCTTTCAACCTTATGCACAGTATTACTTTTCTTCTCAATTTTTAATAGCTAATACAAACATAAACTAAGCCCCCAAATTCTCAACCGGTAGAATCTAGTTAACGAGTTTGAATTTTAGGAAAACCCTTCGTAGGTCAGCTGCTTCTGCCTCGCTGACTACTTATTCAGGAGAGTGGATTCAAACTTACAGATAGGGGATGATGTACTTTTTCACAATCATTATAGTGTCTCAATCTTAATTATACATTTCTTTAGGAAACACTTGGGCAGATATTAAAGCAGCGGTGGGCCTAGGCTTAGTGTTCTGAGAAACTACCCTGCAAATCCTTCCCACCCACCTACCCCCCCAACACAATCACAGAAATGGTTTTTCTCCCTCCTCTAGTGGACAAGCGTCACAGGCCACCTGCAAGCTGCCTTTCAGGGAAGGAAGGCACACAGCTTCTCATCAGTCTTTCCAACTTCAAACAAGAGCTCCAACTTTGCCATTATTCTCACTTTTGTTTTAAGGGAATTCCCCACTCTTGCCACTGCTACTGGCAGCAAAGAAAGTGCAGCAACTTGTGAGCAGGTCTGAGAACTGAAATAACAGCTTTATCTGGGGAATATGGACCACAGCTCTGTTTACCTGCTAACATAGCCTGTTTCCTCTGAGCATGTGACAATATATAGTGTATATATAATCAGAATCATCTGTATTAGAAAAATTAGAGGGCAGTGGCAGGTGACAAATCAGAGCCTTTTGAGTATACGTGGTTTCATTATTTGTGTTTTAAAATATTTTAAAATTGATTTTGCTGAGAGGTAGCATTCCCCTCACAGAGAAAAACAAATGTCCATTGTGCCTGTTTTTTCAGTATTTTGAGGAATTATATGCAGATGATCCTAAGAAGTATCAATCATATCGGATTTCACTTTACAAACGGATGATTGTATGTAAACTCAGAGTGCTTCTCTGTCGTCTACCCTGCTAATTCTAGCCCTCTGTAACTGAAGAGCACACCGCTGCCTGCCCCGCCCCAGGAAGTCTCTTCAAAAACTGTCACAAAACCTTTCTCCCCACAGCTGTCTTTTAGCCAGTGATGTCGCCTCTATCAATGTCCTGCGTCCATTGTCACCTTCAGTTTGTTATTAACACTAGGCTTACAGTGTGATGGAAGCAAAATTTGAAAGATAAAGTAAAATCCAAGAAACAACTGAACGCTTTGAAATGTTAGCAACTGTTCCTTTTGAAACATTGGTCTAGTATCTAAATCAGCCTTGTCTAAACTAAACTGGAAAATGAATGAATATTTGTATTTATAAAAGCTTTTCTAATCCATAACCTGAATAACAACCACAGACTTATTAAATCACTGATTTATTTCCCTTCCAAGCTCCTAGTCTGCTGTTATCCACTTTTCTTCTTAATTATCGATTTTTTAATTATGCCGGTCATTTGAAAGAATTCTTGATTAGAGAGCCAATTATCACAGTTTTTTTAACCCCCCACCTTTGAACGAACTGCTTTTGTTTTCTCTTTTTGCATAAACCATGTGGAATTATCCCTTTTTCTCTATAAACAAACTTATATCACCTGGGAGATTTTTATGGGAATGTTGTCCAACCTGCCACTTGGTCTGCAGACCACTCTATCCTGTTTTCTGTCGTTATTTATTTTTTTTAAACACCTTTATTGGAGTATAATTGCTTGACAATGGTGTGTTAGTTTCTGCTGTATAACAAAGTGAATCAGCTATACATATACATACATCCCCATATCTCCTCCCTCTTGCATCTCCCTCCCACCCTCCCTATCCCACCCCACTGTCGTTATTTTTTAACTTACCTTTTAATTCCCAAAACTTCTTAACTTTTCTTAAGTTACAGGACTAGTTTTAGCCTCTCCAAAGGGTGGGACTCATAGAGACAGTGCTTCACACACATAGGTGTTAATCAAAAGCCCCTAAGTTCAACCATCCTTAAAACTTCCCAAAAAACTGTGTGCATTCATCAGAATTTACTTTGCCTGTTCCCCCTTTAAAAGAAAAACTTGCTACTGGAATAGCAGTACATTTTACGAGCATTTTAATTGTTGTGGAGTCTACTGGAAAAGACTCCACAGTGAGCCTGCTGTCCATCACGCTGTAAAGGAGTTTACTGCCTTGTATATTTTAACATTTGGCTTTTATTATAGCTGCATTTCCCACTGCCTGCCAGTTTTAGCCAGGTGGGGCTCCACCCATGAGCTTTCATGGAGCTTTTATGTAAAACTAACAAGTGCTGTTTCTGTAATTTTGTGTCTGCTCTCCTTCTGTGCATTTTAGAAGGTTTATTTTGGTCTTTCTGTTATATTTCTCATTTTGATCTTTAGGATTTGATGGAACAACTCGAAAAACAAGATAAGACTGTCCGGAAACTGAAAAAACAACTGAAAGTATTTGCCAAAAAAATTGGTGAACTAGAAGGTATTTAAACATGTTTCTATGACAGTTGCTGAACCTTGGTTTTATATGCAATACTAGTGGCTTAAAAGGTTTTTGTGTGAATATTAGGGACAATGACAAAAATGACGTTCAGCAAACCTGGCCTCCGTGGAGTGGAAATTTTCATTACTAGGTGGGGGAAAATGTTCTTTTCGTGGTAGTAATAATTTACAAAGAGAGAATTCATTCAGCAAACATCTAATGACCGTCTTCTATAGACCAGGCACTATGCTAGGCAGTATTGCATAGTGGTTAAAAGCATGGATTCTGTAGCTAAGCTTCTCGGGTTTAAATACTGCCTCTTCCACTATTAGTCATCTGATATTGGGCAAGTTACTGAACCTCTCTATGCCTCAGTGTTCCCACCTGTTAAATGGGAATGATAATGGTGTCTACCTGACACGGTTTGTAAGGGTTAAATTAATTAATATGTGGAATGCATTTGGTATATTTCCTGACACACAGTAAATCCTATATACAACTTATTTTTATTACTGTTATTCTTAGTATTAGGGATACTAAGATGAGTAAGACAGAGTCTGTGTCCTCAAAGAACTTACATCTAATGGAGAACAAAAGGAGAAGTAAATAAGAAAAAAATGAATTATGATTATAAAGAAATAAGATTTTAGAAAACATCTCATGATTTATATATGATGATGGGAAAACACCTTGAGAAGTGATCAAATATCGGTTATTATTATATACAAATGATTCTTGTCTTGTGGGTTAGTGTTTGTTCCTTCAGTAAGTAGGTGCCAGGGATATAGCAGTGAACAGGGCTAAAGCCACATTCTCAGCTTAGTCCAGCAATGATCTCACTGTTCAAGAGATTCTGAGACCCTCTTTGGAATTGCCTTCAGACCTATGCAGGCTATTACCATTTTGACCAAAAATGATACTGTGCAGCCTGCCCGTCTATTTGTCATTGTCACTCTGAATAATTTTTGCTCTGCTCAAAGGGTGAAGATTCCCCATCACTGGGAATGTTCAAAAGAATCTACCATGATTAACTGTGTGGCTCTCATTCCTCCAACGTGCCAGGCCTGTCGTAACTGTTCCATCTGTTTGATCTTTTTGCTTCTCTTAGTCAAGTCCTGCTTATCCTTTGAGACCAGAGTTATATGTCACATGCTCAAGAGCAGCCTTTCCTGATCACACAGATAGACCCTACAGCTCTACCCTCTGTGTACTGCAATTTGCCTCCCATCTTTTGTGGTTTTCATTGTCATATATTTAGCAGTTTTTCTGTTTGAATTACTGCCTTCCTCAATGGACTATGAACTTCCTGAGCATGGTGACCACCTCTTATTTCCTCTTGTTTTCACAGCACCTAGTATATTGTCTGACCTGTCATAATCATTCCATTTATTAAAATTTTGAACCTCTGAATCACAGACCCAGACTATATGTCTGTTGGTGGAACTTTAAAAATCTTTATTCAGGGCTTCCCTGGTGGCGCAGTGGTTGAGAGTCCACCTGCTGATGCAGGGGACGCGGGTTCGTGCCCCGGTCTGGGAAGATCCCACATGCCACGGAGCGGCTGGGCCCGTGAGCCATGGCCGCTGTGCCTGCACGTCCGGAGCCTGTGCTCCGCAACGGGAGAGGCCACAGCAGTGAGAGGCCCGCGTACTGCAAAAAAAAAAAAAAATCTTTATTCAGAGAACCTTTCTGCACTTAACTCTGCATTAATTATATCATGAGATGATAATTAGACAGCAGAGTATCCGCTTGAACGAAACTGATTTTAAGGGTATTAACTTGTAAGATTATTTTTTAAGCTCCTAATCGTTTCTTTACCATATGTTAGTAACTTTTGATAAATAGAAAAGCCATTTATTATTTTACATTTTTACTTAGCTTTCTTTGATATGTATATTTTACTCAAAGAGAAAGCTTAGAGCAATTTTAAGCCATTATCAATCAGAATTCAACCTCATCAGTTAAACTATCCTGCCAGCTATATTCTTAAATCTATAAGTACATTTGAGAAGGCAATTCATAGATTAAACAAAAAAGTCATTATGATATTCTTAAGAAAAGTTGAGTTACATAATACATATCTACAGAATAAGATGAAATAGATTTATGTGACTTGAGCATTTGCTGAGTGCAGTGTACCTCCCCTCCCCAAGGCAGAGAAGAAAGACAACACGCTTTTCCAACACCTTTCTCTCCTGTCCCCTTATCCCCACAGTGTACAGAAAACACTGATAACCTTGTACAGCAAAGCACCTTCTAATATCTAAAAGTTTTCTTATATTTTTCTAAATATAATATACTTAAATGCTTCTGGTTTAAAATAGCAAGACTCTTACCTCCTCCTATGGGCTACACTTAATTAAGGAGACATTTTTAGAAGCCAGTGAAGACTTTTTAAATGTCAACATACATAATTTTTAGCAGAAATGATATGGCTAAATGGAGAGTGTTTCAAAATTTGATATGCTTTATGCTGTATTTTAATCCAGGAGTGGGTGTTCCATCTCAATTTTCATAGAGTCAGGGAATTTAGACCTAAAAGAATTCTAGAAATCAGTTAATTATTTCATAGGAGAACAGAGCTGAGGCCCAGAAACCATAAGGGACTTCCAAAGTCTCAGCCACTTAGTGGCCAAAATGGGACTAGAACCCAAGCCTTCTGAAGAGCACTGACTTCTTTGTGTCATATTTTCCAACAGACCCTCTCTACTTATAATAATTCATTTGACTCTCAATTAAACCTGAGATCAAGATCTTCCCTGTACCAAAGTGAGGGGAGGAAAAAAAATTTTCCAATTTCCTTTCTATTTCCAGGACAAAAAGGTTCAGGAATGTTTTTCTCTCAAGCATAAAGAATCTATTATACTTGAAAATGGAAATAGATGTTGCTTCAGATCTTCCTAGAAGATTGCTGTATTAGATGGAGCATTCGACTAAATGACCCCCAAGGTCCCCTGAGTCTCTTAAAAACTGGGTGGTATTCTGACTTCTCTCTTTCAGGCTTTATATTTTCCTGATACTACGTAAGGGTTGACATTTTAATTATATGATTATTTTAATTATATGATTTGTTAAATAAATCAAGGTCATGTTGAGCTGACATCTATATTTTACCTGTGAGTTTTTGTGAAGACTCTAATCTCTGGGAAGAATTCAAAGACAGAGTAAAATTTTAATGAAAGTATGGCACATTTTCTCTCTGACATTTTTGTACAGAACCAAAAATATCTTCGTTAGAGATTTTGCAAAAGGAAAGTGAAGCTTTCTTTTAAAACATAATATCTCTTAGTTAAAATATTCACCATATTTCATAAATTCTGTGGTGCACAATTTTTCATATTTTAACATCTCTGAAATTAGGATGTATCTTACAGAAGTTGATGGGTTTTAGTTTAACTGGCAATATTTTTCCTTCTTTAGTGTTATATAAAATAATACTATATGTCATAATCAGTGGCACCTTAGATATGATAAAATCAGTAGGTTTAAAACATTCTTTTTGAGTTATACAGAGTCCAAATGTGTGCATTTGTTGATAAACTTAGTATGTTGAATCTGTTTTCTCCCAGTTTCCCCTCGTTGAATTGTTTCTGTAGCTTAAAGCAACCAGTAACATAGATGGCAGGGATCTTATTATTTTGTTTTACATGCAGAATATATACAGGAGCTGTGAAAGTCACAGCTGTGTACTGATCCTGAGATCCTCATGCTGTCGTGTTTAAACTAACTCCAGAAATAACTTATGTAAAACTAAATAGTTTGAATCTCCTATCTCTTGTAGAGAGGCATACAAGGCATTCAGTTAGTCCTGCGGTTCCGGACTGCATCATGCATATGAAATGCTAGGTTATGGGAGGTGGCCACAGCCCTGATTTGTCCAATCACAGTGTGATCGCTCTTTAGATATCATAACGTTGGTGGATGGTGGTGATTTTCAGCGCTGATAGTCCCGGTGTGTGATGCTGCGGCATAAGGTGGACGAGGTGTCACCAGGCTCTGTGCCACATGAGCAAGAGCACTGGCAGGTATTGGTGTTCTCTGTGATAACCTCATGCTGTGGAACTGGCTTCCCAGAACTAACACCGGAAGTTGCCCAGAGTGACAGGAGAAGCATGGCTGATACCTTGTGGAGTCAGCAAGATTAAACTTTCTAATGCATCTGATCTGCGTTTTGTTTGTTTGCCAGCAGTCTCTGAACTCAAACTTAAACTACACCCAAATAGATTTCTTTTTTTTTTTTAACATCTTTATTGGAGTATAATTGCTTTACAATGTTGTGTTGGTTTCTGCTGTATAACACTAAATAGATTTCTTAACTGCCCCCCTTCCTGTAGATAAGAGAATTAAAAACCTTACTAGCATATAGCTCCACAAACACCATCATAACTCAAGTTTCCCTTTACCTTCCCTTGAATCTCCCATTCAATTCTCAATTTTGAGATGAAATTGGAGACTTTTTCTTAACCCTCAGTTCTTCTCTGGCAGCTGCCATCAACAGTGGTGATAATTTTTAATATCTGAAAGGGTTATTAGCCAGCAGTTGTACTTTACTGGTTGCAGCTTTGTGGTGGGACTTTTAGCACTTTACTAAAAACAAACAAACAAAGAACTGAATAATATTTAGGAAATCATATTAAATACAGGTTGTTTTATCTGCTCATGATTTCTTTGGGAGTGAGGGGTGACAGGAGAACATTAAGCCTTTTCCTTATGAAGGCTTTGTGAGAAATAATACATTTCACATCAACTAGTGTGAAGAAACTCGGTTCTACCAGCTATCTTGATGTGGTTTGAACTGATTGCAATGATACATTTAAAGTAAATGTTCTTTCTCTTTAATGACCAGATTCATAGAGCTAAAGGTAAAGGGGAATCTTTTATAGTCTGGCTGCCTCTTTGTAGAATATTGTTTTTTCCTTCTGTAAGTTAAAGTCGAAATATATTTAGACATTTATGATTGATACTGATTAGTTAACTAAGAAGTTAAACCACTTACTTTGGAGACATTTAATCTTATTACAAAGTAAACCTTATTACAAAAAAAAATGCTTTTGAATCTAGTAAGATTCTTTGGTGTTCATAGTAGCCAAGCACTAGTGGTTGTTAGAGTGACATTACCATATAATTTTATCATCTATCCACCCAGTTTTACCAGAAAAAATACTGAAGGAAGGGACAATTAAGTGGTAAATATGGCAAGCTTCTGTTGTTATAGAGTTTACTTAAAATTATAGGAACATGGAAACCTCTCATCTTTTCTACCTGGAAGACATTTTTCTTCTTTTTGTTTCTGATGAAGTGGGCCAAATGGAGAACATATCCCCAGGACAGATCATTGATGAGCCCATTCGTCCAGTCAACATTCCCAGAAAAGAAAAGGATTTCCAAGGAATGCTGGAATACAAGAAGGAGGATGAGCAAAAACTTGTTAAGAACTTGATTCTGGGCAAGTATTTCCTGCGTGAGATAAAAGGTCTTTCTGGTACACGTGTCGGTGGTGGGAAAGGCTAGTCACTCATTTATTAAATATTCACACTGGTTTCTTTAGTCATCCTTGACTGCTGTGCGTATAGTGCTGTAGCAGCATCCTGACCACATCCTGGATGTCAGTCACACTGCAGGGACACTTGCTAGGACCCACCTAACTCCTGGAAGAGCAGGTTCCATAGGGAATGAAGAGTTTAGCTTGGGATGGGCTTAGTTTGACATGCCTGAGCAGAGATGTCAAAAGCCACTTGATAATGAGCCTAGAATTCAAAGGAAAAGTCAGGGCAGGAGATAGACATTTGGGAGTTGTTGTATAAGCAGCTAAGATTCACATGTTCCTACCCTCAAGAATTTCTCCACTTAGCCTTTAAAATATGCTTTTTTAAAAACACGACCTATTTACCCTGAATGATTGAACTCTTACATGAGAGCTGTGCTTTTGTATCTCAAAAAGCATTCCTCGTGAAGACTTTCAAAGTTATATAAGATTATTTTTCCTCTTTTCTTTTTTAGAACTGAAGCCACGTGGTGTAGCAGTCAATTTGATTCCAGGGTTACCAGCGTATATCCTGTTTATGTGTGTTCGACACGCTGACTACCTGAATGATGATCAGAAAGTAAGGTCGTTGCTAACATCAACAATAAACAGCATCAAAAAAGTATTAAAGGTCAGTTCATGTGCAACAAAATTCTCATAATGAATATTAATGATGACAGAGTCTGCACAGAGGTATTTTTCCTTCCTTAGACTTGAGCTAAGTTTCCAGTTATGACCACTTTCTAGTCTCAATCTATACCTTCCATTGTAGGAAACATTCATTCTGTAAAGTGTCTATGTGCCTTCTTTCAAAACAGGGCTCAGGTTGAACAGTAATCAAAATTAAGTCAATATACTTGCATTTGATTGTGAAGCAAATTCAGTTTTGTCATAGAAGTTTTCTGCTTTGAGGTCTTAGAACTAAATTAAAAATACCTGTGAAGTTCATATAGACAGGGAATATCATGCTATAGTTAAAATAGGTATTAAGTAAGTTTAGTAATACCTAGCCCATTGATATAAAAAGATGTTTGATAAAACATTTAAAATTCTCTTCTGACTTTTCTTCCCATTATTCTCCAGCTCATCTCATAATTTTCCTTGTTACCTTAAATGCCTGGTTCCATATGAGAAGCAACACACAGATACTAATCAGAGAGGAAAGACTTGGAAAAGGCAGCAAAGTTACATAATAGAACAGAAAGCCCTGCATAACTCAGTAATCACTGAGTCACTTGCATGATCATCCTCTTGACAATCTAGAAAAACAGTGAACATTATTCTTAGTTTTAACCATTTTTCAGTTCTTTGGCATTAAGTACATTCATACTGTTGCATAACCATCACCATCATCATCTCCAGGACTTTTTCATCTTCCCCAGAACTTTTTCATCTTCCCCAGAACTTTTTCATCTTCCCCATCTGAAACTCTGTACCCATTAAACACACCCTCCCCCAGCCCCTGGTCATAACTTTTAATGCCGGTTCTCAGTCCCTCCTGCACAGATAGTCTATGTGGTTACTTTCTACAGTGCTTACTAAAGTGTGGAGTTTCTGAATATTTAACATTCAAAAATTGATGAATGTCTTCTGAATGTAACTCATTTAATTTTTGGTGTATTGATGCTGTATTACATTTAGATAGACTAAAAGTTTTACTACTTCTTAAGTCAACTCCTACAAAGACAACAAAGCCACATCGTAAAGTTTTCTCCGTCTCATCTTACTTGCAAGATGAGAAAATTTGGATAAATTCTTCCAAATTTATCTAATTTGACTAATTATTGTACCAAATTGTTTAAAGATTAAAAAGGAGTAGATACTTGAACACAGCACCCTTTTGATACCATTTTAAATGGATGTGCATTTGTTTCACATCCCTTTTTAAACTGAAGTGTATTTGTCGTGTGTCCCTGGTTTGATTTCGCAGAGGTGGTTTGACATGTGGCCCAGACCTGATGAAGAGCCAAACTCTCCACTGCTCTGCACAGGGCTTCCTCCATTCCATTTCTCATTAGCTCCCCAGAAATTTTATCTTATCCTTGACAAGATTTTTAACCTAATCTGGGTTTCAGTGCTTCACAATATTTGTAATTCCCTTTTGTGCCGTTAGTCCTTTCTGATTCCCTTCAGTAACCCTCAGGGAAGTGAGTTTGGGTAAGCTGTGGCTTGGTGAATTGTTTTCTGCTTAAAGGGACTGCTAAGCGAATATCAATTGCATGACCAGGCATCATTTTCTAATGGCATTTTCTAATTGCCAAGCAAAGTAACAAACAACCAGTGAACTCAGTGGTTGAAATTCTCTAGCAACGATATGAGGCTTTACAACTGCAATGTGATTTATTTTTATAACTGTTGTTAATGGTAAGTGAAGGAAATGGGCCTTCTGGTATCTGTTTGGTTTTTTCAGGCTATTATTTCCCTAAGGAAAAAGCTAATTTAGGCTTATTCTCTCTTTCAGAAAAGAGGTGATGATTTTGAAACTGTCTCCTTCTGGCTTTCTAACACATGCCGATTTTTGCACTGTTTGAAGCAGTACAGTGGAGAAGAGGTGAGAAAGCCTTGATCACAAAACCAGCATGCTATACTTTCTCTGACCTTTTTAAGGAAAAAAATTTAAAGCACAAACTATTTAGCCATTTGTTAATTTAGAAACCTGAATTCAGAGGTGGCTTGGAAGTTCATAGCTTTGTTTGATGTTCACTATTTACAAAACTGACTTGGGAAGTGACATAGTTTCTTCCCTCTGAGAGTTTGTATTATGAGAAAGCACAGCAGAAATAAAATGAGCATTGGTCATTGAATGGTTATCGCACTGAAACTTTTTGTTAAGATGTGAAAATGGGCTTTTCAAGGACTGATGTATGAATATTGAGCTATTTAAAGAAATTAATCGGTTTTGGCTTGTGTAATACATTAAAGGTGATCAAGGTAAAACATGGCTCTTTAGATTTGTCCACAGATATTTTTGCTTTTGCTTATAGTGATGTGGTCATCAGTTGGTTGATAGACTTCATATTTCAAAACTATGTAATATATTAATAATTATCATTTATTAAGGGCTGCTTAGTATGTATCAGACAGCATTTATTGTACATTATGTTGTTTAATTCTTGTTTAACATCTCAATGAGGTAGGCATTATAACCCAGTTTTACAGATGAGGAAACTAAAGCTCAAAGAAGTTCATCACTTTGCCCAGGTGCTCTCAGTCATAAGGAGCTTAGCTAGGATTCTGGGTCTGCCCACCTCCAAGAGCCTCTGTCCATAACCACTGCCCTTCGTACCTCCGCATCCTTTGCCGGGAGGGCAGGCAGAGAAGCTGAGCAGTAGTACTTTCTGAGCACCCACAGGCTAGGGGCAGAGGACTGTCCTGGCAGATGATGGGAAATGCAATATGAGCAAGACATGGTCCTTGAGCAGATGGGACTAGCAGAACAGAATCCTCCAGAAGGCCTATTAACTGTCCTTTCAGTCCCCAGTTCTAGACCATGTTGTTAAGTAGGTTGCAGGGAGGCAGATGCTTGAGTGTGGGCAGAATCCATCAAGTAAGCAATTGTCTTTGTCAGGCAGTGCCTGACGAAGTACCTGCCTGTACAGTTGGCTTTCCATTTTAACAAATACCACCAAAAGATTCCATTCTAAGCTCAGACTGAGAATCATGTGTGGATACAGTAAAATATAGTAAAGAGAATTTTTTTATTTATTCACCAGTCTCTGTAGAAATTGATCAATTTTAAGAAGATTACTTATGTCCTTCCAGTGTAGTATTTATAAATAGGGCTATATTTAATGAACTGAAGTTAAGAGATTACTACTTTAGATAATTTAGTGCTTGGCAGTGAACCAGCTGTTTCATAAGTGAAAACACTCATTAGTTTTTTTTTCAAATCAAGTTCCCCCATCTTGTTTCATTGACATTGCTGGTGGAAAAGCTTAAATGCTAGGTTGCCAAGTTTAGATTATTCAAACGCTAGTAAGAAGTGGAAGGGGAGACGTGATGGAAACAAACACACAGAATTTGAGAAGGAGTATCCTGGCATTTATATGGAGGTTGGAATGGGAACTCTTTGGAGAAAGGAAAAAAGAGCATGAGAATGCCGATTAAATGAGAGAGTTAAACAGGAGACATTTTACTTCATCTGTATCATTAACTCTCCGTTATGGCTCTAGGGCTTTATGAAACACAACACATCTCGCCAGAATGAACACTGCCTCACCAATTTTGACCTGGCTGAGTACCGACAGGTGCTAAGTGACTTGGCCATTCAGATCTACCAGCAGCTCGTGCGGGTGTTAGAGAACATCCTTCAGCCAATGATCGGTAAGGCCAGGGCATATTGATGACATCCAGGTCTGTCTACCTTGTGTGCCCGCCAATAGATGACCACCAGTGGCACATGTGTTGGAGCATGTATTCATATGGAGAACATAAAATAGTAAGACTCAGTCTCAAAATTAGCTGAGGAATCTCAGAACCCCAGCCATGATGAACTGGGGTACCTCAAAATCACTGCTTCCACATGATGGAAATGGCAGTATATAGTTTACTTCCCTAATGTGTAATGCCTCTCTCCTATGATTGAGTCATGCTTTATACCCAGCAGTAGACCTCAGACCTCATCCAGTTTTCAAAAACACTTTAAACTTTGGTCTAGCGTACTACTACACTGAGCTTCCTAGGGACCCATCTAAAATGAAGGAGGCTTGGGAGGGTATATACTTTGCCTATTAGGCTACAGTAAGAGGGCTGGGAGGGTACCATGGCAACAAGAACAGGTCTCAGACACTCCATGCTGAGTGGAACATCTCATGACCCCTATGGAATTGTTAAAGGCAATTTGGTTTAAAGTAGCAGTTTCTCATTGGATGAGAAACTGGTGTGTGTGTGTGTGTGGGTGTGTGCGTGTGTGTGTGTGTGTGTGTGTGTGTGTGTGTGCTTCTACGTATGTGTGATTTCATGTACCTATCTTTATATATGTATACTCACTCTGGGTGTGTATTTATGTATCATTCTACCTGTATTCCTTTGGAATATGTAGCAGGTGTGTAATAGGAATTAGAAGGCATGTACAAATTGCAGGCTGCTAATTTTGAATGCATTGAACTTTTTTTTTAATTTTTTAAGTTACCAAACTGTATTATCGTCAAGCAAATTATCAACAGTCTCTTAAGGCTACTACCAGTTACCCTTTCTTTCCCCATCTATGTGTTTTCCACATTTCTACAACTTCATCTCACCTCTGTGGGCTCCTAGTGTCCCATGTTTTATTGCAGGCCCCCCTTTAACCAACTAGAAACATAGAAGGCTGAGGAAGCCATGGGGGATGGCAGTGGTTTCTTCAGCTGACGCCTAAAAGGTCATGAATTTAAAGCAACCTAGGTCAGCAAAAATGCTTGAGGTAACACAGATGCAGAGGTCAGCTTCAGTCCATTCTCTTCTACTTTTGCCTGGTTTCATTGGCTAAATAAGAAATTTTACCTTTAGATGTGCCGCTAGCTGCATCTCCCAATGATTTTACAACAACAAATGTTTTGAGTCAGTATGAGGTTCTTTGGAAGCTGCATTGAGCTCTAGGACATATAACAATGAATCAGGAGTGGCCCCTGCTCTCAAGGGGGCTTCCAGTCCAGGGAGTGGGCATCCCAAAACCATCCTAGAGGAGGCATAAGCCAAACGCTGCAAGAGCGTAATAGAGGGAGCAGCAGTGCCCCAGATGAGAAGACTGAGTCCTGGGAGGCTAAGGCCAGCCCGAGGTCTCCCTACTGTTGTGGGAAGCTCAGGGCAAGGAAGGGCCCAGCTCTCTAGCCCCACACAACTGCCCTCTCCCAAGTCTTCTCCAAGCCCACTGCCTGGTCTCCTGCCTTTCTTGCTACTTGATTTGTTTGCCTCTGGGGCTCGATATTACTGGAGAATTTTTTTTTTCTTTTTTTTTTTTTTTTTGTGGTATGAGGGCCTCTCACTGTTGTGGCCTCTCCCGTTGTGGAGCACAGGCTCCGGACGCATGGGCTCAGCGGCCATGGCTCACGGGCCCAGCCGCTCCGCGGCATGTGGGATCTTCCCGGACAGGGGCACGAACCTGCGTCCCCTGCATCAGCAGGTGGACTCTCAACCACTGCGCCACCAGGGAAGCCCTACTGGAGAATTTTTATCTTCTCCCTAACTGCTCCGTACATCTCTCTCAAAAACCCTTCCAAGATACCTCACATGTGCTATTACAAGGCTTCATATTTCAGAAAATGGGCCATTAAGAGTTCTTAATTTCATGGTAAATTTTTGAATTTAAGAATTATTACTATTTTTTTGAATTTAAGAATTATTCCTTCATTAAAGTTTAAAATCCAGAAGCCCTTTTATTGAGTTCTTTTTCCCTCTATGTTGATACTCAAATCATTTTCATAAACTGAATGTGTGTATGTCTGTGTCTTTGTGTGTGTGTGCACACGTTTACTTCCAGATCTTCTTTTCTGACACTTGAACTTCTCTTGCAGTCTCCGGAATGCTAGAGCATGAAACCATTCAGGGTGTGTCTGGGGTGAAGCCCACAGGGCTAAGAAAGCGAACCTCCAGCATTGCTGATGAGGGTACCTACACACTGGACTCCATCCTACGGCAGCTCAACTCCTTCCACTCAGTCATGTGTCAGCACGGCATGGACCCCGAACTGATCAAGCAGGTGGTCAAGCAGATGTTCTACATCGTGGGGGCCGTCACACTGAACAACCTCCTCCTCCGGAAGGACATGTGCTCCTGGAGTAAAGGCATGCAGATCAGGTGAGCGAACGCCAACAGCTGCCATGGCCTTTTCATGCTGCCCAACCGCTTGCCGGGGCTCGTGTGAGGCTAGTGTACCTGATGTCCACTGCCCCCACCCCCACTCCCCGCCAGGCGAGCAGCAAGGGCAGACTGGGCACAGAGCTGCTTCCTCTTTTCTGGCTGGACCCTCCACTCTCATTTGTGATTGCTCCTGGCCGTGCCTTGCAACCCACTGCTTGTTAGGAACCCTGCTCCATGTGAAGATAACTCGTTTTTGTTTTTTGTTTTTTTAAAGGGAACTTTATTTATTTTTATTTATTTATTTTTGGCTGTGTTGGGTCTTCGTTGCTGTGGGGGCTGTTCTTCATTGTGGTGCGTGGGCTTCTCATTGTGGTGGATTCTCTTGTGGAGCACGAGCTCTAGGCATGCGGGCTTCAGTAGTTGTGGCATGTGGGCTCAGTAGTTATGGCTCGTGGGCTCTAGAGCACAGGATCCGTAGTTGTGGCACGTGGGCTCAGTAGTTGTGGCTCGTGGTCTCTAGAGCGCAGGCTCAGTAGTTGTGACACACAGGCTTAGTTGCCCCGCGGCATGTGGGATCTTCCCGGACCAGGGCTCAAACTCGTGTCCCCTGCATTGGCAGGTGGATTCTTAACTACTGCGCCACCAGGAAAGCCCTGATAACTCGTCTGAGGGAGTGGGGAGATGATGAAAACTACATAAAGATGAGATAGCTGCTTCCTCTCCTTTTGTGTGTGCTTTAATTGTACAATAACAAAATATCAAACTATAATGAAGATTGCTAATGTTTGATTGCTCTTATAAATTTATTTTGACAAAATACTGTTTTGTACCTATGGCAACAAGAACATGTCTAATAGATCTTTTACTGATGTTTGAAATACGCCCCTCTCTATTTTAAGGAAAGCTGTGCTCAATTTTGTCCAGCTGTTCCTCAGCATAACCTTATTAGCATAATGGAATTTTTTTTTCAAATAATTTATTTTAAAACAGCTAGAAAATTCACCAAGAGGGGGAAAAAGGATTTCTCCTATGAAAGCCTGTAGTTAATCTCAGGAAGCGTTGGCTTTCTTTTCAAATTTTCCATTACTCACATCCACTGTAGGTAGTGGTAAGAAGATAATGCTTTCCACTCAGGTCGTAGAATTTATTTTTCTGCAAGTTCTGTTCATACCTATGAAGCCCCTCTTTGCCTGATTACTAAGTCCTGACTGTGAGTCCATTTATCTCATTTGCGAACCACTATCACTTGGTTGGCCACCTCTTAAAACCTCGCATCTGTGTAGTTTCTATGTCTCTCTTCATATTTTGGGTCTTTGTCTCTTCCCATGGCCCCCACTTGCCCTTCTTGCCTTCATCCCTGAGCTTCCTCAGGCCACTACCTCCATCACCCAGACTCTTCCCTAAAGAGGGCCGGAGCACAGGGTCTATGTGGGGGTCTTGTTATTATGTCTACTAGCTTGGAGTCTGACTTAAGGAAGAGAGAGTACTTAAAGGATTATCAGTTCTCACCTCTCAAGTTGTAAGAAGCTATAAAATGTTTTCTGCTTGGCTCTTTAATAAGGACACAGCCATATTATGTGTTCTATTTTGGTTTTTAGCACATCTTATTTCATAACTTGCTGTAATGGCTACATTTCTATCTCCCATTAAAGAGAATTATAGTCTCTAGAATTATACCTACTCTTATATAATTATGATTATAAACCTCCTGCTTATGTATAGTAATAAATTTTTAAGTACAGCTAATGATTTAAAAAAACAGAATTTCACTGAAATTCCTGACAAAGCCATGCACAGAAAAATTAAGACATTTATGATAACATTCAGTAAATTTGCATCACCTCCCTTTTTCTGGCATAGGTACAATGTCAGTCAACTAGAAGAATGGCTGCGTGACAAGAATCTGATGAACAGTGGGGCTAAGGAAACCCTGGAACCTCTCATTCAGGCTGCTCAGCTTTTGCAAGTGAAAAAGAAAACAGATGATGATGCAGAAGCCATTTGTTCCATGTGCAATGCTTTAACTACTGCCCAGGTAAGGCGATTTTCCCTATTATAAAACAAGTTAACATTCATCAACGGTGACATTTAGGGAAGTAAAGAAGGCTTCTAGCTATTGCTTTTGTCTCTGAGCTGACTTCATCTGTGTCAGAGATGATATATATCAACACTGTAGATCTTGAAGAAGGGAGATTTTACCACAAAGTATATTTCGGTACTAGTCACAGTCCTGCACATTCAACATTCAGTACTTATTTATCCACTCTCTACACTGTTCTGTATAATGTTCTAGCCACTAAGATAAAACCATGAACAAAACAAAGTCCCTGTTTTCACGGGGGTGTACATTCTACACATTCTATGGAGTTTGTACTCCATAAAAGAATTTTCCATATTATTTAATAATTGAATGATTCTTTAGACTTCTTTATTTTAAGACAAATAATTGTGTTTTTTTAATTGAAATATAGCTGATGTATAATATGATGTTAGTTTCAGGTATACTACACAGTGATTTGACATTTCCATACATTATAAAATGATAACCGAGATAAGTCTAGCAATCATATGTCCCCATACAAAGTTATTACAATATTATTAACCATATTCCTTATATTGTAGATTATATCCACATGCTTTATTTATTTATTTTATAACTGGAGGTTTGTACCTCTTAACCCCCTTCACCTATTTTAATACCCCATGCCCCTCCCCTCTGGCAACCACCCATTTGTTCTCTGTATTTGTGAGTATATTTTCATTTTTTTGGTTTCTTTGTTTTGTTTTTTGGATTCCACATATAAGTGAGCTCTTATAGTATTTGTCATTGTCTGACTTATTTCACTTAGCATAATGTCTGCAAAGTCCATTCATAGTGTTGCAAATGGCAATATTTCATTCTTTTTTATGACTAAGTGATATTCTTTGTGTGTGTGTGTGTGTGTGTGTGTGTGTGTGTGTGTGTGTACACCAGTCTTCTTTATCCATTTGTCTGTCTACAGACACTTAGATTGCTTCCATATCTTGGCTATTGTAAATAATGCTGCAATGAACAGAGGGGTGCATATATCTTTTCAAACTAGTGTTTTTGTTGTCTTTGGAAAAATACCCAGAAGTGGAATTGCTGGGTTGTATCATAGTTGTATTTTTAATTTTTTGAGCAACCTCCATACTGTTTTCCATAGTGACTGCACCAATTTACATTCCCACCAGCAGTGCATGAGGATTCCCTTTTCTCCACCTCCTCACCGACACTTACTATTTGTTGTCTTTTAGATAATAGCCATTCTGACTAGTATGAGGTAGTACTTCATTGTGGTTTTGATTCGTATTTCTCTGGTGATTAGTGATGTTGAGCATTTTTTCATTTGCCTGTTGCCCATCAGTATGTCTTCTTTGGAAAAATGTCTGTTGAAGTCCTCTGCCCATTTTTTAATCAGGTCATTTGTTTTTTTGATTTGAGTTATATGAATTCTTTGTATATTTTGGATATTAACCCCTTATTAGATATATTGTTTGCAAATATGTTCTTCCATTCAGTAGGCTGCTTTTTCATTTTGTGGATAATTTCTTTCACTGTGCAAAAGTTTTTTAGTTTGATGTGGTCCCATTTGTTTATTTTTGCTTTTGTTTCTCTTGCCTGAGGAGACAGATCAAAAAAATATTGCTAAGACCAGTGTCAAAAATGTACTGCTTGTATTTTCTTCTAAGAGTTTAAGGTCTTAAATTTAAGTCCTTAATCCATTTTGAGTTTATTTTTCTAAGTGGTATGAAAAAATGGTCTAGTTTGATTCTTTTATTTTTCTAAGTGGTATGAAAAAATGGTCTAGTTTGATTCTTTTGCACAACACCGTTTACTGAAGAAACTGTCTTTTCCACATTGTATATTCTTGCCTCCCTTACTGTAGATTAATTGACCGTAAAAGAGTAGGTTTATTTCTGGGTTCTCTTTCCTTTTCCATCAATCTATGTGTCAGTTTTTGTGCCAGTACCATACTATTTTGATTACTGTAGCTTTTTAGTATGGTTTGAAATCAGGGAGCATGATACCTCTAGCTTTGTATTAGTACTTCTTTCTCAAGATTGCTTTGGCTACTCAGTTTTTTGTGTTTCCATACAAATTTTAGAATTATTTGTTCTTTGAAAAATGCTTTTGGTATTTTGATAGAGATTACATTGAATATGTAGTTGCCTTGGGTAATATGGTCATTTTAACCATATTAATTCTTCCACTTTATGAGCCCGGTATATCTTTCTATTGGTTTGTGTCACCTGTACTTTCTTTTATCAATGTCTTATAGTTTTCCAAGTTCAGGTCTTTCACTTCCTTGTTTAGATTTATTCCTAGGTATTTTATTCTTTTTGGTACAATTATAAATGGGATTGTGTTCTGATAATTTATTATTAGTGTATAGAAATGCAAAAGTTGTCTGTATATTAATTTTGTATCCTGCAACTTTACTGAATTCATTTATTGGTTCTAATAGTTTCTTGGTGGCATCTTTAGGATTTTCTATATACAGTTTCCTGTCATCTGCAAACAGTGACAGTTTTACTTCTTCCATTTCAATTTGGATTCCTTTTACTTTTTTTTTCCTGTCTAATTTCTGTGGCTAGGATTTTCAATACCACTTTGAATAAAAGTGGTGAGAATGGGTGAGAATGGGTGAGAATCCTTGTTTTGTTAGAGGAAATGCTTTCACCATTTTACCATGAGTATGATGTTGACTGTGGGTTTGTCATATATGTGTTTTATTATGTTGAGGTATGTTCCCTCTATACCCACTTTGTTGAGAGTTTTTATCATAAATGGATGTTGAGTTTTGTCAGAAGCTTTTTCTGCATCTGTTGAGATGATCATATGATTTTCATTCTTCAATTTGCTAATGGGGTGTATCACATTGATTGTTTTGTAGTTATTGTAAAATCCTTGCATCCCTGAGATAATTCCCACTTGATCATGATGTATGATTCTTTTAATGTTCTGTTAAATTCAATTGGCAAATATTTTGTTGAGGATTTCTACAACTATGTTCATCAGTGATACTGACCTATAATTTCCTTTTTTGTGGTATTTTTGTCTGGTTTTGGTATCAGGGTGATGTGGACTCGCAGAATGAGTTCAGAAGTTTTCCTTTCTCTTCTGTTCTTTTGGAATAGATTGAGATGGGTAGATTCAGGTGTTAACTCTTATATTTGGCAGAATTCCCCTGTGAAGCCATCTAGTCCTAGACATTTGTTTGTTGGGAGTTTTTTGATTACTGATTTGATTTAATTACTTGTAATTTGTCCATATTTTCTATTTCTTCCTGATTCAGTCTTGGGAGGCTGTACATTTCTAGGAACTTATCCATTTCTTCTAGGTTGTCCATTTTATTGGCATATAATTATTCATAATAATGTCTTACGATCGTTTGTATTTCTGTGATGTCAGTTGTAACTTCTCTCTTTCATTTCTGATTTTATGTATTTGGGCCCTCTCTCTTTTTGTCTTGATAAATGTGGCTAATAGTTTATCAATTTTGTTTATCTTTTCAAAGGACCAGCTCTTAGTTTCATTGATTTTTATTCTGTTGTTTTTGTAGTCTCTATTTCATTCATGTCCATTCTGATTTTTTTTCCTTCTACTAACTTTGGATTTTGTTTGTTCTTCTTTTTCTAGTTCCTTTAGGTATAAGGTTAAATTGTTTATTTGAGATTTTTCTTGTTTCTTGACGTAGGCTTTTATCTCTTAAACTTTCCTCTTCCCTCCCTTTTCATATTTCTAGTTGTGGCCTTTTCTTTTCCACTTAGAGAAGTCCCATTAAAAAAATAAAAATATAAACATAAAGCTAGTTTGATGGTGCTGAACTCCTTTAGCTTTTGCTTGTCTGTAAAACTCTTTATCTCTCCTTCAAATATGAATGATAACCTTGCCAGGTAGAATATTCTTGGTTATAGGTTTTTTCCTTTCATTACTTTGAATATATCACCCCACACCCTTCTGGCCTGCAAAATTTCTGCTGATGTTGTATGGGAGTTCCTTTTTATGTAACTAGTTGCTTTTCTCTTGATGCTTTTAAGATTTTCTCTTTATCTTAAATTTTTGCCATTTTAATTATAATCTGTCTTGGTGTGGACCTCTTTGGGTTGACCTTGTTTGAGACTCTGTGCTTACTGGATCTGGATGTTTGTTTCCTTTCCCAGCTATTATTTCTTCAAATAAGTTCTCTGTCCCTTTCTCTCTGTCTTCTCCTTCTGGAACCCCTACAATATGAGTATTAGTGCACTTAAGTTGTCCCAGAGGTCTCTTAAACCATCCTCATTTTTTTTTCATTCTTTTTTTTGTTGTTGTTCAGTTTCAGTGATTTCCACTATTGTCTTCCAGCTCACTGATCCATTCCTCTGTATAATTTAGTCTACTGTTGTATTCTTCAGCTCTTTTGGTTCTTCTTTATATTTTCTAACTCTTTGTTGAAGTTCTCACTATGTTCATCCCTTCTTCTCCTGAGTTCACTGAGCATCTTTATAATCATAACCTTGTAGATTGCTCAACTCCATTTTTATTAGTACTTTTTCTGAGGTATGTCTCGTTCCTTTGTTTGGAACACATTGCTCTGTCTTCTCATTTTTCCAGTTTGCTGTCTTTTTTCTGTGTATTAAGTAGGTCATATACATTTCCCGATCTTAAAGAAGTGGCCTTATGCAGGAAACATCCTATGGGGCTCAGAAGCATGCTGCCCTCTTGTCACCAGAGCTATATGTCTAGGGGTACCGCCTATGTGGGCTGTGTAGGCCCTTCTGTTGTGGCAGGGCTGAAATACTGTTGGCTCAGTGGTGGGTGGGGCTGGCCCCTGGCCTGGTTGGCTGCCCCACCCTGTTTCCTTTGGTTTCTGCTGCCCATTTTTTGGCAGGGCCAGCTTATAGCACGGCTGGCCACAGGGCTCAGGGGAGGCCAGGGCTGGTGCTGGCCCATTGGTAGATAGTTAAGCCCTCAGCACTAATTAGCTAGAGGGAGGATTCCAAAATGGTGCTGAGGGGCAATAACTGATCATTCAGGGAAAGTCTTATTTAGCTGTGCATTGAATTTAAGGAAATGAAAAGATGGGAAGGGCATTTGAGAACAATGGCCACAGCATGAGGCAAGGCATAGGCATAAACATACCCACTTTCTTTTGCCTAGTTATTTCTGTGCTGACTCTTGGATCTTTTAATGTTCATCACTTATCTCAAAACATAGAAATCTTACATAGATTACACATAGAATACATATAGAAAGTAACTAGCTGAATACACAGGACACTGTTAACTATTGTTACTCTGAGAGATTGAGAGCATGCAGGTGGGAGCACTTTTACTTTTCATGTTTTTTCAAATTTATGTTGCTTCTTAAAGTGTAAAATATTACATTAATACATTCTTATTTTAAAAATTCAACTAATAAAGGTAAATGTGCCTTCAGAACCACTCCCTCTCCCCTCTTGCCCTAACCAAGCCCTGAGTAGAACTGAAAACTGTATGCAGAGATCCTTTTAGTTTTCCAGATAACAGGTACCCAGCATGTATGTATTTGATAATATGCTAAAGACTTTGATCATTTTATTTCTCCCAGATTGTCAAAGTGTTGAATTTGTATACTCCAGTTAACGAGTTTGAAGAAAGAGTCTCTGTGTCATTTATTCGTACTATACAGGTAAGATCTCCCAGGCTTTCTTTTGCTTTGATTCACCAACACAGTCGTTTGAATGGAAATTTTATAATTTATTGAAGGGTAATGCAGTTTTTATTATAATTATTTTATCTTATTTTTATAGTGCATTAACTTTCTTGATAACACCTATTGGAAAAATGAAGTGATTTTAAAACAAATATAAATATTCTTCAATAGTTGAGGATTTTTGGTAGAATTTTGTCAAAAAAAATCTTTATAGATTCAAAGAATTGATGCTCTGTTTTTTTGTTTTTCTTTTTTTAATCTTCTCAGATGCGTTTACGAGACAGGAAAGACTCTCCTCAGCTGCTCATGGATGCTAAACACATCTTTCCTGTCACCTTTCCTTTTAACCCATCTTCCCTTGCACTAGAAACCATCCAGATTCCAGCCAGCCTGGGCCTGGGATTCATATCACGGGTCTGAAAGTGATATCAAGGAAAATATTGACAATACAATACTTGCCTGAAATAACCCATTATTTCAAGTGAGGTACTGAAAACACATTTTAAAAGAGATAGTACTTATTATCTCCCAAACAAGAGGTTATTGACTGGAACTCCCCCTAGAATACTTTTCATCATCTTGGAAAGAAAGATAGGCTCCTTTGTGCTGTGTTACCTTTTAACAACACTCATCCTTGATCAGTTAGGTATCTGCAGTTGACGTGCAGGTGAATGATGGAAGGAAGGAAAAAAATGTGTCTTCGGCTGCCAGCATTTATTTTAAATCCTTATCACTGCATCTAAATGATATCAAAAACCTAAATTCCAGATATGAATATGAGCTGTTGTTAGAAAGGTACCCTCCTGTGTGCTAACCAGAAGAATTGAAGGAAAAATCATCACTGAGTACATATCATACCAGTTTAGGAATCAATTATGTTGCTACTGTCCAACTGGAACAAAGAAATAAACTGACAATATGTAAAGTAACTGGCCAAGTAGCTCCCTTCTATGTGTCACTATGATGTAGAGATACTAAGAGAATGTTGGTTTGCTATAGAGCATGGAAGTCCGTTTGTACCATAGTTTACTGAGCATTTTAAATTGCTGCTACATACTATGTTCTTTAAAATGTAAGCGATATTCATATTAGGCACTACAATAATAAGCTTCTGTTTTATCAACTCTGTTTACAGTTCAATCAGATCAGTTTTAACTGGATTATGTGCACATAGCTACAGATTCACCTGCACAAGTAGCAGACACTGGGAAGTCATGTAGTAATATGACACAATGTTTGACATTTAGGGATAGGATTAGGCAAAGTGGCTATTGATGTTGATGTCCTTTTTTCAGGATGTGTTACATTGATGTGCTCATTAATTTTCCCTGGGCGCATATCACATCAGGGTACAGTGTTCTGTGAAGTGACCTATTTTTAGTTATCAGATCTGCTTCCTGCAGTGCATATTTTCAACCTTGACAGGTTTTCTTTCTTCTTAATTTATTAAGAATTAATGTCAGTCAATATCTAGCGAGGATTGTCAGAATATTCATGATTTAGGTCTTGAAATCTTAATTATTTTATAAATTATGCAAAAGAAAGTATATAATAAATAATTATGATTCCATTTTTTAGGCTTTGCAACTTCTATAAATGTTCTCAATGCCACTAGATACTTTAAAGAGCATCATATTAGAAATACATTGACCTATATAAAAGTATAAGGAGATTGCTGAATTTTACAGAGGATTTGGTTTAATAAGACCCAGATTCTATATGTTTTCATTCTGAAATTCTAATTAAACGTAGTCTCCATTTTTCCTACAAATCTTATACAATAAATGTTTCAGGTTGTGCAAAAGCAAATTCTTAGCTTTCTTTAGAAACTTTGGTTCTGAATTACAATCATAGATTTATATAAATTAACTATTAGATGATCTATAAAAAAGACATCTTATTAAAATATGTGCAATATTATAAATGCAAGTAAAACATTTTCAAATCAGTGATAAATATTGCTATTAAAAGACAAATTCTGTCTGTTAACTTATTTGGGCCTCAAATTCCTCATTTATTCAGTGAGAGTGTTAGACAGCTGGTTCTTAAGGTCCCTTCCACATCTGAAGTTCTCTCCTCGCCGTACCTGAACCACAGAGAAATGAGATGCAGGTACTCAGTAAGGTTACCCTCTAATGGAAAGACTAGTGTTTGGTGCCTGTTAATTTTGAGGGATTAATAAAATGTAAAATCCCAGGTTTGTGTAGCTGTAATCTTTCTTAAATGTACATGATTTATGTACATGCTTTTTCAACGTTAATGAGTTTAGGTAGTTTTTATTGAATTGTGCACTGCTGTATTCAGTTTGGATACATTTATTCATTTGCAAAACCAAGAAAAATACTAACTCAATCCGATTTTCTCTATTTTCCCTGGTTGTCAATGTGGTTTTCAATGAACTGTTGAAACCACGTGGTTAGTACTGAATCTGTCAGAGTCTTAAGAACATAGATGGGACTTGGGTGGGAGAGATGCTCCAAAAAATGCCACCATGATTGTAGGCTCTCCCCGTCAGACCTAGAAATCCTCCCAGGCCCTTTCCCAGCTCAGTCCTGTGTAGCATGTCCTGTACACACCCTGAGTCTCGTCAGGTCTTCAGGATCACGCTCTAGCTTCCACTGCCACTGCAGCCCTTTATCTTTCCTGCAGACAGCTCATATCCCGAAGCATGTCTTGTCTGGGCCTTTCTCTCTCTCCTGTCTTCCATCTTTCTGCTGCAAAGTGCTGGAGCCTCTGTTCCACACCTGGGCCAGAGTCTCTCCTGTTCAGGGATGGCCACACAAAGATTATGATATTTCAGGGCTCCAACTTCCTCCAAGGCCTATCTAGAACCCCAGAAGCGGATCTGAATTAATTTCTCTTAGTGGTCTGAAGATCTTTAGTCATAACAGAAATACCTTACAACCAGGGAACCCCAAGTCCTGGTAAGTCATTCTGTGTCCTACTTTCTTGAGGATGCAGAAATATTCTGCTGACTGTGGGTATCCTTGGCTCTGAGGACTGCTCACCTTTCCCTTTGTCCATCCACACTTTCTCACCCAGCTTCAAACACACCTGCACCAGCCCTCCACTCCGTCCACCCACTCATTTATCTGCTCACTCTGTCCCTTCCTTCAGCCACATCCTGTGTCCCATTGCCTGTCCACTCACCTGCTCTGACTCTTTTGAAGGCTGTGGGTGAAGGCAGTCCTCAGTTGCCCCACTGGCCTGCCTGGGGGCTTCCCTTCAGGCCACTCTTTGCATGAGTTCTTGCTGTTCTCACTTCTCTGCAGTACGATCTTTAGCATTATCACTAATTTGCTTTTTCATAATTCCTCTATGACATACAATAGGAATTCAAAGAAAGAATTATTTGAGAAAGCAACAGTTCATTGTTTTAATAGCCCCTTCTCAATAGTCTCCTCCCCACTCACTGTACAGAGAAACTCAGCTCACACCTTGGAAAGCAAAGCTGAAAACTTAGAAGCAGTTTTCCTTCTTGTAGCTTTTCTTAGGTTACGGCTTTGCTCTGCCTGAGAGTAACTATAATGAAGGGGAAAGATGAGTATGGGGTAAACTCCATGAAGTGTAGCTTCATTATTCCTTTGGAAGCTGTGAAAATGCACCTGACACTTCTTTCATCAATTGCAAAAGTACAACAATATATATTCCAAAGCCAACTGATAGGAGATTTGGGGATTCGGGCCAGTTTGTGTCATTTACTTTATTATTTCCTTCATTTTAATGGATAATTGAGAGTTGTCTCTTTCTGAGTAAGTGATTATGTATAATATAGATCAAATCTTTTAATAACAGTGGCGGAGGCCGTGAAAATATTTTATTAGAATTTCAGTATAGTGATTGTTGTGAGAAATGACTTCCCTGGTAACCCTAGGTAAAAGGGCATCTGGCACCATCCTGAGATGTCCTCATATTCTCTCTCTCTCTCTCTCTCTCTCTCTCTCTCTCTCTCTCTCTCTTACACACACACACAGAGTCTTCAGTATCTTCAACTATTTAGAATAAAACAGAAAGCAAAATGTCATGTGTGGCCCTTCAGTTCTCCTGGTGAAAGGTAATGTAGAGACAGTACCTCGTGTCTGGCTATGCTTCACTTCAGCCTTTCTCTGTTACCTCATTGTGTCCTCACAGCAGCCCTAGAAGGTAGAAGGGCAGCTAGTACAGTCCTTAGCTGATGATAATTTGAGAGAGAGATAAGGGCAGTGACTTGCCTGAGGTCACTCAGCCCTCCAGCTGTGCTGTCTTCCCATATGCAGCAGTGGCACTGAGGGCACATGCGGGGCAGGAGACTTTAGAAAGTCCTGAGGTTCCATTCTGTTCCTCCTGGTACCTGTGGGGTGCCCCAGTCCAGCAAGAGGTGCTCCTTTTCCTTATCAGAGTTGGCAACTGGCATATGGGAGGTGAGGAAATGATGGGTACCAAGTTCTTGGTGCTAATCAGTTGGGGTGCCTTGTGGTTTCCTCTTTGTCGTAGTTACCTGCTATAACTAGGTTTGGCTTTTGTAATGAATCAGTGCCCCCCTGGAGGGTACAGTACTCTGTTTTGGTCATTAATTAGTAGCAAGCTCTCCCAGCCTGACCAGAAGCGGTGAGAGCCTCCCAAAAGAAAAGAGGAAGTCGCTCTCAACACACAGACCTCAGAGTCACTGTCAGAGCCACCAGGTGAGCTGTGCAGCCTGCAGAGAACCTGCAGCTGCAGGCCAAGCCCCTGGGTCCCTTCTGAGGGCTGTCTCCCAGGCAGGCCATACATAAGTCAGTGTGTAGTTGAACATGACGGTGTGTGCATGCTTCCAGTGTTGGCTTTGGAGCCAAGAGGTGTGCTGTGTGCATGTGTGTTAGAGAAGCTCAGTGTATGGGTAAGTGCATTGTGATTTCTTCTCAGGCTGTGCTGTGAGGGCCGCCTTAACCCCTGCTCCCTTCCCTCCTAGAGCTGCCTTAAGTTCTCTGGAACTTCTCCTCTGTAAGGGGATGTCTTGCCTGGAAAGGATATCTTGCCCTGTTTCTCAAGGTGTTGTGAGGGTTTGGGTGGGTGTGGCCTCCTTTCTTCCTTCGTTCCCTTTCTGCATGACCCTCCCCTCCTGTTACTTCTCCTTCCTTTCTTTTCTCTCATTTCCAAACAGGTATTAGAACTGTGAGGCAGCAGCAATCTCAGAGCCAATGAAATGTGGTCTGAGAGAGTGTTTCCTGAGGTTAGGGGGCTCTGTGTTACACTTAAGCAAATGAATATATGGAAGAAATATAGAGATAAGTTAGATTCTTGGTAATATTTAAATGGCTTGTTTTCCACTGAACTGACCTGTGCTTAGTAAAGCTAAAAGGTATAACTGTAAAATCTTTCATGGACATTCATTAAAAAAAATTTTGAGAACTCTTTACCCATATCAAAGATGGAGTGAAAACAGGAAAAAGTGCTATAAATTCTAATTCATTGTATTCAGTATTACCCTAAATTAAGTGAACCTGAGGTTACAGTAGATTTCTCAATAGATCAGGAACTGAAAAGCACTATGTAAAATATCTGCCAAAATGCATTTTATACATTTTTTTTAAATTTTATAATTTGGTTTAGCTAAAATGTTCATTAGCTCAATTTAATGGGTGTTATTAGATTCATTAAGGTGTCTGAAAATTACTAACATTTCCTTAGTATTGTAATGTTTCTTGAAATATTTGAAAGAAAAAATGTTTTTTGAGTTGAATCTGGTATGTGCAATTCAGTGCTTGGTAGGTCAGTACATTTTCATGGCATTTTTCAGAGTCAGTAGTTTTAAATATTGTCATTATATGTTATAAAACTTGGTCGACATTTCAGGCTCTCTACATGAGCCATTTAATTTTATCCAACATATGCTGAATTTTTCCTTTAAATGTGGGTATGTGTGTTATAATTTATGATTCCTAGTTATGTATTTTTGTGGAACACTGGAGTTAGGTTGATTTTCATGTGTCCTTGGAAAATTTAAATTGCTCTAACAGTGTTGCACAGAAATGAGCTTATGACATTTAATATATTGTATTTTGATTACTAACTTTAATTGTTAACTTACTGTGAAATGGATATGCCTTTTAACTACAATGACATTGAACATTGCCCATTGCAGTTTTTCAAATGTTTTCCCTTGTTGGATCTGGAAAAGAAATTCTACTCTGATCTACATAGAAAAACATGATATAGTTAATGTTTGAAAAGTTCTTAGGTAAAATAGTCATCCATTAAAAATCAAAAGTAGGGCTTCCCTGGTGGTGCAGTGGTTGAGAGTCCACCTGCCAATGCAGGGGACGCGGGTTTGTGCCCCGGTCCGGGAAGATCCCACATGCCGCGGAGCAGCTGGGCCCGTGAGCCATGGCCGCTGAGCCTGCGCGTCCGGAGCCTGTGCTCCGCAACGGGAGAGGCCGCAACAGTGAGAGGCCCACATACCGCCAAAAAAACAAAACAAAACAAAACAAAACAAAAAAAACAAAGCAAAAGTACTGAGAAGTGAAACGCGTTATCAACCAATACTACTTTTAAACTAAACCTACCCCAGCATATCTCACATGGAATTTTAAAGAATAAGTTAATAATACACCTCATATCAACAAAAGCCTTTGAAACATGGGTTTTCACCAGATATCACCTAGTGCTAAGATGAAAACCAAAACAATATCAGATTGACATTTATGCTCTAAATTTGTAGTTGTCTAATGTTGTACTTAGTAAATGTGCATCACTAATGCTGTATTCTCCTAGATATTATAGAAAATTGTTCAAATAAAGATATGGATATAAAGGACTTTTGTTAGTGTCTTATAAATAAACCCACAGCACATACACCAACGTAGATCACATTTGGGACTATAAAACACACCTTTAAAATTTAAAAGAATAGAATTAAACTAGAAATCAGTGACACAAAAATAGCTGGAAAATCCCAGAATACTTGGAGATTAAACGACACACTTCTAAATAACACATGTATCAAAGAAAAAATTGCTAGAGAAATTTTAAAATATTTTGAAGTAAATATAAATGAATATACAGCTTAAAATTTCTGGGATGCAGGGAAAGCAGTACTTAAAGAGAAATTTATAGCATTGAATGCATGTATTAGAAAACAAGAAAGACCTAAAATCGATCTTCTAAGTTTCCACTTTAGGAAACTAAGAAAAGAAGAGAAAATTAAATACAAAGTAAGCAGAAGAAAAGAAATAATAAAAATTAGAGCATAAATCAATGAAATTGAGGACAGGAAATTAATAGAGAAAATCAGTGAAACCAAAAGCTGGTTCTTTTTAAAGATCAATAAAATTGATAAGCCTCTAACCAGGCTTACTAAGAAAAGGAAAGAGATGACATGTAGTAGATTGGTGGTTGCTCAGGGCTGGGAGGAAGAGAGGAAGTGAGGGGATACGGAGCAATAACTAAAGAGCAAGGAGTTTCTTTTTGAGATGATGAAAATGTTTTAAAATTGACTGTGGTGATAGTTTAACATATCTGTGAATATATTAAAAAACACTGAGTTATATACTTTAAATGGGTGAAGTGTATGCTATGAGAATTGTATCTCAATAAAACTATTTTTGAGTAAACTTGTGACCTCTAATATGGCAGACTGAAGAGCTCAGCAAATTCTCCCCTCAAAAAAGCAAGGACAGGGGCTTCCCTGGTGGTGCAGTGGTTAAGAATCCACCTGCCAGTGCATGGGACATGGGTTCAAGCCCTGGTCCAGGAAGATCCCACATGCTGCAGAGCAGCTAAGCCCATGTGCCACAACTACTGATCCTGTGCTCTAGAGCCCATGAGCCACAACTACTGAGCCCAAGTGCTACAACTACTGAAGCCTGCGCACTCTAGGGCCCATGCTCTGCAGCAAAGAGAAACCACTGCAGTGAGAAGCCCGTGCACTTCAACAAAGAGTAGCCCCTAGTCGCCATAACTAGAGAAAGCCCGTGCACAGAAACGAAGACCCAATGCAGCCAAAAATAAGTAAATAAATAAATTTATTTTAAAAAAAAAACCAAGGAGATGAAAGACCCATATTCTGAAAACTATAAAACATTGATAAAGGAAATTGAAGATGATTCAAAGTAATGGAAAGATATCCCATGCTCTTGGGTTGGAAGAATTAATATTGTTAAAATGGCCATACTATCCAGAACAATCTACAGACTTAGATAACAATCCCTATCAAAATATTTATGACATTTTTCAAAGAACTAGGATAAATAATCCTAAAGTTTATATGGAACCACGAAGACCCAGAACTGCCAAAGCAATCCTGAGGAAAAAGAACAAAGCTGGAAGCATAACCCTCCCAGACTTCAGACAATACTACAAAGCTACAGTAATCAAAACAGTGTGGCACTGGCACAGAAACAGATATATAGCTCAGTGGAACAGAATAGAAGGCCCAGAAATAAACCCACACACCTACCTACAAAAAAGGGGGCAAGAACATACAATGGAGAAAAGAGCCTCTTCAACAAGTGGTATTGGGAAAGCTGGACAGCTACATGTAAATCAATGAAATTAGAACACTCTCTCACACCATATGCAAAAATAAACTCCAAATGGTTTAAAGACCTAAATATAAGACATGACACCATAAAACTCCCAGAAGAGAACATAGGCAAAACATCCTTGGACATAAATCATAGCAAAATTTTCTTAGCTCAGTTTCCCAAGGCAAAAGAAATAAAAGCAAAAATAAACAAATGGGGCCTAATGAGACTTGAAAGCTTTTTCACAGCAAAGGAAACCATCATCAAAACAAAAAGACACCTATGGAATGGGACAAGATATTTGCAAATGCTATAACCAACAAGGGGTTAATATCTAAAATATACAAGCAGCTCACATAACTCAATATTGAAAAAACAATCCACTTAAAAATGGGCAGAAGGGGGAGCTTCAAGATGGCGGAAGAGTAAGACACAGAGATCACCTTCCTCCTGACAGATACATCAGAAATACATCTACATGTGGAACAATTCCTACAGAACACCTCCTGAATGCTGGCAGAAGACCTCAGACCTCCCAAAAGGCAAGAAACTCCCGCACGTACCTGGGTAGGGCAAAAGAAAAAAGAAAAAACAGAGACAGGGACGGGACCTGCACCAGTGGGAGGGAGCTGTGAAGAAGGAAAGGTATCCACACATTGGGAAGGCCCTTCGCGGGCGGAGACTACAGGTGGCAGAGGGGGGAAGCTTTGGAGCCACGGAGGAGAGCTCAGCAACAGGGCTGCAGAGGGCAAGGCAGAGAGATTCCCGCACAGAGGATCAGTGCCGACCACCACTCACCAGCTCGAGAGGCTTGTCTGCTCACCCGTTGGGACGGGTGGGGGCTGGGAGCTGAGGCTCGGGCTTTGGAGGTCGGATCCCAGGGAGAGGACTGGGGTTGGCTGCATGAACACAGACTGAAGGGGGCTAGTGCACCACGGCTGGCCGGGAGGTAGTCCAGGAAAACGTCTGGAGCTGCTGAAGAGGCAAGAGACTTTTTCTTGCCTCTTTGTTTCTTGGTGCACGAGGAGAGCAGATTAAGAGCGCCGCTTAAAGGAACTCCAGAGATGGGTGCAAGCCGCGGCTATCAGCGCAGACCCCAGAGAAGGGCATGGGACACTAAGGCTGCTGCTGCAGCCAGCAAGAAGCCTGTGTGCAAGCACAGGTCACTATCCACACCTCCCCTCCCGGAAGCCTGTGCAGCCAGCCGCTGCCAGGGTCCCGTGATCCAGGGACAACTTCCCCAGGAGAACACACAGTGCGCCTCAGGCTGGTGCAACGTGACACTGGCCTCTGCCGCCACAGGCTCGCCCTGCACTCCATACCCCTCCCTCCCCCCGGCCCGAGTGAGCCAGAGCCCCCGAATGAGCTGCTTCTTTAACCCCGTCCCGTCTGAGGAAAGGACAGACACCCTCAGGCGACCTACACGCAGAGGTGGGGCCAATCCAAAGCTGAACCCCAGGAGCTGTGTGAACAAAGAGAAAGGGAAATCTCTCCCAGCAGCCTCAGGAGCAGCAGGTTAAATCTCCACAGTCAACATGACGTACGCTGCATCTGTGGAATACCTGAATAGACAACAAATCATCCCAAATTGTGGAGGTGGACTTTGGGAGCAACGATATATATATATTTTTCCCCTTTTTCTCTTTTTGTCAGTGTGTATGTGTATGCTTCCGTGTGTGATTTTGTCTATATAGCTTTGCTTTTGCCATTTGTCCTAGGGTTCTGTCTGTCCATTTTTTTGTGTTTTGGGTTTTTCTAGTATAGTTTTCAGCAGTTGTTATCATTGGTAGATTTGTTTTTTGGTTTGGTTGCTCACTTTCTTTTTTTTTTATTACTTAAAAAAAATTTTTAATAATTATTTTTTATTTTAATAACTTTATTTTATTTTATCTTCTTGTTTCTTTCTTTCTTTTTCTCTCTTTAATCCTGAGCCGTGTGGATGACAAGCTCTTGATGCTCCAGCCAGGCGTCAGGGCTGTGCCTCTGAGGTGGGAGAGCCAAGTTCAGGAAGTTGGTCCACAAGAGACCTCCCAGCTCCATGTAATATCAAACAGTGAAAATCTCCCAGAGATCTCCATCTCAACACCAAGACCCAGCTCCACTCAAAGACCAGCAAGCTACAGTGCTGGACACCCTATGCCAAACAACTAGCAAGACAGGAACACAACCCCATCCATTAGCAGAGAAGCTGCCTAAAATCATAATAAGGTCACAGACACCCCAAAACACACCACCAGACATGGACCTGCCCACCAGAAAGACAAGATCCAGCCTCATCCACCAGAACACAGGCACTAGTCCCCTCCACCAGGAAGCCAAACAACCCACTGAACCAACGTTAGCCACTAGGGACAGACACCAAAAACAATGGAAACTGTGAACCTGCAGCCTGCGAAAAGGAGACCCCAAGCACAGTAAGTTAAGCAAAATGAGAAGACAGAGAAACACACAGCAGATGAAGGAGCAAGGCAAAAGCCCACCAGACCTAACAAATGAAGAAATAGGCAGTCTACCTGAAAAAGAATTTCAGAATAATGATAGTAAAGATGATCCAAAATCTTGGAAATAGAATGGAGAAAATAAAAGAAACGTTTA